TATATATATATATATATATATATATATATATATATATATATATATATATCACCGCAATTCTTTTAAGCAGCGCCTCCGAAGAAGTCGCAGCACAAAGGCAGCAGCAGCAGACAGCAGAGAGACAACAAAACGGAGATGCAGCAGCTGCTAGCCGCCAGTTAATTCAGGTGTATAGGCAGCTTCAGGTGTATAGGCAGCTTAAGGTGTATAGGCAGCTTGAGGTGTATAGGCAGCTTAAGGTGTATAGGCAGCTTAAGGTGTCTCTTGCCCTAATTTGAGGTGTATAGGCAGCTCTTGCGGTGTATCGGCAGCTTTATGCCTTTAGTGAAACCTTTCTGTTTATTTATTTTGAAATTCGCCGCTCATTGCGCTGCTCTGAAGTCCGCAGCAAACACCCAAAATGCAGCAGCAGGAGCTGCTGCAGCTGCAGCAGCAACTGCAGCTGAGCCAGCGGCTGCTGCTGCTGCTGCAGCAGCAGCGGCTGCAGCAGCTGCAGTTGCTGGAGCAGCGGAGCAGCTGCTGCACCCAGAGGCAGCGGAGATTTTACCTGCAATGACCTGTTGCAGCAACGTCAGCAGCGGCAGCAGCAGCTGCTGCTGCAGCTGCTGTTGCTGCTGCTGTGTGCAGCACAAAGTGTGTATTAAAGGAGGGCCTCAGTGCTCGCCCCAGCTGGAGGCGAGAACGAAAAGACAGAGAAGATGAAGGATAAGGTAAACAGAAACTCCGAAGCAAACCGCTTGAAGCTATCTTGCTGCTGCTGCTGTTGTATATCCCTTAATCGCTGTCTTGCTGCTGCTGCTGCTGCTGTTTGCGCAGCCGCATCATTTCAATTTGGCCTCCCTTCCTGAAGACGCCGAGAAAGAGAGAAGCAGCAAATAAATAAAAATAAATAAAGACAAAATAATAAAATAATAATGAGAATAAAGAGTTATTAATAGTACGGGCAAAGGCAAATTGTAACAACTCATTAACTCAACCCAACGTAAGAAATAATAGCCCCAAGCACAGACACCCTGCACTGCAGCAGCAACAGCAGCAGCAACAACAAAAAGAACAGGAGCAACAACAACAACAGCAGCAGCAGCAACAACTAGAAGGAAAACAGCAGCAACAGCAGCAGTGCAACGGCTGTATACAGAGAGAGAAGAAAAGACGAAGCTAAAGAAAGCGACACCCAGCAAGGAAAAAGCTTGCGTTGCAGCAGCAGCAGCAGCTTCTGCTGCTGCTGCTGCTATTTTTGCTGCTGTTGCTGCTGCTGCTGCTAGTTTGTGTTGCAGCTACTGAGCTAGCGTTACCTGTCTCCATCATCTTCTTCTGAGTGTTGCTGTTTGTTTTCTCTGTTGTGTTTTGAGTCTGCTCCTCCTGCTCCTGCAGCAGCAGCAGCAGCATCTTCCTTGAACTGTCTCTCGTGCTTGAGCAGCGCTACCTCCGCCTTCAGCGCTTCAATCTGCTGCCAGTGACGACCCAATAGGCGGGCGCAGCGCCAAACAAACAGCCACAAGACGAGACAGAAGAGCTCTATCCAGAGGTTCCTTTCATGTCTGAGTTGATAGCTGCTGCTGCCTTTATAAGGAATTCCTGCTGCAGTTGTTAAGGCCTCCGGCTTGCCTGCTGCTGCTGCTGCTGCTGCTGCTGCTGCTGCACCGTACACCTCCCGCAGCTTCAGAGACGTCAAACATAAACGAATAAAAGAATATAAACAAATACAAGCAGCTACACCTATTTGAAGAGGACCCAACTGGAGATGCAGACAGCACAGAGATATACAGCCGCGGTGTATCCGCGGCGTCGGTAAGAATATCAACAAAGCCGCTAAAATTCCCCCTAAGGGAAGAAAAAAATAAGCAAAGTCTTTCATTTTAATTAAAATATAACTCTTTAAATTGTCTAAACAACCACAATAAATATTTTTATGCTTAGACAGCCACTCGGGAGGGCGATGCACGCAGCCGCTGCTGCTGATGCTGCTGTTGATCTTAAGCTGCTGCTGTTGCTGCTGCTGCTTCTCTTGCTGCAGAAAATTAGAGTCAGTGGCCGTTAATCATTCATAATTAACAGAAAGCACACACCTGCAACTTCGATGTACTCGCAGAGCAGCAGCAGCAGCTGCTGGCTGCTGCTGCTGCTGCTGCAGCTGCAGCTGCAGCAGCTGCTGCTGCTGCTTCCGCTAGTGCTGCCGCCGTTGAGGCGGGCCCCTCGTGCTGCTCCTTTCGAGACTGCTGCTGCTGGAGTGCTGCCACCCCACACACCGATTAATAAAGAAGAGTTAATCATTTTGTTTATTTCGGTTAGAAGGCTGCTGCTTGAGCTGCTGCTACCGCTTCAGGCAAGCACAGCCATTGCAGCAGCAACAGCAGCAGCACAGCGACAGCAGCAGCAGCAGCAACAACCGACTCGCCTGGCCTTCGCCGCATGCGAGGCGCTGCACAGCTGCTGCTGCGGAGCTGCTCCAGCAGCAGCAGGTGTGTGTTGTAGACTAGAGATGTTATTTAAAACAAAAAGAGACAGCAGCAAGAAGGATTCTCGCTGGGCCTCCTGCTTGCGTGGGTGGACCTCCGTGCAGCAGCAGCAGCAGCAGCAGCAGCAGCAGACCAGTTGCAGCGGTCTGCATCAGGAGCAACAGTAGTAGCAGCAGCAACCTGCAGCAGCAACATTAGCAGCAACAGTAGCAGCAACAACAGCAGCAACAACAGCAGCAACAACAGCAGCAGAGGTAGTGCCCGATCCCTTCGAACGCCGCTCTCAGCATTGAGGAGCGACTGCTGTCATCTTCTGCGCTGCGTGGAGATGCAGCAGCAGCAGCAGTAGTAGTAGCAGCAGCAGCGACAGCAGCAGCAGCAACAGCAACAGCAGCAGCACTGCCGACCGCAGGTGCGGGCGTGCTACCAACTGATCGTACTGCAGCAGCTGCAAGTGCTGCTGCAGTACGATCAGTGGGTAGCAGCAATAGGAAGAGCATCAGCGTCAGCAGCAGCAGCAGCAGCAGCAGCAGCAGCGAAGGTGCAGCAGCAAATATGATGGAGGTGGACAGTAGAGAACCGCAGCTAATTAGCCGCTGCTGCTGCGGTTGCCTCCTTGGTTGCTCCAGCTGCAACAGCAGCGCCAGCAGCAGCAGCAAGGGCAGCAGCAGCAGCAGCAAGGACAGCAGCAGCAACAAGAACAACAGCAGCAGCAAGGACAGCAGCAGCAGCGGGTTGGAGGAGATGGGGGGTCCCGGTTGTTTGCTGCTGCGTTTGAGTGATTCGCTGCTGCTGTCTGTGCTGCTGCTGCTGCCGCCCTTAGAGCTGGCTGTCTCGCTGCCGATGGTGTGCAGACGGCTGCGGCGTTTGTCTGTCTGTTCATACTTGTGGCAGCAGGTGCTGCCTGCTGCTGCTGCACGACGAAGCAGCAGCAGCAGCAGCAGCAGCAGCAGCAGCAGCAGTAGCAGCACGACGAGAGAAGCGTTCATAGCGCAGTGTAAGGAGGAGGCACAGAGGAAAAAACTCAGATCGCAGCTGCTCCTGCAGCAACACAATCATCTGCTGCTGCTGCAGCAGCAGCAACAGCAGCAGCAGCAGTGGTTCGGACCACTCAAAAAACGCCGGCAGCTCAGCAGCAGCGCCAGCAGCAACAGCAGCAGCAACAGCAACAGTAGCAACAGCAGCGAAATCGATGAAGCGCTTCTCCAGTTCGCGGAGATGCAAGCCGCGATGCAGCTCCAGCAGCAACAGCAGAAGCAGCAACAGCAGCAGCAGCAGCAGCGCTTGCACCTTACGCAGCACGAGGGCGCGCAGCATCCCCTGCAGCAGCAGCAACCCCAACAGGGGGCAGCAGCAGCAGCAGCAGTTGCTGCTGCTGCTGCTGCTGCAAGCCCCTTCCCTCCGTCTGCGGACGCAGCAGCGGGTAGAGGCGGACCTCTCACTCCTTCCGCACCCCCACCGCCAGCAGCAGCAGCAGCAGCAACAACAGCAGCAACAGCAGCAGCAGCAGCAGAGCATGTATGTTCAGGAAGCCGCTGCAGCATTGAGGCGTTAGGGGGTGAGATGTATCGTTGCAGCGAGAGCGGTTTGCTGCACTGCTGCGGCTCGCGCTGCTTGCGGATGGAAGCAGCAAAAGAGGTGGGGTTTGTTGTCTGCCCAATTTCGGGTATTATGACAGACATTGCAGGCTGCTATGCTGCTGCTGCTGCTGCTGCTGCTGCTGCTGCTGAGCAAAAGACCCTACTCACCAATCCTTACACCGCACATGAGGGCAGCAGCAGCGGAAGTGGCAGCCCAAGCGACGCTGCTGCTGCTGCTGCTGCTGCTGCAGAGCGGCGCTTGCGGGGAGCTGCGTTCCTGCATGAGCTGGCTGGCTTGCTGCAGCAGCAGCAGGCAGAAGCAGCAGCAGCAGCAACAGATGATGAAGAGCCCTTCGATGTCTTCTGTGAAGCAGAAGCCTCTGACCGCTGGTGCTGCAGCGACTTCAGAGCAAAACGCAAAACCTTACGGCGTAAGGGACTCAGCAGGCGCACTTGAACCTGCTGCTGCTGCTTCTGCTGCTGCTGCTTCTGCTTCTGCTGCTTCTGCTGCTGCTGCTTCTGCTTCTGCTTCTGCTGCTGTTGCTGGTAGTGGTGGTGCTGCTGCAGAAGCGCTGCTGCAGAAGCGCTGCTGCAGAAGCGCTGCTGCAGGAGTGGTTGTTTCTGCTGGTGGTGCATTCTGTTGCAGCAGCAGCAGCAGCAGCAGCAGCAGCAGCTGGGAAGCTGGCAGCAGGTGCGTCACTGGCTGCTCTTGCTGAGCACCCACAAGCGCTAGGCAAGGCCCTGCAGTTTTGCTGCTGCGGCTACTAGTACTGCTGCTGGCTGCTGCTGCTGCTGCACCAGTAGCAGCAGGCAGAAGTCACGATGCAGGTTCTGTCGGCTGCAGAGTTGCTGACCCGCGTAGCAGTAGCAGCAGCAGCAGCTGCAGAAGCAGAGGCAGTTGCAGTAGCACTAACAGCAGCAGCAGCAGCAGAAACAGCGGCAGTCCCACCAACAGCAGCAGCAACGCGCGCAGCAACAACAGCAACCACAGGAGTTGCTGCTGCTGCAGATCCTCAAATGCCGTCAGGTTATGGAAATATGTGCCAGTTTAAGCGCAGCAGCAGCAAGCTCTTAAAGAACTTGACGCAGCAGTAGCAGCAGCAACAGCTGCTGCTGCTGCTTCTGTTGCTGCTGCTGCTACAGGCAGCTGAATATTACTGTGGGGGCAGACGCATGCGTTTCGCCGCCTCAACTAAATCACACAGCTCAATCATCGTACTCTGCTGTTGCTGTTGCTGTTTCTGTTGCTGCTGCTGCTGTTGCTGCTGCTGCTGCTGGTGGCGTCTGACGGCTGCAACGGCTGCCTCTTGGCAGAGAGAAACGCAGAAGCTCGGAGAGAGGCCGCAAGCAGCTGTTGCTGCTGCTGGGCTTTTGCTGCTGCTGCTGTTGCTGTTGCTGCTGCTGCTGAGTAGCGAGCGTGCCAGCTGCAGCAGATCCTTCTTCGTTGTTGCCGGGCTGCAGCGGCCAACGAGGCACTGCTGCAGCAGCGCTGCTGCTGCTGCTGCAGGGTCTCTGCGGGGGCTCCCGGAGAGGCTGAAGACTCTTCCCAGGCGGTGTGGCTGCAACAAGAGCACACCGCAGCAGCAGCAGCAGCAGGAAAAGCAACAAGATTAACAGCAGCACCAACGTGCAGCAGCAGGAGGCAGACCAGCAGCAGCAGCACACCCGAAGCCAGCTGAACGTTGTTGATACACGCTGCAGGAACACGGTAGCAGCAGCACCGCCGCGTGCAGCAGCAGCAGCAACAGCAGCAGCAGCAGCAGCAGCGGGTTACTAACAAGCAGAAGCCTGCTGTCGATGTTTGCTGCATCGGTTGCTGTTGCCAGCAGCAGCACGCCTAGGGCAGTCTTTCTTTGGGTTTCATCTGCGCTGAACCTCCGCAGCAGCGCGAGCTCATCAATCTGCTGCAGCAGCGTCCCCACTACGTTGCTGCCGCCGCTGCTGCTGCTGCTGCTGCTGCAAAGGATATCAATGTCCTCGATTAGCAGCACTGCAGGCGTGACAAGGCGCAAAGTTGAGAAGACCCTCAGCAGCTGCTTATCTGCTGCAGCAACCTCCTTTCGTAGTATATCAGCAGCAGAGAGACGCAGCAAAACAGCGCCAGCAGCAGCAGCCAAGCAGCCGCACACAAACGACTTGCCTGCAGCAAACGCAGCAGCAGCAACAGCGGCAGCAGCACATCAGTACGCGGCAAGGAGGAGGCGCGTCCGATGCTGCAGATAGCAGCAAAGCCGAAGGGCTCAGCAGCAGCACTAAGAGGGCGTAGAAAGAAGAGGAGGAAGAAGACCTTAAAGAGATAAATAACAAAAACAAACAAAAAACTGCTGCAGGCGCACCTGAGCCTGAAGGGCCCTCTACAATACACCCAATCGGTGCAGCAGCAGCAGCAGCAGCAGCAACAGTAGTTGCTGCGTCTGCTTGTTCTTTAAATGGCTGCACAACTTCTCTCTTTAGCTGCTTCATGAGCCTCCCATTGCCCCTGACAGCCTTCAGGCCCTGCAGCGTCTTCAAGCAGCAGCAGCCACACCAGCACCGCTTTCTGCTGCAGCAGATGCTGCTGCTGCGGTCGCTGCCCCCGTTCCTGCTGCTCCTGTCGCTGGCACTCGTATCATCGCTGCTATTGCTGCTGCTATTGCTGCTGCTGCTGTTGCTGCCGCTGCTGTTGTTGCTGCTGCGCGTGTAGGCGAAGTAGGTGAGCCGCCCTTCTGCTGCAGGAGAAGCAGCAGCAGCAGCAAATGCTTCCTGTGCTGCAGCGTCCCTGGGCACCACCAAAGCAGGCAGCACCCGCTGCACGCTGCCGACCTGCAGCAGCCGCACTGCTGAGGGGCACACAGACAGCAGCGCCTGCCGCAGGTCAGCAGTAGACAGCCTGCTGCTGCTGCTGCTGCTGCTGCTGGATAGCTGCCGCTGCATGCAGTTGGTGACGGCAGCGCGCAGCAGAGATCGCAAATCCGCCACCGAGAAGCCGCAGGTCCACAAGCTTCCGATGCTGCAAATCCACAGCAGCAGCACCAGCAGCAACAGTAGCAGCATCAGCAGTAGCAGCAGCAACAGCTGCAGCAGCAACAGCAGAAGCAACATGAGCGCCGACCAACGCAGCTGAAGGGTGCATGCATGTCCTAGAAACAGCAGCAGCATCACGCGCAGCAGCAGCAGCAGCAGCAAGAGCAGCAGCATAACAGGCCCTGTCAGCAGCAGGCTTACCTGGCGAGACGCTGTAAGTGCTGGTCTTCAGCATGTGCTGCAGTTGTGCCGTGCATGCGCCGCAGCAGCAGCAGCAAAATAGCTGCCCTCTGCTGCTCAGAAAGAGACTCAGGCAAAGACAAAACCCCTTCAATTATATACGGCTGCAGCAGGTCACGCCCCACAAGCTCCGAGAGCCGCAGCCGCACAGGCAGCAGCCGACGTGCAGCAGCAGCAGCAGCAGCAGCAGGAGCAGCCTCTGCTGTGCTAAACGGCACCAAGACAAACACAGGGAGGCCCTCACTGCTGCAGGTAGCAGCAAATGCGGATAGCTGCTGCACCAAAACGCTCCGCAAGTCAATGCTGCTGCTGCTGCTGCTGCTGCTGCTCTTGTACGACGGCTGCAGCTGCAGCAGCAAATGCATGCACTCCAACACAACAAACACAGCCCCACCACCAGACAACAACAAACTCAGTTGTCGCTCAGTAAGTGGCTCCTGCTGCTCTTGCTGCTGCTCCTGCTGCTGCTGCTGCTGCAAGGCAAGCTGCAGCAGCGTCTTGCGGAAGAGCATTTGACGAGCGCGAGCCTCCGCAACTACTGCTGCGAGTTGATTCTGCAGCGACAAGCCTGCTGCAGTTCCGCCATTGCTGCTGCTGCTGCTGCAGAGGGCCTCCGCAGCACAGCAGGTAAACCACAAAGTGCTGTGGGAGACTCCCTGGGTAGCTGCACACTGCTGCTGCTGTTGCTGCTGCTGCTGTGTACAGTGATGCTGATGCACATGAGGGGATTGCTGCTGGCCTGTACCCCAGAAGCTGCTGCTGCTGCTGCTGCTGCTTACGCTGCTGCTGCTGCTGCTGCTGCTCCCCACAGGAGGCAGCAGGCGGTTAGTGTAATGCCCCAGATTAATGCGACGGGTGCCGCGACCTTCAGCAGAGCCGCAAACATCACCGCGCGTTGCCTTTACTGCTGGTTGTGCTGCTGCTGCTGCTGTTGCTGCTGTTGCTGCTGCTGCTGCTGCTGCTGCAGGTGATGGGGTTAGGGGAGGCAACCAGGGCGCGTGGGAGGCGACAGCGCGGCAGAAGTGGCGCGCGCCCTGACCTGCGCCGCAAACCCTAAACCCTAAACCCTAAACCCTAAACACTGAACCCTAAACCCTTAGAGAGCTCGGGAGTTCTGCTGCTGCAGTACTGCTGCAGCACTATCCGACAGGGCCAGGCAACAACGGCACACACAGGAGCAGCAGCAGCAGCAACAGCAGCAACAGCAACAGCAGGAAAGAAGATATCGGCCTCAGCAGCATTACTGCAATCACTCGCCCAAGGAACAGCGGTAATAACGCCAGCAGCAGCAACAGCAGCAGCACCAGGAGCGGAAGCATCAGTAGCAACAACTGCACGAGCAGTAACAGTAGCAGCAGCAGTAGCAACAACTGTAGGAGCAGCAACAGTAGCAGCAGCTGCAGCAGCTTCGGCTTGCCTGGGCCGCATTCTACAAGAAATCCGTGAGGGGGAGCATGACCATTAGAGGCAGCAGCAGCGGCTGCTGCGGCTGCTGCTGCTGCTGCTTCCTCCTCTGTATCTGACGGCTCAGCAGGTGGTGTACTGAATGCTGTTGTTGCTGTTGCTGCTTTTGTCGCTGCTGCGGCTGCTGCTGTTGTTGCTGCTGCTGCTTCTCTCAAGAAGGTAAAGGCAAAGGCGTCCCGCAGCAGCAGCAGGAGCTGCTGCAGCTGCGTATCTCTGCCTCCGTGGCAGCAGTTGCAGATTTGCTGCAGCCACTGTTGCTGCTGATGCTGCAGCAGCAATAAATAATCTCCGAAGCGGTCACGCTGCAGCAACACCGAGGCATTGTTCCGAATAGATGCAGCAAGGCGAGATATAGCTTCATCTGCTGCTGCTGCTGCTGGTGTTGCCTCCGTTGCAGTGGCGACTGCTGCTGCTGCTATTCCTGCTGCTGTGGCGGTTGCCGCTGCTGCATTTGCTGCTGTAGTAGTTGCTGCTGAAAGAGCCTTGCCTTCTTTTATATCTGCTTCTTCTGCCTCTGGTGAGAGGCTTACACGCCTCCATCTATAGGTGTGCGATGGGAAGAAGGAGCTGCACCCACTGGTGCTGCTGCTGCTGCTGTTGCTGCTGCTGCTGCCCCAGCTGTTGCTCTTTCCTGCTACGCTGTTACTGTCTGTGCTGCTGCAGTCTTCCTCACTGCTGCTGCCGCTGCTGCTGCTCTCAAGCACTAACCAATGGTCTGCAGCTGCTGCTGCAACAGCCACCCTTGGGAGGAAGGCTCCCGCAGCAACAGGGTGTGATGGGAGGCCGAAGCCAGCAGCAGCAGCAGCAGCAACAGGGGTCGTTGCAGTAGCAGTCTCGTTTCCTCTGTTGCAGCTGCTACCATGGGGATGTAGAAGCATGGTGGGGTTGCAGCGGCCGCAGCTCTCGATGCTCCTCGTGCTGCCGCCGCTGCTGCTGTTGCTGCTGCTGCTGGGGCCACCGTTGCTTGCTGCTGCTGTGGCTGCTACAACAGCACCAAAACGTCTCTGGTTAGGGATAGCGGAGCTGCCGTCTGTGTTTGTGTTGCTGCTGCTATCTGAACGAGAGTCACGGAGAGCCGAGGCCCTAAGCCCTATCTATCTATGCCTTGAACCCTCGAAGCCCTACAGCCAATTGCATGCAAAACAACTAATTTAAATCTCAATAAGAGCAAAATAAACAAAACTCTTTTCACTTTTTTCATAACTTCAATCAAATACCAGGGGGGCCCCACTGCCGCCTCTCCCGGCAGCGCCGATAGGGCAGGGGCCGCACAACGCGGTGTACGTACAGTGCACAAATAATAACAATAATAATAATAATTCTTATTATTGTTTTAGGTTTATTGTTATCTTCAATCATCTGTTTATCTGAGCAAGGCCAACAGCCGCTAGAAGAACTTCGCTGCTGGGTTCGAGCAAAACCCGAAAGCCTAAAAACACTGAAACCCTAAACCCTCAGGGATAAAAACTACTGCATATAGCGAAGTGTAAAGGTTTAAAACATCAAATGCATTTCTTCTCTAGGGCCTCTACAGGCCTCCCGTCCCTTCGTTTGAATAAAACCCCTGAAGTTAAGCAGCGAGACAAACCACCTCAAACAAATCTTACGCAGTACTTACTCCCTGCAGCAGCTCCTGATGCTGCTTGTACAGTAGCAGCAGCAGCGGCAGCTGCTGCTGCTGCTTATTATTATTACTTCAGTCTCTGTGCCTTCCCTCTCTCGACTGTCTCGCTGAGCTCGTAAAGGAACAGGCGTCAAGGAAATGAAGAAAGGAAAGAATAGACAAGCAGAGCGAGTAATGCACAAGTAGACAGCTTCATCGGCGACGTAACGCTGGCTATCCCCTGAGCTCTACGCCGACTGCACCGTTGTGTAAGGCGTCGTGGGGGCTTCGTCTTATATATTATATAATGTATATATGTAATGTCATGGTACTTCACGAGAGAAGTGCAAAAAAGAAGTTCCCTTCACGACATTGAGCCTAAGCACAACCTTTGAAAGACAATTATTCAACTGCCTTAAAAAAGTTCTTCTTACAGGTATTTAGAAACTTACAAACAGCAACAGTTAGCTAACATGAGACGTCAGTTAAGAGCTTCATAAGGCCGCCTACACTAGAGGCATCATTAAAGCATCTGTACGGAGCATAGACGTTCAGAAGAATCTTTGCAGCATTTTGTTTGCTTTGCTAAACAACTGCGTTGGAAATGATTGAACAAGCCAGACAGACACTGTCTTCAAAAAGATTTTTTTGTACAAACGCCAATAAGGTTCTTCATTTTTAATGCACAACCCTCTACTGTCAGTGGAAACTTCTTACGAATTCAAGCAGCAGAACCACTGGAGTAAGTAACAAAGACAGAGAGTTTATTAAGTGCAGCAAGACAGGGAGATACAAAGTATTTCCCTGCTGTATCCACTATCTCGCCCTTAGCGCTCTCTCTCCCCTGTAGCTTACTGCGAGGCTTACTGTTGTGCAGAGCTCAATTTCTTACACAAATTCGAAGTTGACTGTACTGAACACTAACGACTAGAATAGGAACCTCTGCGTAAGCGAGGGTATGTGGGAATTAGAACGAAAGAAGGGCTGCACCTCAGCCTGCTGAATCCTCCAACGAATCAAACGAGATGTAAGATATAATATCAAGCAGCTGACAGTATAGTAGGGAGGAATCAGTCTCGTAGTTGTCCGCCTATGAAGGCGCCCATGCAGATAGTCAAGCAGATAAGCAGCTTAAAGTGCTGGGCGTTTTAACGAGAGTAATTAGCAGCACATCCCTTTTCTGGATAACTTTTCGAAAAAAACAGTTTTAAACGACAGCGGCAGTAATGCTTGTTAATTGAATTGGGTTCCGTTGGCTCAGCACTTCACAACGAATGCACAACTAAGAAGTTGAACGGATACATCTATTTATAGCATGCTGAGTTTAGTCTATTTCTACCTTTAAACCTCCAGTTGTGGGGATTCTCTTCTCGGATTTCTCAGTTCCCTGAATGTTACTCATGGCCTTTGCCGTAGAAACTGAATACCAGCAAACTTTATCGAATAGGTGCCTAATAACTACCCCAATAGCACTGAGGGGGATAATTCGTTTAAATTTCTCTAATTCTTCGCTTGAAGATGCGACCAGCCCTTTGCTTTCCCCCGTGAAGGTTATCAGGTTAAAAATTTGCCGGAGTACTTCGTACTCCACAGCCCTCTCTCCTAAATACCCCCGTAGGGCTTCAGACTTGCAATGGCCGCATAAAGCCAAGTGACCTCCAGATTCACCAAAGCAAACTCAACTATAAACTCTTCTAGTTGCGGGCTATTTTGACCCCTCCGTGGCTGCTAGCTTGCGGAGCTCCTAGCTAATTTTGATTGAACCCGTATTACGAGATCGAGTAGCAGCATGCGTCAAAAGCCCCCATTCTGCTTCTTACATATATACGCCACATACATCTTCTGAATCAGTTTGCTGAACACCGTTATTGATTGTGGATTCTATGGAAAGGGAGACACAGAAGGTTAATTAGTTCCATCGTAGTCTGGTGCTGGTTCTTGAAGCATTCAAGTTCTGAGATATAAACTGTTCTAGGAAGGTAAGCGGGGTTGCCTGCTCTTGAAGCCTTAACAGAATATCCATACAGAAATTGGAGCTAGACGCTTGACGAGATCCGCTGTATATAGGTAGCCTGTAGCTATGCTCAGGCCAGCACGCAACTAGCGTCTTCATGTTAAACTGAAGAAACGAGGGGAGGGTCGCAGCATGGACAAGCATTAAGTTTATGTATTCAAGAGCACTAGACAGGGTCGCACTGCGGAGATGCACTCATTTTGCATATTCAGAGGCAGTAAATCAGTTTACCTGCATATTGTTTACCTGCATGCACAGCTGACAAGCATCATAAAGCCATCAGATGTGCTGCAATACGCGTCTACGACAGTGGATAGTTTTTCTAGGTGGAGCTTTTGAGAGAGGTATTCGGTATCCACAATTATAAGGTGGCAGTGAGTACATTTTTGTTGCCGTTCCCGTAGTGTATGCGAGGTAGTAGTGGAGCACCTCATATGGTTGAATCCCCCAAAACGCAAGTTGCCGTGCTTTGTCACCCTTGATTCTCAAGTTCTTTGGTTTCTCTGTTGCGTGCTCTAGTCTTTCAATCAAATTCCTGAATTTTTGTGTCTAATCTTCCCCTAGGTATGTATGAGACCACTTCGAAAAACTATTATTATTACTGCTATTCGAAGTTTCAGCCCTCCTGAGCCTTCGTAAATTGTAGTGAAGATTAGCTCACAAGGGCTTAACAAATTAGCATCACTTTTCTGGGAAACAAAAAGCAGAACAGAAGCTCAAGAGTACACGGCCAGAGCCCCCTGAGTCTGGCTGGGGTCGTTGGTTACCATCTGCTGTTGCACTGATGGTCGATGTTTCAAAGCACACTTAATTTTTGTTTTTTTGAAGCTTTGTCAAACCCTTTACTTGAATCTGAACCGTCGGTTGCCATGCATTTGTTTGCGTTTGTTTCTGCTTGAGCCCTTTTAACAAGGGGCTTCTAAGTCAGGAACCCCTCGTGAGCTTGCCCTTCTAGTTGCTGTTGATTTGATTTTTAGGTTGAAAATATTCTTTCTTTGTGTTATCATTGATTCTTGTGTTTGTCTAGCCGTCTTGGGGCAGCGTTTCGTATGGCCTTTCCGTAGCAGCCAGGGCTGGCTCCCCGGTTTGAGCGTGCGTTGTGCAGGTGTCTCGGCGGTTGTCTGTAGGTGTTTGTTTGCTGCTTTTAACACTTTAGCTGAGGAACGATGAGCCTGAATGGGGCATCGCCTGCCCTTTGTTCGGGCGTCGGTGGGGGAGGCCGCGATGCTGACCCGAGCAGCGTAGGGATGATGGAGGGGGCGTTCTTTGTGAGTCGAACGGAGCTTCTGGACTGGCTAAATAATACTCTCGGCCTCAGTCTTACACGCGTGGAGCAGTGCGCTTCAGGATGCGTATATCTTCAGGCGCTGGACAATCTGTTCGGGCCTAAGAGCCGAGTTCCAATGAACAAAGTTAAGTGGGGCGCCAAACATGAATATGAATTCGTTCACAACTACAAATTGTTGCAGGCTGCGTTTGACGCACACGATGTGCACAAACACATCGAGGTCAACCGCCTTGTCAAAGCCAAGTACCAAGACAACTTGGAGTTCCTCCAGTGGTTCAAGGCCTTCTGTGACCGCCAGGCAGCCCTCTACGCGACAGACGTCCCCTACGATCCAGTTGAAAGAAGAAAAGTACGCTGCAGGCGCCTTGCATGCACACTGCGAGTATTTTCCACGCTGCGGCTGCTGCTGTTTACGGTTGCTGTGCTGAAGGGATCGCTTTCGGTGTATGGGGGGGCTTCATACATCTCTTTATTCTGTTGCTGCTGCCATTGTTTCTGTTTTTTGTCTGTTTTTCAGCTAGGGATTGGACCTTTTCCTGTTTGGGCCCCTGTTGGCGCTGACACGGGCGCTAAGAAGCCTTCTGCTGCATATGCCGCATCCACAGCAGCAGGGAGGTCAGCAGCAGGAGCGCACTCGTCCTCTCGCTGCCGCGTGCAGCAGCAGCAGAAGCAGCAGCACGCAAGTGCTGGTGCAGGAGCAGAGGCTTCTAGCGGCGCTTTGGGCAAGAGGCTGCATCAGCAGCAGGGGGGGCAGCAGCAGAGGGGTCTCGAGGACGCAGCAGCAGCAGCGGCCGCTGCAGCAGCTGTGGAGACACTGCAGGGGGAACTGCAGCAGGCTGTGTTGGAGCGGGACTTCTACTATGGGAAGCTGCGCCGCATTGAAATATTGTGCGGTGTGCAGGGGCAGACTTCTTTGAGTGTAGAGGCCGTCCAGGCCATCTTGTACGCCAAAGACCATCCGGAAGAACACCCAGAAGCAGCAGGAGGAAACCTCTGAGCCTTCATTCTGCGAGGAAAGTGGAGGGTGTTATGTGGGCGTGCTGGGGCCAGCACTTCATCTATCAGCTGCAGGCTGGATGTCACGACGCGTCGAAACCCGCTCACTTGTCTGTACAGCTGTTCAGTGCATAAAGATATCTGAAGGCGCTTTCGAGGGTTGGTGCCACTTATATGTGCATTGCTTGGGATATTGCTGCGGTTGACTTCGGTCTCCCTGGGCTTCCTGCACCCTGTAGTCCCTGAATTGCCCCTCAAGATAAGCGTGTTGACCGAATTTCCATTGTTTTTCACCAGTATCGGTACTGATTTCTATATATCCGAATATTTCTTTTGTCTTGAAGTCCCCCGCGACGCTGGCCGTGCTTAGACTAGCTGGTCGAAATCTGAAACGGAAACTGCGCTTTCCTGATGTAGCATTGGGATGATGAATGCCAACTTGGGTAGTGGCCGTTTGCTCGCAGACAATTGATTGTTATTCTGTTCCCCTGCACTCACAGATCGTCAGTCGGGGATTTAACTGCATCACCACCACCGGGCTTCCCTCTTATCCAGAGTAGCGTGTGCTTCTCATTCTACGCCCAAGTGGCTCACGGCTACTTATCTTGCTCCTCAAAGAAAACTCGAAAAGGATGACTTTTAACCACCCGAGGGGTGTCGACCAATGACGGATACCCACACATTTTGGGCCTATTATTTTTGAATCAGGTTATTCAAACGATCTGAGGTCGTCTGCTGCGAAGGTATTCGCATTTGTATTTTGATGTTTTCCGGATTCTTACATGCACCCTAGTTCATTCTCATGTGCTGTACAGCTCCCCCTAGTTGAATACACTGTAGAACCTCAGAAGAGACTTAGCTCTTTTTATGCAACTGCTTTAGAAGGCGGGCGCGCAGGCAGCTGGCTGTAACGTGGGTGGCTGTAGGAGAACGATAAAGGAGTTTAAGTTCCCTTCTTGTGTATTGAAGAATCAAGTTTGCATCGAAACATCTTGCATAGGTATTGATCGCCATAACAGACCACGAAAAACGGCTCCAGACTAAGGTCTCTGGCCTAGAACTGTGTGGCATGGTTTCTCGTTTTCCTAAACAGTAAAGCTACTCAGTTAAACCCATGCAAAGCCAAGCTTCAGCTTAATCTAGGAAAGCTCTGGAGGTCCACAGCAGGAATCTAGCTTCTTGAAGTGGTTTATTGCTTGAGGAAGCACACCAATTGAGGGATTTGCGCGAAACCCTGGAGCACGCAACAGAGAAGCCAAAGGGGTCGAGAGGCAGAGGAGGCAAGGCAAGTCAACTCCCGTATTTTGAATGCTCTGCCGTACAAGATGTTTACTACTGCCAAGCGTCTGTTATGTGAACGTCAGAGAAACGGGATGTTCCTAGCCATCTCTGTGGCAAAGGTTTCGGGGAATCACAGACAGACACCGAGTTTTTCTCTCAAAAACTACAACCAGGGAGGTTGTACGACACCGCAGACGCGTATTGTAGCACATATGTTCGTCCCTTGCGAGGCACAAGAAGACAAGGGTGCTTATAGCAAAAGACAAAGGGGTTTCCTTGTGTCTTCGTGATTAGAGAATGGGTTTGCAAGTAAATTTTCGGCAAGGGAATATACGTAGGAGCAGAGCTGGCCATAGCTAACTGACTACGCCCACGCCATTTGTGAGTCGGCCGACGACGGTACTCTCCTCTCCAGAACAGGGCGTGGTGGGCCATGTCGAGGTCCGCGGAAAAAAGGCCAACAAGGCCATTGAACACCACTACTATTGCCCATTGATGTGTACTAACTTCTGAATAAATTTTCCTGTACATCTGCTGCAGGGAACCCCAAATGGGTGGCTTGGTTTGCACGACCGCCAGATGGCCGAATACTCACTTCACGAGTAACCGGCCCAGTTTCATCACAAAAAACAACTTAGATACAGATCTTGAAAGGTTATCCATCAGCAAATAGAAGTTTCAAGGCAAAATGGGGATGAAGGCTGACAGTTGCATTGGTGCCCGAACGGTCCATCCTTCGCCCCTGCCGCGCATGTGGGCTTCACGAAAGGTATTGGGAAAAAGCTTGCCTTAACAGGACATATGGTAATAAAAAGTGTCTTTATATATTATATGTTAGGATAATGTTGAAAAATGGCCTTTCCGCCATTTTTCAGTCATTTTTGCAGATCCCGTGTGGGTAACCTGGCGCCACGCGCCACCTCAATGGAACCACCCCGCCAAGGACCCCAGTGGGCTACAGCGGCCCTTGATGCTCAAATTGGCCTCCACCCCACGGGCTAAAGCTTGTCGATTCGTCGTCTTAATTGTTGCAAATGGTATAAACTGGCACTGTTTTTCCTTTTTCTTGTATAGAGAGTGATTGGCTGTTTAGCTGAGCCCCGTCGTCGGAGTCAACTGACTCATACTTGGGGCTATGAAAACATTGCATTGCCAAAAGTCAGGCAATTCTCACTACCAAGTTGACAACAGTGGCTTTTCTTCTTCTTTTAAGTGTATTTCTTGTCCCTCTTGTCTGTTTACTAACTGCTTCAACCCAGCAAACTGCTTTTCAAGACCGAGCATATCTTGCAGACACACCAGCGGACCTTCCGGGATCTTTGTGCGGGAGGATCAGCAATATTTTCTCACAACGCGTTCATTAAAAGCTAAAGGACCGAACTTCGGGCTACTTGCGGGTCCCTCCCCATTGGGGAGTTCAGACTCAACGCGCTCAAGAAGCCAACTCTAAGAACGAACCCCCTTTGGCGCCCAGTCTTTTTTGCTTTGTTTCTGGCGTAGTAAAACCTTCGAAATCAGCTGCACTTGATCTAGCAAGATGACGCACCGGATTCCGCACGGTTCGTTCCCCACAGATCTCTTGCCAGGCCAGTGCCTCGACGGCTGTTCAGTTCATATCCTTAAGCTGGCCCTTGACCGGATCTTTGCTGCTCTCAACAAGGCAACAACCAGTGGAGAAGGTGATCTGTTCATGGTAGAACAGCAAGAATCAGGGCAGAATTTGTTGCAGCATCGTTGCCCACAGCTGCAACAACAGCCTACACACCAGGGTCCGCAGACGTTCCCCGAGCAGTTCTCCCAATGGGAGCACCAAAAACCTCACAGTGTGACCACTTGGAAGAAGCATAAAGGGATGCTAGAATCGCGGGAAGCGATGGAAGCAGAAGCTGTCGCCACCCTGCAGCAGCAACGCAAGCTACTGGAGGCGTACGGAAAACAGATCCAGCAGCAGCAACAACAGTCCCTGCATGCAATCGACTTACTACAGCGAGAGAGAAGGGCTCTCCACAACTCCGCAACTCCCGGCGAGATGATACAGGATGTGGTGTTTAGGTTGCATCAGCGCGAAGAACGAGTGCTTGCACAGCTGAGGGGGGAGCAGCAGCTGCAACAGATTCTCCACATAGTTCTGAGTCGTTGCGTGCATCTGCAGCGGCAGATCGAAGAACTCAAGCAGCGGCGAGAGCAGCTGTTGCAGTTTTGCCGTGGAAGAGTTGAGGATGTGGGACCAGGGGAATGTTCGTCCTCAGCCCTCACGAAACAGCGTCCGACAGGCCTTCCAACAGTTCTCTGCTCTCCATGGCGAATACCTGTCGTTACAGCCCATGACGATACTGCATGCGAAGCGTTCGCTATGCACGAATGGCTACGGGAGAGAGGCGTTCCGCATGGAACCACAACTCCATGCAGGAGCAGCTTCAGCACCAGCACAAGCAGCAGGAGCAGCAATGCCCACCGTATCGCTCCAACTGCCTTCCAGCCGACAGATGAGCATCGTGGCCGGCCTTCGTTGCTTCGGGGGTCTGTTGCTCCCACCATACGCAGATGTTATGGAGATATGGGGCAGCAAGATAATGCACTGCTTCATCTACAGCATCAGCACTTTGTTGACGGGTCAGTCGAATGCAACGCTGCCGGCGGCACAGACAGCACAGCAGTTGGTGCTCTCCAGCAACAGCAATATCTGAAACAGTGGCAGCATGACCCTAGGGGATGGCAGCACGTTTCCGGTAGTGAGGAAAGGGCCGCGTTGCGAGGAAACCTTCTGCAGCAATCTAGACAACAGAGCGTAGAGCCCGAAGGGTTGGTGGCATTGCAGCTTAAGCACCAGCAGCAGCACGAACGGGAGCAGCAGGCGCAGCAGCTGCAAGAGCGAGAGGAGGACCTAGATATCGGCAACACAGGCACAGAGGCGACTCAGTACAAGCAATGCGATGACAACGATCCGCGAGTGGCTGAAGATCGAAACAGCCTCGAGGCTTTAGACGGGGGATCGAATGGAGGCTCAGCTCTGTGCGGAAAGAGAGCGATGAATAGGGAAGAGTATCGGCAGACAGAGTCGGGGCTGCAGCTGACGATTGAGCAACAACGCCACCAGTTGCTGCTCCATCACGAAGAGCTACAAGACTTAGAGAGATGTATTTATGAAGCCATGGCTAATGAAGAAAGCGGATGGGTCGTGGGTTCCCTCGAAGCTCAGCAGCAGCAGCAGCTGCACCAGCAGCAAGTAGCCGCTGAAATCCATCTAAGGAGCTGCAGACTCTTGGAACTGTGTTCGCTACTGGCTCCCTATACAGTGCAGACCGAGCAACATGTAGAGGGGCGACAGCAGCTGGGTGACAGCCCCCAGCCACAGCCACCAGAGGCGGAGGTGAGACTGCTGCGTCAGACTCAGGCAACGTTGGCAAGCCTACTTGAAGATAGGCTACAGGAGTGCTCCCCATCTCAGCAGGTACATCTGAAGGAACGCCAGTTTGCCGAATTGGCGGAGCAGCTACAACAGCTGGAACACCTTTCAAGAAGCATGACCCCTCATGCACGACGCGCCGTAGGCTGCATTCTTGGGGAGCTGCACCACTACTCTGAAGGCTTGCGGCAGCAGCAAAACAACCAGATATCGTGGAGGCAGCGGCGGCAGCACAAGCACCAAGAGTTGGTGTTTGCTGCTGCACTGCGGGAGGTAGAAGACTTCGTCCTGTGGCGGCTGCAACAAGAGCAAGACAAACAGCAGCAGCAGCAGCAACGGCTGCAGCATCAGGAGGAAGTCAATCGCAAGCAACAAAGCCAGGCACAGCCTTCGCACCAGCACAGTGAAGTATTCAGGGGGCAGTCAGCATCAAGGCAAAAGGATGAGGTACAGCAAACAGCGGAAAGCCATGGAGCAGACCTCGAGAATGCATCGTCTTACAGGCAGTTGCGGCAGGGAGTTGAGTTGCTGCAGACAGCAGTGCAAAGCATTTCTGCTGCTAACAAAGACCGCAGTAAGAGCAAGAAGTGCAGCAGCAGCAGAAAAGGCGAGAAACAGCTACTCTTGTCTCCACGGTGGTCTCCCGTGTACGCCATCTTCTGTCAGACACTGGGCATTGCTGCAGCTGCCAGAGGCAGCAAGGCGTCTTCATTGGCTGCCGCGCGGTTCCTGCCTCTTAATGCTGCCTCTGCTGCGAGTTCTGAGGACGACGAGGCTTCAACAAGAGGAAAGGCAGCAAGGACCTACCGCAGACGCGCTACAGCAGCAGCACCTACTGCAGCAGTAACAGAAAAGTTTATCCAACCCGTGGGAAACTTCCAAACGGGGGGAGAGAACATCAGGCGAGAAGGAACAGCAAATGTTCAAGCTTTTGGAACTGCTGCAATGAGGGAGCCTACACGGCAAGCGCCAAATTCCCTGATGTCTGGCATGTGCATCGATGCATCACCAGCAGCCCAAGAAGCACCAACCACAACGAGAGCAGGTGCAGCTGCCCCAAGTGGCGTTTCTTGGAACCCAATAGCGGCAGCAACAGTAACAACAGCAGCAACAGCAACGGAAACGGCGACAGCAACGGCAACTACTGCTCCCTCCGGCGGACTGCGGGGGACTTTGTTGCATGCCCAAATACAAACGCAAGGCCATGCAGCACCCGTGATGGCCGGTGCAGCTGCAGCTGCAGCCGCAACAGCAACATTTATGTCGGCAACAACAGCAGCAGAAGATACGATGAACTTTTGCACGGAATGTCCGCAGAGAGGGGAACAAGAATTAAAGTTGAGGTGCGAGCAGATCTTCCAGCAACAGCACTGCACTCAGGCGCTACGGAATCGGCAGCAACAGCAGCCACAGCAGCAGCCAAAGCTGCAGCCCCATATGCAACCGGAATTGCTGCCCATGCAGCAGCAGCATCGGATACAGCAACAGCAACAGCAAATGCTCTTTCAGAGGAGGCAGCTCCTGCAGCTCCACCAACAACAACTGCAGCAGCAACACGTAGTTAATCAGGCGCAGCAGTTGTCAACCTTTTGCCAAGACAAGCAGCACCTGCTGCTCCAGCAACAACAACTGCACCATCAGCACAAGCTGCAGCAGCATCTACTTCACCAGCAACAGCTTCAGCAGCAGCAACAGCTCCAGCAGCAGCAACAGCTTCAGCAGCAGCAACAGCTTCAGCAAAAGCAACAGCTACTGCTGCAGCTGCGGCAAACGTCGCAGTGGCGACCCTTTGAAGGGACACCCAGTCCCCAACCGGCGCAGATGGTGCACAATATGCAGCAGCAGCAGCAATGGCAACAGATGCAGCAAAAACGCAAGTGGCGACCAGAGGGGTGCAACACTGCAGATTCTGCTGCAGGCGAAAATGAAACAGAGGCTCGGTCGGCCGCTGTTGGAGACGTTGTTTGTGGCGACGTACCTGATGAGCTCTTTCCCTGCAGACAAACCGCCTTTGCAGGGTCGGGCAGCTGCAGCCAGCACCAACTTCCATCCGAAGAAGCCCCCGGAAATGCGGCAGGTGCTACGCAGACAAGCGAACCAACCTTGCCTCTGTTTCCCGCAGCTCATGGCGCGTCTGGTACAGCATCAGCTGCTGAGGAGAAGAGACAAGCATCGTGCTTAGAGCAGCAAGGGCAGTACTCGGCAGCAGCAAAGGCCAACGCAGCTGAAGCACGAAAAGAAGCAGAACCAAACAACATTGAACAATCTGCAGAGGGCGTCCGTTCACTTTTGGTGGACCTGTTGCTGTGCCTCTGCTGCCCCAGCAATGCCGAGCGGATATTAGCAACAAAGAAGGGTCAAATGGCTGCACAAACAGCGGCAACTGCAGCAACAGCAGCAGGGGGGGCAAGCGCATTTGTGGGTCACAGCTTGGAGTGTGTAGAAGTAGCGGATCCTCAACATCCTCTGCGGCTCGGAACACCCTGCAACGAAACCGCCTTCGCCAGCCGCCTCCGCGAGGGGTGCCAACCCATTCCTGCATGTCACAAGGTGTGCTGGTTTTTGTCTGGATTTATTTGTCCATATTTTTCTCTGTATTTCCTTTTCCGTTCGATTACCGTTAACATCGTCCGCATCTTGCCTTTGTGTCCCCTTTTTTTCCACTACTGGCCCAAACAACTGCAGTTTCAGTAAGCTGGAGGTGCGCAGCAGAGTCCGCCATTGCGTCTTCCCACAGGTGCCGGTGGTGTTGGGCCACATTTCTGGGCGGGTGACGCTGAGTTCAAAAATGGACTCCGTGGACGGCTCTTCAGCCCGCTTTGGACTGTCTTTCTGTCCTGAGGCGATCGTTTGTGAGTTCGTCTCTGTGCTTCTTGAGCCCCAAAACACGCAAAGTCCTCGTTCCATCTGTAGCCTTCTTCCAGACGCAATTGCCTTTCCGTGCATCGCCGCGCAAAATCCCCTGGAAAAGCTATGAAACTAAAAGCCGTCGAGCCGTCGGCCTGGTGCGCTTGCTGCTGTTGTGCTTGCTGCCGCTGCTTCATTTGCTGCTGCTTGTTTGCAGCGGGCTTTATAGGGGCTGGAGTGCCGCCTGCGGCCGCTAAATCTCCTCTTCTGCTGCCGGCAGCTGACTGTTTATGCCTCTCCGTTTGTACAGCGGATGGCCGCGTTGCCGCCCCTGCAGCAGCAGTGCGACATTTCGAAGTCCCTCGGCTTGACGCCCCAACACCGCTTTCTTTTCAACAAAACTGCGAGCTGCATACTGTCAGCCCCCATGCTTTTATTGATGCTGTTTTGCATGCAAAATATTCACCAAGGGGCGTGAAACTCTCCTGCGGGTGCTGCACGCCTAATAGCTCTGCGCCCACATCAGAAGTGATTCAGTTTTATGCAAACTGCAAACCAGCGAGTCTGGCGTGCGTTTGCATTATGCGGCGTTACAGGTGTATGTGAACGGCTGGCCCCACTTGGTGTTAACTTCCATTCCAGGGATTGCCCTGAACGCAGGCGACTTTCTGTTTGCAGACTTGGGCCCCCGACTCTTCATGCGACTGAGACAGAGGCTTTGGCAACAGGCGGCTTTGCGACTTCTAGGTATGAGCGGGGCTTCAAAGGGAGGATAAGCGGTGGGGTGGTGGCTTGGGATTTAGGGCTCAGGATTGATGGTTTAGGGTTTAAGGTTTCGGGGTTGCTCTGATGATTTGCATGCGTACTACAGAAGCAGGGCCGCGTGCAGCTCATCAGATAAGGGGAGCAAAATGCATACAGTGTGGCCTGGAAGTCGTTCTGGGCGGTAATACTTCCCCTTCCCTGTCGTTAAATCCTAGCCTTAAACAGGACCTCTCTGGGCAAGCAGCAATTTTAGCGTTGGGGGGTACCTCGGGTTTTGCATTGTCTGAGGGGTGTTTGCGGCCTGCAGAAGAGTTGATTCTCTGTTGCTGCTGCAGCTCGCTGCTGCACTTACGCTGCACGTTTCGACGCTTTCGCGGTTCATCCGAATCTTTGGTCTGTCAGCGGTGTCACGTCCTAAGCGAGTGAGGGCCTGTTCAGGGATGCGAATCCCCTAGGGGCTGCAGCAGGGCTGCAGCAGAGCAAGCACGCTAGTGGAGCTAGTGCTGTCCCGGCGGGATTGGGCAAGTGTACCCGGCGAACGTTCAAGAAAAGCGGCACACAGAGAAGGCAATTGCGCACGAGTTGCTCTGCCTTTTGTGTGTTTTTGGGGTCGTTGTACTCTCCCCACCGATCGAAGGACGTTTTAGCTTATTGTCCCATATTATGTCTCTGGTGGCTGGCTCTTGTCGTTTCCGCTTGTATCTTCTGCTTGGTCTCTACGTAGATACGCCTGCAGTAGTTTGCACGGCTGCGCTGGGTTTGCGGCTCCTGCAGGAGAGTGAAGGGTTCGCCTCCTGCAGATGAAATTCTTCTTGTGCCCCTTCGCTCGCTTATTAACAAACACCAGGCTCAACAGCAGCACGAAGACCTGCAGCCGCTGCTGCAGCGCCGACAGCAGCGCCAACTAGTGCGCCAGCTCCTGCACCAACTAAGTTGCAGCGAAGCTCTGCCGCCTGAAGATCGAACCGAGCAGCAGCAAACGACTTGGCCGACATGCGCCTTTCTTGGGCCTGCCTCGAATGTCCCTGCATTTAACACTTCCGAGTGTTTTGCTGCCCTTCTACTCTCTATCCTTGCTGGCAGTGATACAGGGAATGGCCCATTTGCAGCAGCCGCTGCTGCTGCAATCGCTGCTGCCTCAGCTGCGGCAGTGAGGCAGCCTCGTTATGACTTTCCCAGCAGTACAACTCTCAACGGGCCAGACGCTGATGGTTCTCCTGCGCGGTTGTCCTACATCTGTCAATGGCGTGACACGGCGCAGTTGGCTGGATTGGATGCGGAGGACTCTGGGGCCCTGGCTGCTGCCTTGCGGCCCTGTGCCAAGTGCTACAGAAGGGTCGTGCTACAGCAGCACTATCGACGCCTGCAGCAGCTAAAGCAACTCCAGCAGCGGCTACGCCGGCAGTTGGAATGGCTGTGGGTTTCTATGCAACAACAGCAGCAGCAGCACATTACCGAGCAAGCAGCCTTCATTATAGAGAGACTTTCACTTCACCAGACACCCACCCCTTTCTCACCTCCCCCGAGGAGGCAGATGTTGCAGCTGCTGCTACACCAGAAGCTCGCCAGGGAAAAGAGCTGCCGCGAGCAGCAGCGACTGCAGCAGCTGTATGACCTGGTTCGCTTGGTCTTGTTTACATTAGAAAAGCCAATTTTATGCCAAAGAAAAACAACCGTAGAGAAGCAGCCGCTTCTGAAGCACCAACAGCAGCGTACGGGACAGAACCACCTTGCTGAGCCCCATCAGCACCTGATGCAGATGTTACAGAAAGCGCTTCAAGCAGCAGAGGCCCAGCAACCACGCAGCCCTTCGCGTCTCCACAGGCTAGTACAAGAGATTCAAGAAGCTGCCGCATTGGCTGCAGAGAAAGGCAGCAGCGCTGACAGCAGCAGCATGCTTGCCACCTCCTTGACCTCGGACAGCACAAACGTGCTGTCGTTGCCTCTCTTAGGCACTGCATCCCATGCGGAACAAACGGAAGCAGCAGTAGCAGCAGCGATTGCGGGCAGCAGTAAGTGGCTTGCTGCGTTGGCGCAACAAGCACCCCCAGCCATATTTGCTGCAGCTTCGGCTGTTGCAGGAAGGAGCCTATCCACAGGTTTATCAATAGCTGCACTTAGGTGCCGCCTCCTTTCAGGACATGGTGAAGCTGCATCGCAAGGCCTTCAGTCCGCCGTCGCGCAAGCAGCCGAGGATTGGAGACACAGTAAGATTTACACCAACCGTACTGGCTCGCCCCAGCAACAGACTTGTAAGCATGTGCATGCGTTGCGGTGTGGCTGTGCTGGTGCAGTCAGCCAAGTGCTGCTGAGGGCGTGCAGTAGGCGTCATCAACTCCTGCGTGCTGCCTCAGCGCTGCTCCAAAGAGAACCTCAGCTACTTTTTTCCTTGCAAGACAGCTCGAAAGACGGGCCCTACCTTCCCATAACACACCAAACAGGGCAAAAGAAACAACAACAAAAGGGACGACGTCAGCAGAATCAGCCACAGGAGCACCAATCGCAGCAGCAGCTGCAGCGGCAGCAGCACCTACAAGAGCAGCCGCTGTCTCAGCAGGTTCACGGTAGCGAGGGAGATATCGAAGCCTCCATCCAGTGCATGTTAACGGGAACGCATCCTCAAAGGATGGTGGAACCGAACGCGCAGCAACAGCAACTCCTACACATGCACGCGCAGCAGCAACAGCTGTTGCAGTACGAGCAGCAGCTGTATCAAGCAGCGCTGCAGGCCTCGCAGCGTTTGGATCAGCCAATGCAGCAGCTGAACTTGCAACATTCACTACAGAGGCAGCGCTTGCAGCAAGGACGCTCAGACCAGAGCCTACAGCAGCAAGCTGTGCACCAGCTGCAATGGGGGAAGCGCCTACAGCCACGCCAACTTCAACAGCTGCAGCTGCAGCAAAAGCTGCAGCCCCAAATACCTCTGCCTCTTCAGGCCCCCGCTCTGCACCCCGCTTTGTTGCAACAACATATGCAGTATCAGCAGCAGAACTCGCAACAACAACATTTGGAGCCTTTGAAACAACCGGGTTTCCAGACACTGCAACAGCAGCAACTGCAGCATTTACATCACTTGCATCAAGCACACCTACTGCAGCAGCAGGACTTAAGAGTGCCTGCCGAGGAAACCTCCCAAGTAGCAAGAGAGTTAAGGGGGGCGGTAGAAGACGAGCAGATGCACCGAAAGCAGCTGCAGCAACTCCAGCTGCAACGGCACCTCCAGCTACAGCAGCAGCTCCAGCTCCAGCTCCAACACCAGCACGCACAACAGCGGCTACACGTGCAGCAACTGCACCGGCAGCAAGACCTCAGTCTTCAAAGCTTGCAAGAGCAATTGGTTCAGCAACTGACTCCACCTCAACGTGAGGCGCAACAGATCGAGAGACAGAACAGGCACCTGCAGCAAAACGGCATGCTCGAGAACGAACATGGACATCATCTAGGCCAGCAGGCAATACAGCCGCAGAAACTGCAACATGATGAGACTCACATACAGCACCAGCAAGAGGAAGATGAACAGCAGCAACAAGAGAAGCAACGCCGTCGCTACAGCCAGAGGCAGCAGCGGCAGCTACTGCAACCGAGGAGCCTCAGGCGAGAGAGACTCTGTCACGGTAGCACCAGCACCGCCAACAGGATGCTAAAGAACCGCCCCCCTTTGTATGCCGGTGCAGCTGCGAAAGTTTCCACTGAAGGGAGTTTTCGGTACACAGCAAGGAAAGACGAGCAAGAAGATAATGAACACGAGCCCACTGCAACAGACTCGGCGACAGAGACGGAAGTTCGCTCTAGTACAGTTGCTTCAGGACGTGATATGATAGCAAATGCTGCCTCAACAGCTCTCGATAGGCTAACTGAAGCAAGGGAGAGGCAACACCTAGCAAAGCAGAAACTGAAGGGAGCGAGGAGGGTGCGAGCGCTGAGCTGCATGTTGGCCCAGAAGTCCGAGAACCATGCCACAGCTGTTGCCACCGCTGCTACTCAGACACTTCATGGCCCGGTTTCGGTTTTTCGTAACAGGATATCCAGATTGAAAGTCAACGCGGATTTGGCAGTGGCTAGTGCTCGGTCTCTTGTTGCTGCCTCGAAGCAAAAAGCAGCAGCAGCTATTGCCGGCGAAGAAACTGCGACGCAGGAGCTGTCTGCAGCGAATACTGCAGTTAACACCGCGGAAGTAGTTGCAGCGGCGGAGCAGCCTGCAGCAGCAGACGCCTGTGAGGAAGCAGGAGCAACTGCTGTCCCTGAGCCTTGCAGCAGCGAGCAAATGCAGATCGCAAGCCCCCCAACGCAACAGCGAGGCCATCCCACAGCAGGTTCCCCAGCAGAATCCGCAGCAGAATCCACAGCAGATTCTGGTGCAGCACCTGCGGCTCCGGGAACACCAAAAATAAAAATTGGAGGAAGACAAGAGGCCAGCGGAGATGCAGCAAGTGGACAAGAAACAGGTGACCCAACAGTGGCACCTCCACCGAATTTCGGCTGCGTAATGAGGCGGGAAAACTGCGTGGATACAAAAGAAGCAGGGACACGGGAGGCTGGTCGACCATGGGTTATTCAAGATGTAACGGATACGCAAGGAACAACAGGCGCATCAGGAGAAAGTAATGCTCCAGCAGCTCTCGAAGCAAGGATTGCAACAGCATCCGCTGAAGCGGAAGGTGCTACCACTGCCGCTGCTGCTTTGTTGGATAGTGCCATTAAGGCGCCAGAAGTCGCCGCAGCAGCTGCTGCAGCTGCAACAACCGATGCATTGCTACTGTCTTCAAATGCACTTCCAGAATCACCGGCGAAGCAAAAGTTCGTTTCGAAGTCTGACGGGCTTCTTGCAGCGGCAGCAGCAGCGGCAGCAGCAGCGATGGTAGCAAGAAGGGCTAGAAGAAGACTGCCAGGAAGGCTGACAAATAGGCGAAGGCGAATATTTGCCTACTGCTGCCGCGAAAGTATAGGCGACGCCTGTACCTGTACTCAGTGCAGCAGCTGCAAGAAAGAAACTGCTGCTGCACCTGTCCCTGCTCCCTCACCTGCTGCTGCTGCTGCGCTTGCAGCGCGCAGCAGCAAGAGGGATGAAGGTCTTCAGCAGACGGGGCACATGCAGATATCACTTAGGTCAAGGAGAGGAAGAAGTACTGATGCTGCCAGCGTTGATACAGCATCTACCAGCAGCATCAGCAGCAGGAATTTGCGAAAATGGAGAGGCACCCGAAAAAGGGAGAGGAGATGCAGAAGCAGTTTCCCTTCTCCCAGCAGCGACGAATCCAGCAGCGTCAACATAGACAGCAGCAGCGGGAGTGATTGGGAAGGCACCATCACTCGGCGGAAGAGCCAGCCTCAATACAGAAGGCACCAGGACGCTTCAGCACCTACATCAGCTGCTGCACCCTGTCCAGCAGCAGCTCTGCGTCGGGCTGAAGCACTTGCATTCGGTGGCAGAGCAGATTTGGAAGGAGATCCTGTGGAGCAAAGGCAGCAGCTAGTCTCTCTCAGTCCAGTCGTGGCCGGCCTGCATAAAGACAGAAGCAACGTTTCGAACGCCGGTGCCTCTACCTTGAGAAGCGCCCGCAGCGGCCTGCGAAGCTCCCTCCAGTATAACGGAAAATCCCGCTACTGCCCCACACCCGTTGTCACAGACCAAGGGCCAAGGCTACTCCCACAGATCCCCAGCCAGCACTGTGGAACCAGCAGGCAGAAGCAGGGGCAGCAAACAGCGTCCCCACGCAGTAGCTGCCGTATTCTGCGCAGCCATAGCAGACACCCGGCAGCTGCTGCAGCAGTTGAAGGAGCCGAGGCAACTCTTGAGATGAATCTGATAAAAGAAAAACCCCTCACAGCACCATATCCATCCTCTGGGGATCCCCTTGCGACAGGGGGAGCGAACGAGTCCGCGCTTCCCGCCACCCCTGATACAATTTCAACGGAACCAGCAGATGCCGAAGAAGGTCACGAATGCCCTTCCAGCTCGCGCTGCAACGCATGCAACGCGCGACAGCCCAAGACTTGCCGGGACCACTGCGAAGCATCCTCTACGGATAGCGGTATCCAAACACCCTTCAAGAAGAGGTCAGTGCCATTTGCTTATTTGCGGCACGAGGAACATGAACAGGAGGAACAGTGCGAGCACGAAGAGCTAGCTGAGCAGCAAAGGCGACGCCAGCCACTCCCAGTTGCAGCCAGCATCCGCAGCTTGCGCGGCAACAACGGAGTAGTCGGAAGACACACCGCAGCAGCAGAAACAGATGCAAGAACTGTCGAAAGCACCGGAGTATCAACTGCGCCCGCTGCAGTATCCTGGAGGAACTATCAGCAGGAGCACCAGCGCAACCACCAGCATCGCGAGAGCGATGCTTCAGCCCTACCACTTGAAACGGCTCCACTGATTCTCGAAGACTTCAGGGAGTTGCTTCTGTCCCTACTACGCCACCCGAAGCAACAGCACGATACGAATCTGCCTCAGACGCGAAAGGGAAGTGCGGCCGCAATCCTTGCTGCTTCTAGCCATGGCAGAAACAACGGCAGCATGTATAATACACCTAGCAAATCATCGCACGACGCATGCAACCGGAAATATCGTTCAGTGCGCTCTGCTGCTGCTGCAGTAGCGGCTGCGACAGCAGCCCAACTGCAAGCACGAGGCCCTGGGGGTCCAAAAGACTTCAAAGCAGATGTTGAAGCAGCGGCAGCGGAAATAGCAAAGAATATCAGCTGGAACGAGAAGAGACGCAGCTATGCAGCGAAGATTAGGGGAGTGTCACAGCCTGTATGGTTTGCTGCCAAGAGGAGAGGCGTCCCTCAGGCGCTTCAAGCTGCAGCCAACCTCCTCATAGAAGATGTACAACGGCGCAGGCCAACCCAGTTAGGTTGACTCTTTTGTGCGCAAATGCAAGCGCAGGGATCCATAAATGCAAAAGGCTCCGGAGATGCATTTCAGGCATTTGTGATATACCAACGATGATGATGAATGCCAAATGAAGCGCTTCCGCGGCAATCAATCAGCTACTGGAGGTAGCACTCCTAAGCAAATCGAAGTGTATGTGCATCAAAGATGCAGGAACAGGACAGCACAAAGGTAGAGCAACCAGACGCAAACGGGTTCATGCATATGCATCCACACGGATTATTGAACGTGAATTTTGACGCTGGTTCGAGCTATAAAAGCCAGCTTCCCGCACTGCCACAACCACTGTTAGGTCCAGCACTGCCGAAGGTGTAGTTGAATGCACAGAACAACCCAAAGTGAAGCTGTGGCCTATACGCCTGCAACAAGCTGGTCAAGGAAGTAGAAGCAGTTCTAGATTTTAATGTCCTTCTACAGTAGCTGTGCTGCCAGAAGAAACCCTCTGACGCGAATGAGGCTAAGGCCTATGCCAACCAAAGAAAGGCAGCCAAAGGAAAGCATGCTCTTTGCAATATATTCACTGACTATGCATTACAAATGAGAATTAACTACAAAGTACTGAGTAATCATGCTCGGAGACACGCACTAATGGGCGCTAGTAGTTCGTGGGCTCGTCCTTCTGTTCGTTTGCATATTTGAATATTCAAGGGTCATAGACGGCAAAATGGAGTTCGTTAATTATCAAAGCAGCAACGTGGCAACCTTTGTACGTCCTAGAGGTGAAAAAGAAGTGGATGTCCTGTAACGGCAATTGCCGCAGCGGTGGTTACGATGCTGCAGCTCTTTGCACCTGCCCAGCGATCTTTAACTTCTTGAAGCAACTACCGCATGACTCGGCTGCAACGGTGTAGCAGCACCATAGCAAGAAGCAAAGGGCTGCAGCAAACACCGTCCACCAGAAAACAAGCTCCCCAGAGGAAAGAGTAAAAGGAATATTCGCAAGACCGCGGCTCACACGAACACTGCACGGCGGATTCATTACCACCTCACTGTTGCCCCACTTGGTGGTAACCACTCCGACACCCGGAGCGACTTCCCAGTCGTCGTCGCACTGGCAGGTTACTGTGCCGGTGCCTTTCCCTGGGGCAAAGAGGCAAGTGCCCTGACCGCAAGGATTGACGGCGCCAGTGCAGGGGTTGGATGGGAGTTCGCAGTTCGTGCCTTGAAAGAAGTCCCCGCACTCGCACTTGAAATACGGGGACACGTCTGTATCTACGCACGTCCCTAGAGAGCAAAGAGCGCTCTGGCAATCCAAACCACTGTTTGTCCGGATGCCGCAATCTTCAACGCAAAGGGAGGCCTTTTCCGCGCAGGTGGGGCCCTTGAAGGGAAGTGGGCATACACATACCTGAGCAGTCCCATGCTCATAGCAAGTGCCGCTGTTGCAGATATTGACTGCGCACAGAGCAGCCGAGGCAAATACAAGGCCAAATCCATTCATACAGCCGCTAGGTATCCATCCTAACACCTGGCGAAACAACGCAGAGTGGGCAGCCCCTGCTGCCCAGGAAGCGGGCGAAGACGTTGGGTCATCTTCTCGTTTCCGCCTGGGTGTATGTGAGAGATTCGCAGTCACTAGTAATATAAAGACGATGAACAGTAAATGGCGCCTTTTCGGCGCACAAGGGCAATGAGGAGACGCCCTCTGGTAGTGGACCGCTCCCTTTAGTGTGGGTCGATCCATTGCTGTTCTCCTGGGAAACCAACCCCCCCATCGTTGCAAGGGCAGGGACAGTATCATGGTTTTCTTTGCGTTGTGCAGGTAGGAAATGAAAGGGAAGCTCATTTTTTAGGGGATGAGCAACTGTTGCTGCTGCAGCTGCAAGGTGACCTTGGGCTGGAATTCGTGGGAGTCCCTAAGCCCACATGGACCCTTTTGCGGTACATAGGCATGAGCAAAAGTCTTTAAAAGAATCTTCATACAAAAACAGTGGTCAATAAGCGCATGAAAGGGCGAAGCTCAGACCACCACCGCACCATGTGCCTGGACGTGACGGGGCCACCCAGAATCGTTTTTCTGTGCTTCTCAGGATGGAGATGGCCACAGCTCTATAGATGCCTTTATCCTGATGCGAAAATGCAGCAGACAGCTGTTGTTCGTGGAGTTCTCCGCGAGAAGGCCCACTGCCTGCACCACCTACACTTGTGATGTCGAGTGTCGCGATTAGCTCCGAACAAGGAAACGACATATTAAGAAACAAAGCATATAATTGTTTGGAAATTGGTTTTTATAGCTATAAACGCCTTCCCAAGGCCCATTTGAATGGAAGATTACTCTGCTGCGAGGCGCACCGGAGAGCTGGACCAGTGATTACTTGAGCGGCAGTGGTGGTCACGATACGGCAGCAGTCGGAAGGAGGACGCTCCAGACTCTTAGCTTAGCTCAAATGGTATTTATTTTAAAAATAAAAACCATTTCTGATTTTTAGGTGTTCTTCTGTCCACGTTTATTTGAAAGTAAGCCGTCGCCGTTAATGAGGCGCCTAGTGGCGACTTGTGATCAAAGTTTGACGGGATATAGCAGGAGGGAGCCACCCACACGAAATTTAGCAGCATTTTCACCTTGCCTTGACAGCCTATCAGGTGGTGTTGCCGTCATGCTTTTTGGAGTACAAGCATTCCCAGGGCTTCATGCAAACCGTCTTCGGAACGTGCGCGTGAGCCGCGCTTCTGTGAAGCAGACGCTGCGAAGAACAATTTGGGCATGGCGGAAGTCCGCCACAAGTTGTTCTATGTTTCCCAAATTCGACGTTATGCGTGGAATCACATTTATTTTGGAATTCGTTTCAGTGCTTCGATGCTTACCTGAGGGCTGAGCCAGCAGGCCTTCGTCCGGCCGAGGGTCCCGGGCTGAGACGATGCAACGTAACTTGCTACTTCCGTAGCAATACCACCATTTAGTGACTATGGCTTTCCCCAATGTGGGTTCTGTTGTTTGAGTTGTTGCCTACATGAAAATGAAATAGCGTGCAGGGCACATGGCCCACGGCCGAGAGGCGTCAGACAGGCATCCTGCTAGACGGGGAGGCCACACTAACCGTTCAAAAAGGACTATCACCCGCTAAAAAGTAAAATGTTTCAATTTCTTGTCTACTCTCAGTATATTTCCGTTCAAACTGGCGTGAAGCCTTGCACAGATTCAAGCAGTTTTTCCCGGCATCTCTAGATGATATTGCTGGGTATTGATGGGAAGGGTATCTTCTCCCTGGTGGTGCAGGCCATATTGAGGGACAGACTCTCCTCATAACCGTGATTATTCCACCTGCACTTCCAGCCACCACCAGGAAAGATGAACAAAGTTGCATGCATAGCTAAGGACGAGGGACATGATTTCCGTTTCCCAAGATACAATGCTTCAGCCTCAATGGAGACATCAAAGTCAAAACGAAATTTCAGTTAGAAATGTTTCCTCTACTAAGCAATACAACGCTTACATCTGGTTTATGTTCTCCATGAAGTTCAGCATGCATGGATTGCGCTTTGGCCCTGAGAAGCAACATGCCTTGCAGGCGCCCCTTGGTGCTCTTATCCCCCGCCAAAAAGTACCTTAGCGAGCAGTGTGAATTCACAGCGGTACATGCTAGAAGCATATATGTATATACATTTGTTGCCGTTGTGGTCAGAGTTGTATAACGTTGAAGTAGCAATAAGGTTGGCTTCCCTGGCTTGTTCGTAAGAGCCGGTCACAGCCTGCGAAGGTAATGTAGTGTTGACTAAAGAGTTTAAGTATAAAGACAATGTAGCAGGACCTGTTGATTTTGGTCCTCTAAATGCTCGTGTAGCTTGCTGTGGACGGTTTGCGTAGCTCCTACAACCCCACAACATGGAGCACTTTTGTTTTCAGGGCATGCGCTGTAGTCCACCGCAGATGGGAGGAGCATAACAGCTTTGCAATATCTTGGGCTTTTTGGTGACGTGCTTCACATATGGTAGGCTACATATGTTGGCTTGAAACCGCTGGTGCAACAGGAGGACTGCTGCGTGGCAAAACTGCGCGTCAGGCGAAACGGAGCACATTGCAACAGTATAGGGGTTGTCAAGAATTCTCCGAGTGTGCCGGCTGTATCAGTACTTATTCTGGAGAACAGCGCAATGAAATTGTGTGTAGTTCGACGCAAAATTCACGAAATGTGGCATGTTGTACTGCTCATCCCACATTTGACGTTTATCACTGGAGAAGAAGTGCTCTTCCCTGGTTCCGCCCCCCAAAATCTCTCCAATATTTGTATGTGAGGAACATTAGTGCCGACTTTCTTTTCCACCAACGCCAACGGCACAATGAGTGTACTCAAGTGACCCGATAGCTCGTGAGCGTGTCCGAGTCCAGTTTGTTGAACCAGGGAGCTCTTTCCAAAAAAACTGGAGCTTACAAGTTTACTTGGGATATCAAACGGTAAACATTTTTTTAGCATAGAATCATAGGTACCCAGGTAGAACGTGTCGGCTGCACTCTCCGGAAAAGGCAAGACCGGGTCTCCCGCGCTCCACGGTGACATCGCGCGGCAACAAAGTTGCACACTGACAGGAGTCGTGAGCTGCGCCGTGCAGAGGTCGTTATTTCTTTTTGTTTTCGTTTGTTGCTTTTAGTATTCTGGGTGATTTTGAAATCCAAAAACGGATAGTTTCACCTTTTTTTCCCCTCAGGGTTCTTGCAGGCCACCGCTGCGCAAGCTGACGTGTCGCTGCTCGGGGGTCGGTCACTTTAGGTTCTATCGCCCCAGGTTTTTGGCCATTTCCCCTAGATACAGGATTTAATCTATTCCTACATGTATATTTCCATCAGTTTCTCCCCTCTTGCAGATCGCCACGAGATTCGACGCCTCTGCGCCTCGCGCGCCCGACTAGGCTCAGACAGGTGTTAGACCCAGGCCGGAATTCCCTTACTCTGTTTTCCTTGTAACGTGTTCTCGTTTTATTTTCCCGGTTGTTTCGTATCTAGGCTAAGGGCCTAGCCACTCCACCACACAGCAATACGTGGAGCAACGAACACCCGTGTCGCCGTTTTGTATTTAAAGTGTTTCAGGAGTGGCTAACGACTTTCTGCCAGAAGGAAATTGAAATATTTTTGCTGGCAACCGCCTACTGCGTGCAAATATTGGTGGCTCCTTTTGATTTCCGAGTGGTTTTGTTCAAATATTCGCCTTTGGTGTCGGAGGGCGGCTGCGCTTTCAAGTCCACGCCCCAGCAGCCACCGCAGGCTTTGTACGCCTTCAAGAAGGTAGGGAGCCAGCTCTGCGTGCAGAAGCCTTCTTGTTTTAGAGTCTTAAAGACCCCAACTTGGGGGAGGGAGTATTTTCAGGCCATCAGTCGTCTTCGAGAGATCCTCTCCAGCGCGCCACCCACTACTGCCGCCGAAACGCCCGCCCATCATATCATATCTCCTCGCTCCATCGACTTCTTCACAAGCCAGCAGAAAATGCAGTATGTCTTCATTTGGCAGCTTAACTGCCCCATAATGCAAAAGCAGGCAGTGCATTGCGAGCCACGTCTGCACAAACGAAACCGCCATTCGGTATGTTTGGCAGCTCAGTTTGTCATTACTCTGTTGCGGCTCTCCCAGCAGCAGCAGCATACACAGGGCATTCGGCAACATCGCATGTTCTTCTGGCACTGCCTCTGTTTGTTTAGGGTTTACAAGGCAGCCTGGTGTGTATTTCACGCTCGTGGGAAGTGCACCCGCGGCAACAATTGCTCCTTTGCTCACTCTGCGGAAGAGCTTCGGCAGCTTCCAGACCTGAGAAAAACAAAGCTCTGCAACGCATTTCTGGGAGGACAGTGCAGCAATAATAACTGTTCGTATGCCCACGGTCTGCAGGAGTTGAGGGACTTTCCGGGGAAAAAAGGCCTGTGCCGACTTTACAGGGAAGGTAAGTCGCCAGCAGCTGATCGTGCACACAAGCATGATCTCACCATGAGGGTCTGCTCTTTTCAAAGGGCATAACCATCAATTGTGGTTGGTTTTTCGAAGCAGTGCAGCGTAATGCTAGCTCCAGCTGAGCCACTTTTGTGCCAGCTCCTGTGACCCTTTACCTGTGGTGACGGCTCATATATGTGCTTTTACGTACGGGAAAGAAGTCAAGCAGTATGCACTCTGTGCCCCCCACTTTATCATTACAATGTAGCCATTTCCGTGATCTCTTCAGATCCAGGGTGCTCAGAACCAGGGTGTGAGTTTGTGTATTGTTCCTGTACAAGGCAAATGCCTGCACGGTTCAAGTTGCAAGTATGCACACGCCCTTGGGGAGCTTGAGGTCGGGTACGTCTTTGCTCAGCCATTGCACGAGCAGCCTCAGAAGCAACAACAGTTCATGATGCCTACCCGCGAACAGCAGCAGCAGCAGCAGCATCAACCGTTGCAGCCTCTCCTTCACGAAAATAGCTTGCCGCAGGATTTGTTATTGCTACAACAACTGGCTATGCAGCAAGCTCAGGGCAAACTTTCTCGGCAGCAGCCGCAAAACCAACAACACTTGGTGGAACACCAGCAGTTGCTGATGATGCTAGAGGGTGGAGCTGCGGGGAAGGCTGTCATGTCACAAGACCAACAAAGGACCCAGGTGTTCCACCGTCCGCAGCTGCAACAACAAAATCAACAAGCTCTGAAACGCCAGATAGAGGATCTGCAGCAGCGTTGTTTTGCCTCTGAGATGCAATCTCAGCAGCATTCACAGCAGCAGCAGGAAAGCGTACCTCAACTTCAGACAGGTTTGACCCATGGGCATTTGCCACAGCAGCAGAATGAGCACAAGGATCAGCTGCTACAACAAGAAGCGGGGGCGGTGAGTCAGCTGCATCTGATATAAATATACTGAGCAGAATCGCACCAGAAGCACCCTTGCAGCCACTACAACTCCTTTTTTTCTGCTGTGTGCTGCATTGCAGGCTGCTCGTTCCCCAGGGTCCCTCCAATTCCGCCTACCCACGTCAAAAGTGCCGGCACTATCTCTGCGAGCCCTAGCGACAAAACAGCAACAGCAACAGTATCAACGGCAGGAAGCTGAGGGGCAACTCCTGCAGCAGCTGCAGTCTACTGAATCTTGGAATGAAGCGCCCGCCATCATGCAGATACCGTCTAATGAGGCGGAATCTGCGAAGCAGCAGCAGCAACAGCAGAAGCAGACTGAGCTCGAAGAAATGGTCTCACGGCAGCAGTTAATACAACAGAGGCTGCTCCTACAGCAGCAACGCATGCCTCCCAGTAGTCAGCAAGCTTTTGCCGAGGCGGTTTTGCAGCAGGGGTGGCAGCGCCCAGCAGCAGGCACTGTTGAGGAAGCGGCCGCTGCAACAACAGCCACGGCTCCAAGCTACGCCTATAGGGAGCTAAACCCGTGGGGCCAAGCGGTCTCTCGTAGCACAGCCAGCACTGCCACAGGGGACGACTGCTACTCTTTCGCGTCCCTCGCTGCGGCTGCTGCTGTACGCAAAGTGGAACAAGGCCTCAGGCCACCCTCTCCTGAAGGCCTTCAGCGGCAGCAGCAGCCACTGCAACAACCGCAAATGGCGGAACAGCTGCAGCAGCAGTCGTTATCCCGGCAAGGTCGAGAGTTGCTGCAGGCCGTCGAATTGCTTCGACATCAGCAGAAGCAGCATCAGGATGAACAGCTTCAACAGAACGAAGCCCCTTGGACACTCCACCTTGAAAGGCCAAACACAGAAGCAGCGCCTGTTGTATCGCCCTTCGGAAATTACAGCCTTAGGGAAATGCAAAGCCGAATGGCTGCAATGACACTGCAGCCGCACCAACAGCAGGCAGAGCAGCAGCGCCAGCAACAACCGCTCAGCCAGCACCGACAGCTAGAAGGCCTTCTGGCCCAACTGGCGCGGGACCAAACGGAAGGCATCGGTGCGCTTTCGAAGAAGGAGAGCCTCTGCGGGGTGGATGCTCAGCATCAACAGAAACTGCAACAGCAACAGAGAGAGCAGCAGCACGTTCCTAAGCTGCAGCTCCCTAACGGAATAACTGGGTCAGCTCCTGCTTCTTACAGAATAGCGAAGAGCCCGCTTCACCGACCTAAGGGAGAAGACACCCCCAACATTCAGCAAAGCGCAAGTCATCCCACAACCGCAACACAACAGCAGTAGCAGCAGAAGCAGTGCCGATGGAAAGACGTCTTGCATTGCATTGGGCTGATCTAAGGAATGCAGCTCAGCTTTCGTTTTGCGATGTCTGCTCTGCGACTGCAGTTTTCCGCGATTACTTCCCGCACTCCAGACCCTTCAAGCTGCACTGGCCAGCCGTTGGAGCACGATGCAATAAGTGGCCGCGAGAAGCAGCGTCAGACTGCTAAAGCTGCGGCGGGAGCACACTGCGAATGCCCCACGCCGTACACGGATGGACGGGCTGCCGCGCCGCCCCAGAGACTCTCGACTATAAAGAGTGAAAATGAAAATGGACAAGAAAGTGATGGAGAGCGTGGTAACACCCAGCAGCTTCAACAGCAGCAAACGCTGCAGCACCGCCTAGGCGAAGGGAAGGTACCGCTGGTTGTTTAATACCATCAGTGGGTTCGGCTTCGCTGGGTGCAGGTAGGCAGAGCGGGATATCGTTGACTACGCAGAGAGTGCAGCGGCAGCGACGGCAACAACTGCTTTGCAGTAACCTGGTCTTGCTTTACTGCTGAAATAAGGGTAACAAGGTATCCTTACCTATTCCAGAAAACATTATTTTTGCTTTTGCTGCAAGGGTTCTACAGGATGCTTAAACCATCTACAGATCTTTTGATTGGCACTCAATGCCAAATGGCCCAGCAGGAAAAATGCTGCCAAAGTACTTTGAAAAGACTTCAGTCAAATGCAGTGGCAGCTACAGAGTCTCGAGACCATCGAGAGCCTTGTAGCGCAGACGGGATGAAAGCACTGTCGCATTCGAGTGCGGACCAGCTAAAGGTTAGCAAATACCAGTAATCAATAATGGCGTCCAAGAACCTAAATATCTATCGTCCTTTGAGTCCATAGTTGCATCGACGTCTCGTATGCTCACTCTACAAGCCTGTCAGCACTTCATGCTTGTAAAATCAGTAGCGATTAGCCGAAGCGAAAGAATTACTCAGTACCAGTAATCTACCCAGGTTTATTCTGGGATGATGGCAAGAAAAGCCTGCCCACGATGCACTGCATGTGCACGGGATCCGTCGTCAGCACGTCTGCATCAGGGAGGCCTTTATAAGACCAAGCATGGTAGAGAAGCGCGAAGGAACAATCTCCCCAGCAGTTAAAGAAAAATGTTGGTGGCAACTCGGGTACCGACGAACATCCGAGGTGCAATGAGACTTTCTCCAGGGTCTCTACAGCGCCGATTCTGCAGGTGGCTGTTTGTCACGTGCTCGGCATTCACTGCCCAGGCAAAAGGATCGAGACACTATTTGAACAGCAGGTACTTATTGCGCGGCAGACGTGTTGGCACATATTCGTTCAACTGGCGATGTCTTTCCTTGCACTGTTCTGTTTAAATTCACACGAAATGGCGCTTATGATCAAAACTAGCAAACGATCGTCGTCGTGGCGGATGGGTTCAGACGGTTTCCGCAGCTTCTGAGGATACAAAGGTTTTGATTGTTTCTTCGAGGGCATCTTTGTTCAGAAGGGCAGTGACCATCGGGTTGGTGAAGAAACGCGACTCGTCCAGCACCCCCAAGTTAGGCGTAGCTCGGTGTAGGCGAGACCCAATAAGGTAAGATGTAGATGGCCAGTTGGGAGCGCGAATTCCTGCGGGAGGGACAGTCAAATGGGGTCAACGTTAGGATGAAGCAATTAGGGCCCCTACACGTGACCATCCGCAAGTAATGCATGAGTAGGTTGATGCAGCAGGGACGTATCTACCATAGACTCCGTCTTCGACTTCAAGCCACACAGTGCTACTGCTGCATCGAACCAGGTACCTTCCATTGGAACGCGGAACATAGTGGTGAAGAGATGTTAAGATATGTACCTGATGTGTACGCGTCGGGGACGAGAGTGTAGAGGTTCATGTCGGTGTACTGCATGCTTTCGTAAGGGTCCGCAGGCTTAGCCCCAGGACTTTCAGCAAACAAACTCGCCAAGCCGTCGAGGTCAGGCAGCTCCTGCCCCAAAGGCAACTCCACGAATCTGGGAGACGAAATATTCAAGAGAAACGATTCTATTCAGGAGAACTCATGCAACAGCTTATGTGGTGTTGTCAGCACACTAGTTACCGGGACTTAAACTTTCAATTCTCTTCGTTTGGAACCACTCTTTTATGTGCATGCAACTCTGGAACAGCCTTTGTGGCTGCTTCTATGTGAGTGCAGATCATTTTAAGGGATGAATCGCATTCATTAGTTCCACTCCACACCTTCTTGTGCCCCCCATAAGCGGCAACCAGTGTGAAACTACCTGTAATGCTACTGCACGTAATTCACTGAAAAGTGCATCAAGTATTTATCTCTTCGAGTGCTGCTGCCGATTCATTAATGTGCTGGACAAGCAGCAAGCTGTATCCCAAGCTGATTGCTCAGCTCACCCTCTGTCGATTTGAATGCACAAAAGCGAATCCAACTTGGATGAAAGTGCCGCTCCTCCTTTACTTGCCATTTGCAATATTTGTTGCTTTTGGGCCTTGCTCTCATAGCACCAAACCTTCACTCCTGAATACACGCAAATAAAACCGAAATCTGAACACTAGTGTACACCAGGAAGCCTCAAAAAGTGTAGTGTTGCCATTGCATCCCTGGGCGCTGAGCGTCTCACAGCGCATGAGGACCAAGCAGTTCCTCGCTCCAAAGCTGGATTTTGTTTCCGCGAGTGCAACCACTACTAAAGCCCTGAAGGGTTGAGGATACGTTCTTCGTCGAGGTGTTTCCTTTAACTGAGGACGCTCGAAAGAAAACCTTCTTACCCTTCCGCCTTGGGTAGAGGCGGCTCTGCCCTCCTGAAGAGGGTATAGAGAAGGCTATTTCTAAAGATATACAATATCGGAAAGCATCGAGGTCTTCCCCCCAGCACATGTGCAAAAAGGGGTGTTCAAAGATTCACCGGAAAGAACGAGGCTTTCTGCAATGAGCCCTGCAAGAACCCTTTCGTCGTCGTTGCTCATCTTTTCACCGGCGGTTGCAGGGCCACCGAGAGGTTGTTTATACTGGGGTTGGTAAAGGCACTGAATAAGTCGCGTCAGAATCAACTGCCGCAATCTGCAACGACAAACAGAACGCATCAACTCTGCAAAAAACTCAGAACTGCCAGAGACTGACTTCCTCTCTGCACACATGCAGAAAACTCTTTGGCTAAGGCACCAACTTCCCTCTTTTCTCCGAGAATAAGACCTCTTGAATGCGCAGTCTCCCGCTCGCCCGAAAGGGGTATCTTCAATAAGCGATCCCTCAAAGAAGCGCAGGGGCGCAATAAAGCTGCTTGTCCGCCCAGGTGTCATTGCTAGCTGGGTCCAAAAAACTTTCATAAAGGGCAATTCTTCGCCGAAAGCCTACCTGTTGAGTCTTGGAGCTTGTCGCACAACACTCCACTTGATTACTTCTTGGCCAAGTACCGCTTGGCGTTTACAGATGGCATGCAGACGATGCCACAGAGAAAGGAGGCTGCCGCTGTGCAGAAGCGTCTCGAACATCGCGTCTCCCCTTTTGTACAGCGCATACATAGACGCCGTGTATAACGAACTCGCGTCCAAGTCAGCCCGCAATACCTGCGCCAGCTGAAATGGCTCCCGACCCCTCCACGCCTTTGCCACAGCTGCATCGGCTGGTGAGCCTGCAAAAAATGTGGAACCGTAGAGCAACCAGAGGATCAAATTACTCAAGGAAATGCAAGCACTTCGGGGATGATCAACCAGCCAAACGGAGCACATCACCCGCTCAATCCCGTGCTCGCCCTTGTCAAAGGAAAAAATGAACCCTAGGCATCTCATGCCGATCCTGACAGATGTTAGGCACATGCCAGAAGGACGAAAAGCAAAATTGCAACCAGTTTGGCCCCTGCTTACTAATGCCAAAGGCCGCTGCGGGACCTGGGCGCGCGCAGGTGGCATCCGGATGGATTAAGGCTTCCTTAACGTAGCAGAACCGGTCTCTGCCACTTTCAGAAATAAGGGACAGAAGCAGTTGTAGAGCCTTTCGGAGGAATTTGCCACTTCTATCCTTAAACTCAAGAAATTCTGGAGAGTCGGTGCTGCTTGCTACCTGCATGTCGCGCCGCACAAGGTGTAATTCACCTGACGGGCGCAACACAGTAAAACCCTGAAGACCGCTTTGCCTTCTGAAAGGCTTATGCTGTGTCTCTGGTGCAGAACCAACGGGTGTGGCCTGGAGTCCAGCTTAAAGTTTCAGCTGCTCTGCTACTGCGTTTTTTCAGTTTCTGCGACTGCAGCAACACAAGGGAGGGTGGAAGCTTACCGACAATAGCGAGCATTACTTTGGCGCACTGACTCGGTGAGAGCTCGTCTCCGAGGTTCTCCAAGAGTTCCTCTACCCTTAAAACGTTGAATACATGGGCCAAATTGACATCATCGCAGATGCAGGCCATCATGGCGGCCTGAAAAGTGCGGCTCTGCCATCCCAGTCCTTGTCTGTCCTTTCCCTCTCCTAGATAGTTCTTGAGCGCAACCTTCCCTGCGTCAACGTAGGCGTTGTACAAGGGGTCGTCTGTCAGAAGAAGCCGAGCGTCAAGAGCTGCATGCAGCAGCGCTCGCGACTTCGCCACATCCAACCTCTCGGAGGTGAGACACAACAAATACTCGAATTCTGCGCGAAGAATCCAGGCCATTTTCGCTTTTCGAGGCTTCCAACCGGCCTGCGCAATCGTTCTGGTGTTTTTGAATCCACCCAAGGTGTGCCCCACACGATTGGTGGAGGACGCGTAACCGCAGTTGCTATCCTTTTTACGTGTGGAGCCCTAACACTGCTAGAGGCATCGACGTGTTGCACTACCGCTCCCCTTCCCCTCCATCAATAACAGCCCCCAAATGCTTGGCCGATTGAACCGGGCGTTCTTCGGGACTCCAGCCATTCCCCCAGCGGCTCATTTCACCCGTATAAGTCCTCTTATGTAGCAGTTATATATCTTAACGACTGCTTCCCCCACATTGTGCTCTTAGTTGCTGGCTAGCTCCGAACAATGAGCCTACCGGGGCAGGCCTGGTTCCCCTGGCAAGAACTTGCGCTGGAAAACGGAGTTACAGTACCTTTGATAAATTTATAAGGAAATTAAGGAGAATAAGGGGGAAATAAGAGGTGAACGGCGCAAATGCTACTGCTTCTGCACGCCGCTCTAACCGACGTTCGATTCAGCTGTCATGCGTGTGAAGTCGGCAGCCGCCACTCAGAGTTGCCTTGAGCAAGCAAAAACGCAATTTCCCTTTTCCCTCCTGAATTAACACTAACCAAGCCATATGGATCTACTAGTTGCTGCTGAAAATTGTCACAATGGGAGCGCTCCTGTTGATGCTCACTTCAAACTGTTCGTAACGTAGATGTTCGCCAGACCCAGCTGTATCGCCTGGAGTTCTGTGCAGTCCCGTACAAAAACACACTTGCAGAAGTCTCGTTTTCTTCTAGTTCAGCAAATTCTTGTCTTTTGGCTCCAGTACTACCACGGAAAGGCTTAGACACCGTGGGGTGGTTCTGCGTTGGATCCTCTGCTGAGGACGGGACACCGACCTGCATCAGCAGCTTACGGCTCATCACTGCTGCTCACGGATATGGGATCATTTTCCGTTATTTATATGTTTAATACCTGGCTGGGGTTCTTCAGAATTCGGTGTATGCAGCCCTAGAGCTCCTGTGCCTGCGGCTCTCGCATGCCCGCCGTCCCTCAGTATGCCTGTCTAACGCAGGCATAGCAGTCACCCCAGTCTGCCTAGTCTAGTTGTGGTTTATCCCACTCCAAAGATATTGTCTTTCCTTTGGGGCTAGCTCTCAATTCTGTATCCAGACCGGAGCTTGCAGCCCCAACGCCGACCCAGAAATGGTGAAAGGCCTCACTTCCCGTGGCGTGCAAAGGCCCACCGACAGCAGTGGAGGCCGAAGTTGTCCCTACATCAGGAAGATGCCACTTCGTACACGTTGTCTCAGTAAGGCAGACCCTTTCCCGACATGAAGGTGCTACTTCGTACACGTTGTCCCAGAAAGGCAGACCCTTTCCCGACTCCGCAGGTAGCTGTATACTATTAGACAATTAAGCATATTAAACAACTACAATGCTTTGCTTGGGTGCGCCCACTGCGCTCTTGCCGTGCGTCTGTGTCGCTTTGCACCGCTTCACTTAGCCCTCAAGTTTCATGCCCGTCGCCGTATCCCTCGAGCAACTGCCCTGTTCATTTTCCTCACCGTCTGTCACCTCCCATTTCCTCAACAGCATTTCATTCACAAAGAGCTAGGAGAAAGTGCTTCTGTATGGAGGAAAGAGGGAACACCAGCGTCAGGATTGGGGGTCTTATTTGCAGGTGCAGCGCTCTGCACTGTCAACTTGTGCGTCAACGGCACTTGCTACGAAAATGGAGGGCTGCAGATTTGTGTATGTGATAAGCCATATTCGGGTGCCTTGTGTGAAGACACCATATCAATGTGCAATGACGGATGCGGCATAAAGCCCAGCACAGGCATTGACTGCAGCAGTGCCCTCTGTTCTCTGGGAACATGCCTAGACACCAATACAGAGCCGTTCTACAAGTGCGACTGTGGCGACTTCTTTACTGGCAAAAATTGCGAAACGCACAACAACCCGTGCACCAATCCGGCGGCAAATCCGTGTGGTGAAGGCACTTGCACCTTTTCCCCAGGGAAAGGCAGCGGAACCGTAACGTGCACGTGTGATTCAGACTATGAAACAGCTTTTGGTGCTGGCATGACGACCGTCAAGTGGGGAAATAGCGAAGTCCTCCAAAGCCCCCCTTGCACCGTCCGCAAGACGCGTGGCGTTGCGAAGTTGCATTTCACGCTGTCTTCCGGGTCTCTAGTAATTTGGTGGACTATTTTCGGTGCCGCCATTCTATTGCTAATTTGGTGTTGCTACACCATTTTCGCGGATAGCTGTGGCCGTTGTTCCACTGCCTTAAGGACAGCCCGAGCAGCAAAAAGCCTCTAGCGACATAGGGGAGGCCATCCACAATAACCTGCAATAAGTTTTCACCTTTCACCTACTGCGCCAAGTGAAGCCCAACACCACACAGAGTAAGAGGTGCGGGATGTAGAGGTAGCATCTTCCTCGGGCAGAATTGAATGTACTTCCCAAACTATTACCCACATCAGCACCTCCTTACACACGGAAACAGAGTGGGGTTACCCAGTAAGGAGCCTCCAGTGCCGGCCCACAGTTGCTTGGTTAGTGGCCCTTAGTACAGCGTGTGCAATCAGCACTAAAATTCAGCTTTCCTCTACACCTTGATCCTCGTGTTTACACGTAGTGCAGCCACTACTAAGAGCGATCGGAGTACGGCAGCTGAGCAGTACACGGCAACCTTGTGAACGACGAGAGAGCGGTTCCATCTTACCGCTTCAAGAGCTACGAATATATTTTTTGCCAAGAAAATTCAGCGACTGTCGTCCGTCAGCTTATTCCGGACCAAGTCCAGCGAAACGCATACTGCTGGGGCCCACGCATGCTCGGCGATGAAGAGTGATGTTGGATCGCATCACTTCACTTAGTGGGAGGTATCAATCTAAATGTAGCATTTTCATTCAGTCCGCTATTTACCTCAGCATGAGACACTAAAAGAAATGCCGTAGGATGATGGGGGCACTGCAGATGCTGCGCATAGCGTTGCCAGTTTTAAGCGTTTCTGGCTCGAGGAACGCCCACTTCCAAGACACGTTTCCCCCCTCTTTCTTGAGGCATACATCTCCTATCCAGTCCGTATGAAAACCATAATTTTTTGAGGGCATTCTCCCACCTGTTGTAGGATCACCCTCCTCGGCCCGAAGACTTCTTGGAACCGTTCAGCTGGAAAGCAGCTTCCTCATACGCCGTTGTCTCCAGAACATCGTCGGTCGGTGGTGCCAGCAGCCGAGACCTTGGCGACGAGCGGGGCGGTTTCGGTGCGGGGACCCCTATGGAATCATTTTTCCAAGCGGCGCTGAATTCCGTCCTTGAGGCGGCAGGAGGGGGCCTTAGGAGTACCAGGACGAACAGTGCTAGCAGCAGCACTAGCAACATCGGGTCGACTAGAACAGACAGTCGTAGCAGTGCCTCTGGAGGAATCTCTAGCCAAAGTGGAGGAAATGCTGTCAGGCCCTCTCGCTTTACCGGTAGAGCCGCCACAACGTCCACCTCCTCCGGGGACTCTAGTGCAATGCAAGGTTGCCGACGTGAACCACCCAATGGGGCACAAGCCCAGCATACGGGTACTGACCAGGCAGGCCGAGCTAACAAATCTGGAGAGAATGTGCCTGCTGGGGGGCGAAGCGGAAGCAGCAGCAGCTCATCTTCTAAGGGTGTCAGTGCTCCTGGCGTTTCACTGGACCCAGCAGGGAAATCCCAGGTGACTGACCGGCAAGAAGCAGACCGGCTAAAAGACCTAGGCAATGAAAGTTTTAGGCGAGGCATGTACGGCTTGGCAGCAGAGTACTATTCAAGGGCCATTGCGGTGGATGCCACGGTTGCCTCGTACTTCACCAATAGAGCTCTCTGCCATAAACGCGAAAAGCGATACCCAGAGGCACTTGAAGATGCCGAGGCAGCTCTGGCGCTTGACGAAACTAACGTGAAGGGTCTCTATATCAAGGGGGATGCGCTTGTGCAGCTGGGTAACCCTTTCCTCCATGCATTTCATCAGCTCGAAACGCATACATTTCTTCTCGGGTGTAGCAGATTCTCACTGCAGATGCATCATGACTACCCGCTCGGGTGTTTGCCGCCGCAGGAGACTATGACGCGGGAGTGAGCCTGCTGGAGAAGGCGCAGACGGCATCGTCTTCGGGGGCTGGACGAGCCTCCAACGAGATTCGCCACTCTCTTTTAAACGGTATGCCGAAAACCTCCTTTATCAATGAGCGTGAACAGACAAACCAGCTTCTGAGAAGCTCAACAGGCAGCACTAATTTGGAAATGAGGGAGGAGTATTGGGCCTCCGCAAGTTGTATTGAGTTTTCCGCAGTTGGTGGCTGTTGCGCTTCAGCGAAGAAACTCAGAAATGCACGTTGGAGGAGGCAAAGATCAGTGGATAGGAAGGACCTTGAGGCGTTTCTCAAGGTATGTTTGTGCTTCAGTCGAGTGGGTTGTCTACGCTGTACACATTCGAGCACGAGTCTCGGTTTCCGCATTCGGTCCATGAATTGCATACTGCAGCAAATATATCTACAACAGTTTAGGTCTGTCGTGATGCTTTTTGTTGCAGGAATGCATTGAGGTGGTGGCACAACAGAGGCGTCTTCCCATGGAAGAAGTTAACGGTCGACTGGCGCAGCTAGAACACCTCGTTGCCGAGGCCGCTGAAGCGGATGCTCCTTTTGAAATACCCGACTTCCTGACGTGCAAAATCTCCATGGTGCTCCCCGCACCTTTTTTCCACGAGATAACCCTGACGTTTGTCTAAGGATAATGCATGTTCATTATTACAACTTCAAATGAGACCGTAGTCCATGATGAAGTCATTCATTTTGTGGTTTTTCCTCTGTAGCTTGCTTTGGTGAACGCTTGACAGCAGTGACTTTTCTGCGTGTTTTGTGTGTTGCAGGGGTTGATGGACGAGCCAGTTGTCACGCCCAGCGGCATCACCTATGAAAATAAGCTTCTTCTAGAGCATTTAAACCGCAACGGGCCTACGGATCCGCTGACCAGGCGAGCGATTTCTTCAGTCATCTGAACGTACCCAAAAACTTCTATCCCCGAACAATTCAGCTGGCCGACGGGATAAGTTAGCTGTGAAGTGTTTCCAGGCAAAGCAGGAAGTGGGCTGCTTGATTTTTGGTGTTGCGGTTTGCAGAGAGCCGTGTGACTCAAAACGACTGGTCCCCAACTACGCGGTAAAAGAAGCAACCGCTTGGTTTCTAGAGAGGCAAGTCTGGCATCCGAGCGGGCAAAACAGGCATTGTGCTCTGCCTTCTGGTTCACCGAGTTTAAGCAGATATTGACGTGCTGTCAACCACCGTTCATTATTTCCATTATCATTAATGATGCTTTTAACTGTCTGTTCAGATATCCCTGGGCATACGATGCATAGCTTCGCTGGGTTTGGCCACCGTTGGTATTTAATTACAAGGCGGTCATCAGCCGAAGGTAGTTTTGACGATGCTCGCGCTAATGCCCTTGACTCGCCGGCGAAGAGCAGCACATTTACCTTGAGGACACTTTTGGACTCTCTCTAAGTGGCTGCCGTCGTTCTTATCCACATTGCTGCAGTGGGAGGAATATCTTGTTTTTATTTGTACCGCGTCAAAGTGGGTGCAACAACGGCGGCGTAGTGTGCTGCTGACAAGACTTCGCTCCCGCGAATCCTAGAGCATGGGCCGGTCGAGTCCTGCTGAACAGCTAAAAAGGAAACTAGTTCTTGAGGGTCGCAGGGAGTACGAGCTAGTGCGGGAAAAGTTGCAGCTGCAAACGTAGCCAGTCAGTCGATGCCCCGCGGCTGCGAAGACTAGGCCCGGCCCCGTGGGCATGGTTCTAGCAAACCGCCTGCAAACTACCGAACGACCTTGCATAGCGCAGTTGCGAAACTGAACGTAAGAAGCTCGGCAAGCGTTCAGCCTTCCAGGCCATTGCGGCGGCAGTTGACAGTTACCTGCATTGCCTCGAATATCTTACCGGGAAGGCAAATTCGATTTATTGTGTGCATTTACTCGTTAAAAGTGGCCTCCGGTGAGGCTGTGCGGGCTGCACGTGGCAGCTCGTCGGCACTTTTAACTTCTCGAGGCAACTGGCTAGCGAGAATTCAGTAAAGACGAAACAAGCTACAATATTTTGCAGCCTATCGAATAGTTGGACCAAGCAGTCCGTGAAATGGCGTTTGCAAATAGTTTTTGCCAGTCAACCCGCCGGCTGCCACCCCAACGTAGCGTTAACTACGAAGAAATCGGCCAATGGCAATTGCCCTAGCACGCACCTACGGGCTGCTGCTGCACTTGAGAGGGTATCGTAAGCTACTTTGTCTACCGGGAAGAATGTTGAAGTGTCTTAACTCTTCGGCTTCTTCTTGGGTCTCAGCTGACTAGTGTGGCCACACTTCTTTTTGCGGCAGTTCGTGGCCCGAGGCGGGAGACGTGCATAGCACTTCCGGCATATTTTCTTCTCGCAGTTGTACTTGGATGCCAACAGTGCCAGGGAGGGCTCGATGATGCCACCACGCAGGCGAAGCACCTAGAAAACGGACACACCAAAACAGAAGAAACAGCCGATATCAAAGGTGAGTCCCACCGCAGCTTATCGCACAGACCGCAGCGATGGATATTATTTGACAACGAAAGAAACGGTAGTGTGCATCTGTAGAGAAGATAGAAATAACGCTACACTGAAGTCTAAATCTCTTCCTTTCGCAAAAACTAGACCGTTACTGCTTCACGCAAGCCAATGCCGACTACCCAACAGAACGCACAAGCGTACAACGCACAGCCCCCCCAAACTGCCGTTAACAACTACGGGTGTTTCTTTGCCATAGAAACTGTCTAATGGCTTAATGCTCAAGGTTTGTGTAGTACAAAGATGCAATATGCACGTTGCCTCGCGCTGCGCAAAGAATATCTGCTTGGCGCTGCCCTGCGGTGACTGCGGCGAACCTTGCTACTTCCCTGCAGGTAGGGATGAATAAGGGTATAAAATTCAGGATTAAAAGAAGCTACGAATAGCCAGCAGCAACGGGAATCGCACGTGTCGGCGCTCTGTGAGCCATGGGCAGGTGCGGCAGCCCGTGGGGAGAGGCTTACCAGGTGGAGTGTGCTTTCCTTCTGAATGTTGTAGTCGGAGAGAGTTCTGCCGTCATCAAGCTGCTTCCCAGCAAAGATAAGGCGCTGCTGGTCAGGAGGAATACCCTCCTTGTCCTGGATCTTTGCCTTCACATTTTCGATAGTGTCAGAAGGCTCCACATCAAGGGTAATGGTTTTACCCGTTAGCGTCTTCACAAAAATTTGCATCTTCGTAAAATCCCCTCACAATTCGGAGAAACCCTCGAAGAAACGAACACAAACCCAACTTCTTCGCCATTCAACTGCTCCTTCCCTACCTGTTGAACATGCGCATCGGCCCACGTTTGGGTGGGGGCTGGCGGGGCAGCCCTGTGACGCCAGTCCCAGGTATGCATTTGCAATACTTGCAACCCCTTGAAACGTAAGACGTTCTGAACTGGTACTATTTTTGCGCGAGCGAAAGACTTGCTAGATAAATCTATAGCTGTTTAAGAGGCGCACGATGAGCTGCGAGGATAGTAGCGTACCAACTGTATAGGTGTGGTTACTGGTACCCGACACCACACCTCAATGCTAACACTGCACGCGCCCATTGCAACTAGGAGTTTATGAGTGCATTGAAAACTATGAACTTGTATTTTCGATGATAATGATTGAGTTTTTCGTTGTTCGGGAAGCTTGCAGGATCTCCTTGGCGCAAGCTGTTGGAAGGTTTGGTTTGCCTGAAGACGTTTCCTGAGGGGAGTGTCCGCGCCTCTCGTGTGCACGAACTGTGATGAAGCAATTAGAAAGTGCTTACAGTTTCTCAACAGGCAGCTGAGCTCCCCTTCACTCTCCAGGCGTCCTGTGCACAGGGGCACAAGAGCCTGGGTGTTGCATGGCCCCCACAGAGACGGTACCTATTTTTCTACTTCTGCGCAGGCTGGCTATGGAAGGTCAAGTATGTGTATAGCAACTGCCTACTGGCTCAGTGTGTTCAGTGAAGGGGATTGGGTTGTTGCTTGCCTGTGCTCGCACGTGAGTAACCTTGCATCATTAGCTGCCGTACGGCGAATTGCACGTCATGACGTGGCGGCTCCTCTCCGCGCCAATCCCAGGCACTTGGGTCCATTTGGCTCAGGGTGGCTGGGGATTGGAGCGGGGGTCAGTCGCATGCTCGGCACTTCCTATCCATGTGCCCAGCTCGCAGCGGTCCTCAGTTACGAGCTTCGGTGCGCGTGATCGCACCACACGGGTCGTTCGGGAAAGGTGCGAACCACAAAGCGCCACCCACACAAAATTTCCACCTGCTGAGCTGAAATTGGCTGAAGATGAGAGTATCTAGCATGCATGCATTTAGCACAGCAATCGACTGGACATAGCAACATAGCGGCGGTTATAACTATAGGTGGCTTTCAAAAACTGCGCACCAGAGGTAGAAGGACACGCAAAATATTCCTCCCGAGAGTGGAATCTCCAGTAGCTTTCTTTTCTCCGCGCTAATGAAGTTTACTGAGTGTTTTCCCGGCATTAAGGATGCGGCCAGCTGCTGGGCGGCGAAGTTTGACTGGGCGTGAGTTTGATTAGCTTTCCATCCAGGAAAAGTGTCTATACAGCTAAGACAATTTATTAAAAAGCTTCCCCTCTGCCCGGCTGCCGGATATGATGAGCGCAGCCATGGAGGTGGAAGCGAACTTGGTGGGGCCATTCTTGAAGATTCTACTGTGCTACGCTGATGTTACATTGCAGATTCGCGGCTTTTATCTAGGCGAAAATTGGCTTCATGATTTTCTGCTAGTAGCACTACCCCACAGCCGCGTTAACAGAGGTGAAACACCTCGGGCAGCTATGTTCATCTGTTCAAATTGTTACCCTCTTGGATATTCTCAACCAGCAACTGCCAGAGGAAATTTTTCTCGCTATAAAGCGTCATTCAGGCGTTCCGCCGAAAGGCTCTACTCAGTGCAGGAACGCAACTCAGCATCAGCTCTATAAAATATCCCTCGTTTCTAAAGGATTGCTCATCCGCTCAGATAGCATTCAGAGGCACTCAGATCAATCAGCTGGCCAGTCATGTAGAAAGAAGTGAGCGAATATAGAAGAGAAAGCAACAGTTCGTTGCGATGTCGCCTACCCTAAAGCCACCGGTGCATCTTAATGCATCTTTTGACGCTTTCTAACTGTAATCGCATGACACCGCTTTTGCGGCCGCATAGAGCCGACAAGTCAAAGAAGAACAGCAGAGGCGGACAGGGCTACTGCCGCAAGTGCAATCAGAGCAGTAGATCCAGCCGATGAGGTTCCATTCGACACTGCTGATGCAATTTTGTTCCATACGTCTTGACTGAATCACAACAGAATGAATGAAAATCACAGAAAACTACGAAATAGGCTTGAAACGGAGCGCCTGCTGGACAACTTTGGCGGGACTTTGATGACCTGCTTGAATGATATGCACCGTTGATATGTTGGCCTCTCACCTGAATGGAGCTTCGTCGTTTACCAACGCCTCTGGAGCCGTGAGGCAAATCACGGCATTAACAGTGCTACTTCCATCTGCATCCTGGAGCCGTCTTCCCCCTACACCACCGCCACTGTCCTTTTCAGTTGCTTTTGTTGAAGAGCTAGTTGTACCCGCTGGGCACTTGACGAAAACGCAGCTGACGGTTGGATTGGGCTTGGGATTGAAGAGGGCAACGAAGGAGACTGCCTTCTCGTTCCCATATGTGCCGGGTTTGGCATCGCTGTACTTCTCGGGCAGTTTGTCACTAAACAGGCTATAACCTCCTTTCCAGTATTCCACTGCAGCGGCGCAATTGCCTGTGCTTTCTGATGTTGGAAAAAACGCGTATGTGCCCTTTGGAGCAGATTCTCCGGAAGAAGTCTGGGGAGCAGGAGCCTGAACAGTGATGAGGCCACATAGGCACACATACGGATCATATATGCAGGCATTCATGTGTAGATTGTGGTTGCGGGCAGCCCATTACTTCAGTTACTTGGATGATTGGCAACACGCAAGGCTTCCTACCCCTGTAACTTGTTCGCAGAGTTTCGTCCAGAAGTCTGCCGGTTCTGCTTCAGGGCCCTTCGGCGCCGCAGCAGTCACCGGCTGATTAATAGGCAACAACGCCTCTTCCTGAGTAAGATTTGCCAGGCCGGCGGCGGCCCTGGCCTGGTTCAGCTCGGTCAAGCAATTCAGAGAGACTGCGCAGGCATCACACACCACCAGGAAACTACCAGTTGAAGAAGGGTCTTTGAAATGGAGGTTTTACACAAACAAGCATCTTCCAGCCAGTGTCCCTGGTTGGTGCTGAGTTTAGGGGTTGCAGAACCTAAGCAGAATGGCGGGTCACTTACTTGCGACTGGGTCACCCGTGACCTGCCGGATGAGCAGGCACACGCCAGCGAGCGATATCAGAGCATGAGGAGCCATTTTCAACTACTAGAAAAAGTATAAATAGATCGAAAATTCAACAAATATTACTATGAACTGTCGGAAATGCTCATGGGGTTGGTCGGAGACAGCATCGAGTAGCGGTCGTGCACGTGGTCAACTGTAGTGTGGTGGACCGCAGTCAGCTAGCTCGCCTGTTGGGCTTTTCCACTAAAGATTATTGGTGCCATCTCCATATTCTTATTGGACAGAATTGTAAAAACTGCAATGTAGCCATTATTTTGAACTAGGTTTAGGCTGGACTTCAACACCTTGCATTGGCTGCCGCTCGTGCTGTGCATGGTTCCGTATCCCTCCGCATGCCTCAGGCGCGGAGCGCCTGAGGCATGCGCATTATGCATAGAGTAAATTTGTAAAGATTTTGATACCTTTACCAAGTTGAAAAGTATTAAATGAAGTGAACGGGCGCGTTAAAATGCAAGGATGCCCGCCGAGATGTGGCTCTGTTTCCTTCCGTTCGGGCGGGCAGCCCACAGAATCATGGTTTTTGGCTGCCACGCAGAGAAGCTGGTAGCATGAATACTTCTACCAGATCTACCCACATCGCGTCGTGTTTACTCCATGGCTTCCAAGTAGTTAGGAAAAGTACGGTTCTAGAGTCATCCCCCAGGCAAGGCTCAAAAGTCAGGAAATCCCTCCAAATCCACCAGGAGTGGAACATTCCCGAATGACTCTCCCTGAACGTTAGCTTCTATTGGTATTTCAGACGGTTCCGCCTGGGAACGGCTGCTAGCTAGTCAAGCTTCAAGCCTTTTGCAAGGCGTGGAGGGAAAGGCCCTCCGCACGCCACTGCAACAAGCTGTAATTTGCGTTATTTGTGCACTCCGGTGTCTCAAGTACTTTGAGACATAGCCACTGGCCTAAGGGGTCTGTGAAAATGATCCCTGGTTGCAGAGTTGTCACAGCTGCAGAGAGGCACACGAGCGATTGCAGGGGTGAAGCACCGGCACTTGTTCGAAAGCGCATGGTAGCATCACGGGATGTACCGAACTAGTGCAATTAGGCAGCAACGGCAAATGCTTCCACAATGCATCTTTAGGTCTCATCGACCTAAACCTTCGGTGTTCCCGAGCCCCAGCAAGCATACACATCTGATCTCACGCGAGCCCCTGCAAGACGCACAATGTTAGATGCCCTAAAAGCGTACGATGAAGAGTGAGTGACTGAAGAAAAAATGAATTAGCATTCATTCTGTACGAGTCATTTGATGTGGCTGAAGAGATGCCACTCGTCATATCCACCGTCATTTTGGCGCGAAGATCCTGCCTAAGCCGCAAGAAAAGGACACAGGCCACGGATCTCTTACAATACAGTAGAGCCTAAGAAAAGTGAAGGCATGCGTCTCTTTTGCACAGAGTTGAATGCCCATGTTGCAGGCAAGTTGTCGTGCACAGTAGGGACAGCTCGCTGGCATGCATTGTTCGTCTCCTTCTGACGAGGTCTATAAGTTGGCAAGGCCAGCTACCAAGCTGACGGTGCAGAATCATTTGAATAGCCGTTCTCGTCGGGCTCAGTCTGGGCCCGTTCCTTCTACTTCTTGTTCTCAACCTTGCTGCTTCTCTACACGAATATCCTATACTGGGATGGGATACTCGTCCGTGACCGCATGCCAGACGCGCTGGATAGAATCCAGGTTTGAGTGGGGAATGAAAAATCCTGGAAAAGATACCACTTTGTCGTTGGGTTTAGGCCTCAGTTGGATCAGAGAGGGTGGTGCCAAACAGGGGCTATACAGGCCTTCCAGGACTCGGGCACTGCGTCACGGTTTAACAAGTCTTCCACATCAGGAAAATAACCACAGGTGGCCATTAGAGCGGTAGTAGGAAGAGCTCCATCTGTTACAAAAGGTGGCATGCAATACCTGCTCAAGCAGCTATGACAATCCGCATACGTTTTGTGCGGCTCCAACGTATGAGGCTTCACTCAACGCGGGGGAAGAATGGTGACATTCCTGGCGACATGCTCTACAAGAACGTTTACTCCCATTATTTGCTGCCAAAATTTCTTCATTTAATTCTTTGATAGATTCAGCATGCATTGGGGACGTACCACCAGCGTGGACGTGTCACTATGACTTGAGTTTGCTAAAGCGTCCGTGAGAATCATCGAAATTTGGTTGAACTCCCGCAGTGACGTTGTTGCCGTACAAGACAGCAACGTCACTGCGGGAGGGAACAGGCGGAGTAGATCCAGGATACATGCGTAACGACAAAGCCACCAACCAAGAGAATACAACGTCAACTAGCCTGGAGGCCGACACGTTGAATGGGTTTTGAAGACTACTTGAGCGTAGAAATTCCTCATGAGCGTCTAAGTTTTCTTTACCTTGCAGTTGCCGCCGCTTCCCTCAGCGGCGGCGACTACACGATGGGCGTGCATAAAACAGCATGTACTTCGGCCGCACGCAACTTTTTGTTGGAAATTGGTCTGTATAGTGTATAGATGGCCGTGGCTCTATTTCTATCTGCTCTGCGTCTCTCGCTATCTTCTTATTCTGAACTTCGCCCTTTGCTCAACCTATGGCCAGCTTGGGCGCCTCAGCTGACAACATCCCGAGATCTGCACATTTGGGGCTGGTCACCCATAGGGGGCTGCAAGGGGTCCATGCCCCACTCGACGCGCCGACCTCGAGGCTAGTTGGCGTTATATTCTCTTGCTCGGTGGCTTCGTCGTTACGCATGTGTCCGGGATCTACTCCAGCTACTCTCTCTCGCAGTGACGTTGTTGCTGTCTTGTGCGGAGACACAAGGCCGCACTTTGACTCTGCAGTTCGGCGACGGTTTATTACATGCGTTTATTTTGGGCTAAGGTGCCCTCATACAAGGCGTCTCCCAACCAGGGCACAATTCACAAGGCTCCCGGCATGAACAGAGATGACGCCAACCGTTTGCTTTAACGACTTCCGATCGGCAGCGGCTGCTGCAAATCTAGGCACAATCAGCCAATGCCAGTCCATATTATCCTCTACCAATTGTTTATGTCTCCTTCGTTCTTGCCCTTCCCGCGTCCTCCTTTCTTCCCCTCGGTGACCGCATCCTTTTGCTCGAGGGTGTGGATGTAGGTTGGCATGCCTGACGTGGACGGATGCATTTCTATTTACATTCAGGTTAGCTACTGACGGCAAAGTAAGTGCTGACAATCGTCGACTGCGTGTGCATGCATGGAAATTTGGCCTGGGCATGCTTGTATACGGGGTTGCCTGGCAGCACGCGCTGCAGCGGGTTGTGGTGCAACTCATGACAGCTCTTCTGAAACAATCCAGGGACCCTGGGCGGATGTACCCGAGACGCCTGTAGAGTGAAGGGGAGACCGCCTACATTTTGGGAGTACTTCTCGTATATAAATATCTACGAGAAGTGCTCACAGCTCGAGGCGGGGATCAGCTCAGGTCAAGGATCCTCCCTTCGCATTCCCTGCGCGCACGCTCTGCAGGGAGAAGGAAGAATTGAGTGAACGGCAAAAAGTTTTTGCTTTAAAATGCAAATTCAACTCAAACGATCCGTATTAACATAACCAGGGGCTCTACGATGGACCAGTCCACCACAAGATAATCCTAGACATGCATTTAGTGGCCCAATAGAGAAACAGCACATCCCAGCGTTTCCAACAAGCTTAGCATCCCCTTCGGCTTGCAGAGCGGAGCTAGCCTTCCAAGAGGGGAGTGGAGCACTCTGAAGCAGGATAGAGGCGCCCCGGCCAGCGAAGGAGAATAAATGCACTCCGTCATGACTGTGTTGCAAAGAACATTGCAGCCAATTGTGTGCTGCCCTCCCGCGAGAAAACAGCGTTCACCAGTCTCCTACATTTAGGAGAAGAAACGGCTGAGCTTTGACAAGGAATTTCGGTAGAGCCTAATGAATTTTCATGCCTTAAAGGAGCCACTTTCTTGACGAAACAATGCTCTCAGGCAGCGTACTTGCTGGGTAACACATGCCGACAGCTGGTGGTTGTCGCAGCTGTGCTGTGCGATTATGAGATGAGAGCCATCGTCATATCCTGGGGCAGCTGTGAGCTATACTAAAGCCAGAATACTTGGGGAAATAATTCGCCAAAAAAGCGGAACATAGCCCTATGCTTAGCTCTAGGCCAAACTGTATTGCAAACAGCGGCATAGGTTCCTGGGCATGGGAGGGTGACCAGGCAGCTCTCGTCGTTTCGGCACTTGCTGCTGCAGCTGATGCCGCGAAGCAGCACCACATAAACGCATATCCATGCCCAAAGGTTCGATGCATGCACTGACGCCGTAGAGGATTGTTGAACGCCTACGTCATTTCCATTAGCCCGCACACACACAAACAGGCACACATGAATTTCTGAAGGACCCTGCCCCAAGAACGCCCACAGCACTTCAGTAAAAGGCTTTTTGAGCGACTTTCTCTCAACATAACTAGCTGAAGAGCACTCCGGTCTCGAGAGTTACTAGGCCTATAGATTATCCTTAGGTTCAAGGTGGAACTATTCCCGACTGTGCTTACGGAGAAACGATTTTTCTACTAGAATTGCACTCCGGGCTCGAGAGTTACGATGCCCATGTATCGTCACTAGTTTCAACAAGGTATAAATCCTGAATGTACTTACGGAGAAACGATTTTCATATTTGAAATGATAGAGTTGCACCATCGCAAGGGTCCTGCCGTGAACCTTGTGCAAGCCATGCATTGGCAACCAGCGAGTGTTCCCCCAACTGGAGGCATGACGAACCCGAATATCTCCAAAATTCAGCAATAGTAAAGGAAAGCACTGCTAACTGGAAGACAGAGGATTTCGTCCATTTATCTGGGCTTACCTTGAGGACACGATTCAGGGGTACCACATAGGCAGCGGCGGCATCTCGGAGACTGCTGGTTGGCTGCATGAACAGGAGGAAATATCTGCGCCAAATAATTTCCAACTCTACATTTTGATTATTTCAATTACACGTTCAGAGATCGGTCCCTTCCTGTCACTATTCCTGTAGGAGCAACCGTGCGGCTCATCCTCTGTCTTGCCGAAGGCCAATTGATAATAACGCAGCGGTGCCACTGCAACTCAAGAGTCCCTACAGTTCTCCTGGTAGTGCAGATCCCATTGTAGCTGCAGGCGAGTCTCATGGATGGAAAAAACTTCAGAACCAGTAGCACCTAGCGAAGCTCTTTGGATGCTGTCTGTTTACCGCCTGCCTTGACATACACATTCACGCCTGCGGACAGCTTGTTGGATCGTTACCTTCTTCCTCTTTGCGCAATTCTGTTTCCTTCCTCCACCAAACGCCTTCCCAAGGACGCCTGACCACTGCAGGCGGATTTGTGAGGCCCCAGCAGGCCAGTCCCCCCACTACTTCTGCTCATGGTACAGAAATTTCCTCGTAAGCACAATGTCCAGCGGCCTTCTCTGGCCCCTCCAGTCGCCACCACAAGGTGCATTCTCTTCCAGTATTTGCACACAATCGTCCTTCACCGATGCAGCACGTGGAGTACAACATCTGTCAAGAACGGCGAACACACTACCTCACGGATGAGACAGCAGCTGCTGTTTGTACTGCTCAGGGTCTTTTCTTAGGAAGCCTTGAGTTGTCCCTTTTTTATTTTGCAGAGGCATCCGCCTGAAGTAAAATCCGAAATGTTTTCTGGCAATAACGGTTCCAGGCTGAGCTCGTCGACGGAAGCAATACGGCAAGGGCATGATCAAAAGGTGAGCATCCAAGAGGCTGTTGGTCTCCAGTCCCCTACCAGCCTACGGCTCCCCTTGCGTTTTCTCCCCGATGCCTTCGCTGCCCTTCGTCTGCCCTCCCACGAGATACACTACGGCCGAAACCGCGCAGCTGCCTGTAAGGCCAACGGATGGGGGTTCAAAGATACCTATATCTACTTCCTTGACAAGACCACGTTGACAGTGACAGGAAACAGGTACAGAAACACAAAACACCATAGAGACGAACACTTCCTCCATCCAAATGCTGTATGAAATCTCTCATGCCACTGCGATAGTTGGGAATGCATCCTTCAATTCGGGAGCTTAAGGTGATAAAGTACGGCCTTCATATTTACGGTTTAGGCCCTACAGTTTAGAGTGAAGGGAATGCACGCACGGTTCATGGCGGTGCTCTGTAAATTGGCTCTGGTTCGTCTGATGCCCCCTCCCCTGAATTTGCGTGTTCGTTTGCTAATTTGCGCCCTCTTTAGGTACCCTCTGTGCGGCCAACGGCTGCAGCACTGGCAAAGGTTCACAAACTCCATCGAGGGCTTGGACCTCGAGGTGAAGTCCTTACCGAGAGAGGAAGTTATTATTAGCCCTCAGCGCCTTATTAAGAGGGAGTTCCTCCACGACCTCCTCTCCCGGGTGGGTGGATGTTCGCATCTTTGCCTGTTAAAAATGGGTATGGATAGCTTATCGCTGCTTTAGTCGTTGTTGAATTGAAGGAAACCTGCGAATGCAGTGCACGTCGCAATCATTGGGCTTCTGTTTGCCTGGCTATCAACTTTTGGCGACTCGCCTCCGTGAGCTTGCTGTTCGCTCCTTCCTCTTTGTCATACCTCTCGAGCGGGTTGTTCCCCGTATGCTTCTGCATTGTATTTTTATAACGACGAATGCCTCGTAAGCTGACGCCGGTGTTGCCGTGTGCCTAATGTGCTTTGCAAAACTTGCTGGATTGAGAGCATGCAAGAGCATTGCTGGAGCCAAGGGAAAGCTTGAGGAAGTTGAGTTTGTCATTTTATGAAAGAAATGTACTTAGTAGCGTAGCAGGTAGAATGCCGGGGGAGCACAGCCTTATTGGGCGAGTGAGTACCAACGCCTCCATGCCCTGCAGGCTCCTGGGGTGGAAGTTTCAGAGGACGGATTAGAGAGACTTTACCACGGACACGGTCATACGTGTGCTGAGATTTTCGCACTGAGGTACGGGCAGCTCGAACGCCTACCAGATGTAGTCTTATTCCCCAAATGCCACGAAGTGAGTGTTTCAACTGTCACTTGTTTCCCCCCCACCGGTCCCTTAGTTTCCAATTTTTCTGCAATGTTCCTTCCCACAAGTTGACCATGGCGCCAACTTATGTGCTGAAAGTCCGCCTTTTTCTTTGTGTGGAAAATGCACGACGAGCGGAGTCGCATGCGTTCAGGACGTGGAGGCGATTGTCTCATGCGCAGTACGACACGGAGTTTGTCTAATTCCGTTTGGTGGTGGGACATCGGTGACGTTGGGACTGGCAGTTCCTGAGGACGAACAGCGCATGGTGGCAACGGTATCTCTCAGTTACATGCAAAAAATACTTTCTTTTGACAGGGATGCTCTCCTTCTCACTGTAGAAGCAGGAGCCGTCGGGGTAGTCCTCGAAGAGCAGCTTCGCCGCCTTGGTGTTACCCTAGGCCACGAGCCAGATAGCCTGGAATTCAGCACAGTGGGTGGATGGGTAGCTACCCGCGCTTCAGGTGGGGCTTCGCATGCATTCATCTGGGCGTGTATCGTCGTATTGATGCCTATCGGATCTGGCGAATCTTCCTTCGTAGACTTTTTTGTGAGCGGAACCCGAGGAAAAGCACGCACCATTCGTCTTCTATTTGCTCTGGTCTTCGAGCCACTGACTGCGCATTGAGTTTAGGGATGAAAAAGAATGCCTACGGGAACATAGAAGACATCCTCATTGACGCAGTAATGGTAACACCACAGGGAACTCTTAATCAGCGCCTTGCCGCTCCCCGCGTCTCCAGTGGACCGTCTGTGCAGCAGTTGGTGCTGGGAAGCGAAGGCACACTGGGAATCATTACGCAGGTGGTCCTGAAGGTCAAGCTTCTCCCTGAGGTGCGTTTTCTGGGACAGGAGAGAACTCTGGGTCGAGCATTTGTAGAAATTCCCACCGGGCTTTTCTTGTTTAAAACCCTGAAAAGGCAGGTGTACCACCAGTCGAATGGGATGCGCGTACCTGCCAGGAAAAAACGTACGGCTGTGTGATGCACTTACCTTCCAGGAAAAAGTCTACGGCTGTCTAGTATTCCCATGTTTCGAGGTTGGCGTCGCTTTTATGCGGCATGTGGCTCTCAACAAGTTGCAACCGGCGAGTATCCGTCTCATGGACAAACGGCAGACCCAGTGCGGCGCTCTCTTCCGAGCTGTTCCCCCAGGTAGTGTCTCGCTGCTTGGCCTGTCTACCATGGTGACACGCAATTTAGAGCTCAAAATTCATCTACTGTTTGTTTGCATCGCTGTTCTGCTATACGTGCGACTTTCGCGTGATTATCACAATATACCGGCAAAGCACTATAGTGTTGCGCCTTGCTCTCCCCTGTTGCTACCCACAGGTGGCCTGGGACTCAGAGACGCACTAACAGACGGCATCAAGAGCTTCTACCTGAATAGGATCAAAGGTTGGCGTGAGGAGGATCTGTGTGCATGCACCCTTCTATTTGAAGGGTCTTCGGAGGAAGTAGCTGCCCAGCAACGAAACATTTATAAGGCAGCGAAGAGATTTGGGGGCCTTCCCGCAGGCGCGAAGAACGGACAAAGGGGCTATCAGATGACATTTCTGATTGCTTACGTCCGGTGAGGCAGCCTCCGATCTCAGAAACTAAAGCATTAGGGGAGTTTAACGCAATACTTGCGTCTTTCTGTTTCCCAGTCTATTTTTCAGCTGTAGTCTGCCTGCATGACCTTTATAGGGACTTCATCATGGACCACTACTGGGTGTTCGAGTCATTTGAAGCTTCGATCGCATGGCCATTGGTCCTAAAGTGCCGAAATTCAGTGCACAATTATATTTCGAAGGAGTGCAAGTGCGTAGGCATCCGTCATCCGCCCCTCGTCATGACTCGACTGACGCAAGTCTACGACGCGGGAGCTGTCCTGTACTTTTACTTTGGGTTTAACTGGGCTGGCATAGAAAACCCCATGAAGGTTCGTGAGTCTCCAACACGAGTTATCACCTCAAAACGAGCATGCTGTAATAGTGGATGCTTCGTATTGTCGTGGTGTACTTGCATTGCGCATGGCTTCCTGCTCCCCACTCTGCCACGACACTACGGTGCACTGTCGCATAAGGAAGCATTAGCCTGTATTCATCTAAGATGCGTTCCACACTCCAACAGAATGCCTGCAATGAGCACGTGACGGTGAGATCCTCTTGTGAAAGCGCAAGCACATGGAAACCTACGAGCTCCTTTGTCTCCAGGTCTACAAGCAAATTGAAGATGGTGCACGTAAAGTCATAATGGATCTCGGAGGAAGCATTTCGCACCACCACGGCATCGGGAAGCTGCGCCGGGAGTTCCTGCCCAATGCTGTTGGGGAAACAAGTAGGCCCTCTGCGACGTAGGCCCAGTTTAAAAAATCTGCATCGGTGCATGCGAGAGCGAAGTCAAGCCCAGATTATTTCAACTAAACGCCAAACTTTATTTACTGCATCCTGGAACGCCGGAAGGGCAACCTTGACATGCTTGCACTGCGCTGCATTTGTAATCAGGCGTGGCCGTGTTGCGTGGAGTCAAGATGTGCTTGGACCCAAAGAATATATTCGGGTGCAGAAATCTCTTCCATACTTGAGCATGGTGCGGACTCCATGTGCTCGCCATTAACTGCGCACCAATCATCTTCCTAGCCATCTGATGGAGTTGCTACAATCTGTCACCTAAGGGTTCCCAAGCCCCTGTTGGATGTGCCCTCCCACCCGGATTTGGAATTGCACAAATCCTGCTGCTTAGCACTGCTGGCTCGCGGAGTTGGTCGTATTCATTGCTAGATCCCATCGCTGAACTGGCTAAAAGCATTGGGTTAGAACAACCTGCCCACACTTGTGGCAAGAAGTTCAGCGGGCTGTCTAACTGGCTGGACCCATGTCCGACCTCCCGCATTCAATGCTTGTCAACCATGCTTCACTCTGGCTTCCTTGCCTTTATATTCAGCAGCGACTGCCAGAGGATCCAGTTACCGTTAGGCCTCTCCTACCTCTGCTGAATGCTCTGTACGATCGCCTCGAAGAGGTCCCTAGTGGTGGGGAACTTCTGACGAATCGCACACAGCGTAACCTGCATGTGTGATAACCTCGTGTCCCCGAATGCCTTGTAATGCAGCTCTCGCCCAGCAGCTGCGGCAGAAATCCACTGCAGAAGAGTTTTTAGTTCGTTGTCACCGCCGAATATAACACATCCCCTGCACAAGCAGTGCACAATTCTACCACCACATTCAGGAGAATCCGAAATTTCAAATCTCTGTCGAATATACAATGATACTGACAAAAAGCAATGTACTTGCTCACCATTTCCCAGTTGCTACCCCAGCCCTTGTTGCATGAATCGCATCCTCAGAGGGGTCGCCCTGAAAGCCAAGGGCTGCCTTGAGAATCTCTCGCTTCATGCTGCGGGTGGAGTATTGCTCCCTTTCGTTCTTAACAATAATAGCATCAATAGCGACTACAGTTGTCTCGCGTCGTCCCATCGAATCCAAGGGAGTGTGGCCGTGGATACTCCAGTGAGAGCCAACAGAGACCACAGGAGGAAACACCTAAAAGGTACCTTCGTAACCTGCCCACGCCGCATTGAATGCAAGCGCTTTATACATGGACTAAACACACGACCAAAAAGGGCTCCAGAGAAGAAACAATGCCACTGAATTTGATGTGCTGGCACTGCGGAACCACGAATCCCCAGCTGCTGGTAATCTAGTAAGCTTGGACAGAAGCAAAATGCGCACTAGTGTTCTGTAAGTAGATTGTCACCTGGGTACAGAACGAGACTCTCAGCGCCCTTGACGGTAACTGCCTCATCATCCTTCAGGGTGCTCGCGAACAGCATAATCACGTGTAACTCGAGCCTCCGCGCATCAGTTCTTCCTGGGCAACGTGGCCTGCCCACATGCTTAGGCCCCCAACATACATGTCTGCAAAATCGACCTGAGAAACCAAATAAACGAAAGCGCCTATTCTGAGCAAACGCAACTGCCTGTTGCAATAATCAGACTTGGGAATAAATATGTACGGCGAGATGCATACAGCAGACCAAGCTGACTGCGTGCTGCAGCATGGTGCTGGAGGCAGTCAGCTGATGCCCTTTCCTAATAAAGAAGCTTCAGCTGCTCTGATTCAATACAGCCCACGCAACTGCAACGCACCTGCAGATCTCCATCGCTCTTCGTGATATCTCCATAAATGTCGACCGTTGCGTCTGGGAGTGGAAGCGGCTGAGTAATGATTGTATTGACGTCGACTTCGTTTCGAGACACTCTTTCTGCCTCCGGCTTATCAAAACTGGTGGCCTCCGGAGTGTGCAAGTAAAAGCTCATAATTTCATTAGCGGGAGAAACACTTCGTGTCTTGCCCTCGAATGTGATCTCTTGACACAAGCAGGTAGCTGTGCAACTAGCCTGGGTGAAGTCTCTGTCCTTGAGCATCTCCTGCCAGCAGCTGCCCATGGTTTTCCTCATGCTATCGAAGTATATCAGAACAGCCTTGAGCTTCGGCTCCCGCTCAAGGAACCCCCGGTGATGCATATCCAGCGCACTGAGACGCAGCCTACCTCAGGCGCGCAACAGCTTCCGTTGCCTTTGAGGAATTATCCCGAAGTACTTGAATTCGTCGCAAATGAACCGACTGTCTCAACCTCATCATGTGCTTCAGTCCCTGTTGCCACATTTACACACAAGGAACAATAAGTGAGACGCCAATCCGAAGCGGAATGCCAGCACAATTCATAACCAGCTCCCCCCACAGGAAACAGAAGCCTTACCTGTGGGAAAGGATCATGTAGACGCATACTAACACCCGCCAAGAATGGTAATGTAGTCGTGAAAAACTCCTTGCCCTGCGCCGAAAAACTGGTCAATCGCTTGTGTATCTGCAATTGTCCACCGCCACGGTAGTTGCCTGGGGGGAAAACGCCGGCAAAGCAGCTATCCGCAGTACAGACGCCGGTGTAAAACAGATATGCGCCGCACGACTTCACTTACCAATTAAGCATCAGAGTTTGAAGCTGGTGGGGAAGCTAGGAGAATGAAACCACCAACGAAGAACACGAAGAGGAGCTGCTGCGCCGTTGCAGAAATCGCCCTGCAGTTCCCAACGCAGTAGCCTGGCGTGTCATGGCCGGAATGTAAATACCTACTTCTCGAAGTAGATTCACAAAAACTCCTCCAAACGCTGATGCACTAGAAGGAATAGAACCGCCTGCAATGCCCGCCAGGATACCTTGAATTCGCCTCTGGTGAGGTTCCCCTGCAGGCCGAAGGATTGCAGACGGGACCTCCTCAGTGCTCGCTGAAGGTGCCTGAAAGGCCCACGAAGCGTCGACGACCTTTGCCAGTACGGCCACTATAATGAACCAGCTAAAGCTGCTTGAATGCATCCTAACGGTACGCCTACGTACCCATGGGATCCCATGCCGCACCATGTCGCTAGAGTGTGGGGGCAAGAGGCAATGTATTACTAACCTAAAAACAGTGAAGGTCGACAAAGCTAGCGAAAGAGCCAATTCTCGGCTCGTGGTGCTCGACGTTGAAGACATCTAATGCACCCGTCGCCGAAGTCCCCGTAGGAACACAATGACTCTCTTCAGCTAGCGGCCAAAAAGAAAAACCAGCCAATCTGAACATCCCCGAACGCAATGTTGTATAAGGAAAAACTGAGAAGTCTTACGTTTCGGCGAGTAGCCTTGTCGGAGCAGGGTCATAACGCTGCTGAGCCGCCTGAGCCGCTCGTCACTAGCAACATACCTTTGAACCAGCCAAGCAGCCATCCGTGGCCCACGAGGCTAGTCACAGCCATGAAAAACTTGCTGCTTCCAGATTTTATATTTCTAAATAGGCAGGCGCTATTCTAAGTGACTTTAAGATCATGCATGCCACAAGGGGACCGATACTGTGGTCCCCCAAGACCGACGAACATCTTGCCCTTCCTCGCCGGAGAAGCAAAATTCTGGTTCCCCCCTTCTGCCTTAGTTGTCACTGATATGTTAAGCGATTGTAGCGAGTAGTGAGTGTCTCGTAGGGACCCAAAGCCGTCATAAAGTAAGACTGCTACCCTGTCCAGCCGTACGCGTCCGTGATCGTCCCCACAGATCTACGTTAGTGCTGGGCTGCCCGTAGTTGCTGCGGGTAGGCTAGACAGTGCAAGTATCCGACTAGGCGGTTACAAAGGTGTGCGTTCTACGCCTAAACACCTACGAAGTTCTTAACCGCTGATTTGCCTGCCTCATGTTCGTTGTCAACTGCGAATATGCCATCCCGGACCACCAACAAGCAATAGCTGTTTTCAACTCGGTTCGTAGCCCCCGCTTGTCGTATGGTAACAACAGCACATTAGGTGCTTCCCCACCTCAGAAACAGTATTATCTGCACAGAAAAAGTCTAAAGCCCAGTTCATTACCTCTACTACCTCTTGATGCGCAAATCCACAGTTCACACGCGACATACCAATACAACAGAAGCAGGCAGCAACTCCTGTTCCTTCCGTTCAAATCCACACACCCGGGCAAGACGAAATATACCTGCGTTTTCTTCCGTCTCGTTTATCCTCTTGGCTCAAGCTGCGCTTCTGCAATTACTCGAGAGGCAAACTGCTTAATCGTCCGCACCACAAAAAAACACAAACAAATCCCAGCGCATATCCCTGTGACCTCCAAGTGCTTCTTAGACACCGTGCAGAGTCCGAAGACGTTGACTTCTGTCCCCTGAAGTGCAAACGACTTCGCGGCCAGTGCGCTGTCGAGGCTTTGCAGCTCTCCCCCCACTATTGCATACAGAACGGCGAACGGTATGCCAGTCAAGACCGTAGAAAGGGCGAAAGTCGTAGCTGATATGGGCGTTGTTCCCAAGAAATAGTTGTTGAAGGTAAAAGGTAGTATCACCCGCGTGCACAGTACAAGCTTCACTGAGTCCTTCTGCAATGCTAACTCAATGGCTTGTAGCTGTTGGCTGCGACGCACAAACCGCCGTACAACAAACTGCCGCAGCAAGAAACGAGATATAGCAAACGCTAGGCAGGCAGAACCCAAACTCCCACAGAGAATAACAACCACAGCGAGAGGGGAAGGTCCCATCAACACCCCCGCCAAAACTGAAAGCAGCGGAGCGGGAATGAGCAGTCCAGCGACGATGTAAGTTAACACGTATGTTGCGGGGCTATTCCTTTGGCACTCCACAACCTGACGAAGCACATCTTTCAGAGGCAAGAACCACAAAAGCACCAAAAACACACCGACTGCAAGCCCTGCGAGTACAGACTGTGTGCTCCCGCATGCCAAAGGCGTCTCCTCCGAGTCTGGGCGCACGTCTGGGCTCTCAGACGAAGGCGGTTCAGAACGGGGATGCTTTTCGAGAGTTAGTAGCTCCTTCTCACGAGGAGATACGGCTGCTACATCTTCAAGACTGCCTCTCCTCGGGGAGTGCCGCTGGCTGAAAAAACGGAGAAACACTGCCATTACCGCCGCACACTATTAGATGAAGATAGGGGGAGGTGGTGAGAGTGCAGAATCTGGAATAAAGTAAATCGTGCCCATCGGCCAATCTGAAAGGCGCAGACGGTCAAGTGCCCCGCTTCCGAGCAGCTGCGGCCAGTCAGAAGTCCACTGCCGTCGACCCGAGACTTGAAGGAGGCAAATGATGAAGATAACGACGCAAATCGAAAAAAAATCATTCAAGAACAGCATAATTTGGCTAAACAGGAAGCATGCACTGTCTGAGCCTCCTCGACCAGTGAACTTATGCGGGAAGTGGTAGCTAGGCATGCAGTCGCGGGTACCGCAGTAGGAAAAACGAAGGTGAACAGAATGCAGGACTCCCAGGCTAGCAACACATTTCCTCCTTCCCTTCCATACACATCGATGTATTACTGTGAAGGTAAGTCCAGGTAGCTCGACGGCCTCTGGAGCAGCCAACTGCACCCGGGTCCCCTCCATCCTCTACGTCCGTGCGAGGGTGCTTCACCGGTTGTGATTTTTGACTGCGGCTGTGCGAATTCCGCGCGTCTTCGCTTGGTTCCACTGTTCCCCTTGCTTCGCCGCTTCAAGCTCGGTGATCCGGACACTAAATTGAACAGGCGGTCGTGCAACCAGTGATTGCGGCATGGTTTGTGTAGCATGGTCTCTGAAGATTGCACGCGTTTTGGGTGGCTACTGCGAGGCGATGTAAATATTTAGGAATTGTGTGCAGCGCTACTGCTTGTTGCAGTAGCGCTGCACACAATGCAAAGGGGTCTTGGTATGCCTGCGTGTGGGGTTGCCTCGCGGCACCAGTTTACAGCAAGCTGCGATGGAATTCATGAGTGGCTGCCTACATTCCGCAGCAGCCCCAGGCCTTTGTGCCGCTGTGATTTGGGCACTTGGGGGAGGAAGTAAGGTCAGCTGCTTCCTAAGAAGTCGAATGCATTGTGCTTTGATTCCCTTGAACCTCACGACGGCCTTGCCGGGGACTTTTGGTCCATGGGGTAGCAAACATGGCTGGAAGGCGAAGGCCACACAGCTGAGCAACCTGGTGCGTAGATCTGGATAGTCGTGAATAAGCTTTGTGGAGGAATAGGCAGGTGTTCATAGTTCGCCCTCGAACCTCCGTCGACCTTAAGCATTGTTCTCCTATTCGTAGGGGAAATAAATCAGATCTGCTTCTCCGCAGGGAGGGGACTATCTGCTGGGCGCCTTGTTAAACTTTAACTACCGCATTGTCTGCATCCTATCACGGCGTAGCGTCTTTACAACAAAAAGAGTTCGTTGACGGCGTGTCAGGCTTGACGGGAGTGTGCGGAGTTGGTATATGCATATCCACAGGCTCGCACGCTGCCTGCAGGCTATAGCATGCTCTGTGTGAAGCTTCTACGTGTATTCCTCCTGGAGTTCATGTTGCCTACTAGGGGTCAAGTAAGTGTTCAACAGCTGTCTGCAGCATTAGTGCATGCAGGAAAGGGGGCTTGGCTTTGGTTGCACGTGGGGCTGCCTTGCAACATTAGTTGCAGAGAGAGGCGTTGCAGCTCATTTCAGGCTGGTGACTCCCCGCATCAGCCCCAGGCCGTTCGCCGCTTTGCTTAGAGCGCCTGGGGTCGAGGGGAGGGCAGCTGCTCTTAGAAACTCTTATCTTTAGCCTGCTGGTTCGGTTAATAAGCTATGGAATGTCCTCGGATAAGATCTCTAACTCCCATTACGTTTGAGACCATCGCATTCCCATAATGCGCACGAAGAGCTACAGTAGCTACTTGCAAATTTTCGTCGTTATTCGAAAAGGAGGCCCGGCTATGGCGGTTGTATCCAAACATGCTGTTCCGAATCATATTCGAACTGTGGAAGCATTCCGAGATGCGCTACGGCGTAGGTTTGTTCCCAGATATACAAGCGAATATGGCAAAAATGAGAAAAGCTAAACAACGGATGCTGTCGATAAAGCGCTGTATTGAGTAGAATCAACCCTTCTTGGACAGAAGTCCAACGGTGGAGGGAATCTGGCATCCAAAAAGCCAGAGGGGCGTATAGAGATGCTAATCTGGTCTCTTTGCCAAGTCACATTCTTTGAGATAGGGAGCGCATAGAAAGAGCGAAGGAACTGGAGAAGGATAGAAAGAGCGAGGAGCTGGAGAAGGAAGACTTCGAGCAACACCGCCAGCGGAACCGAGAATGTGATCAGAAAAATGCTCTTACGTACAGCGCGCGGCAGTGGTGGGGCCGAACCAAGTAACAGTAACACCTGCTGCTGACCCACCACAAGCTAATGCAGTGCCTATACAGGTTCTTTTTAGTAATCAGTACTTGCTAGTGCTACTTGACACAGGCCTCGAAGTAAATCTAATATCTGAAGCTACAACGAAGAGCTGCAAGCTACGTCTTTATCCCTTGATGCAGTCACTGCGGCTAAGCTTTGTGGATGGCAGACAGGAGAGGCAAGACAGCAAGTATGGGTGTAGAATGCCAACGATTCAGAAATGGGTCACATTACAAAGACACAAGACTTCAATGTTGAACCAGCTAACCATGGCGAAACCCTAGGCATGGCGTGAGCGGCTCAGTGGAAGGTGCGCATTCGGCCAGCAGACGATACTGTTGAGGCGTGTGTGCAGGGGATCACTGAGAGACTGCAGTTCTGAGCGCTTACAGTGGCATTTGTATTCTGTAACTGGAAAGAGCTTCCCAAGTATAAAGGAGCGAGGAGGTTCGTGTGCAGTGCAGAGGCGCTACCGGAAGTATTGGAGGCATGCATGCACACCGCTTTGCTCGTCATACGAAATTCGCAGGTTTTGCTGGGTCCAGGCAACACTTGAGGAACAGCAGACGTAGGCGTAGGTAAAGGAAGAGGTCTCAGAGGTGGCAGGTATCAGCGAGCTACCAGCGGGCGAGCCACGCGCTGCACGCCCACTGCTCCCCATCAAAGTTACTTCCGAAGCAGCCCCGAGCTTTAGTCCAAGGTATAGGCACCCCCACATCTTGACCACGAAGTTGACAGGCAAGCATAAGTGCTAAGAAAAGGCAAAGTTCAATCGTGAGTTGGCGCATTTGGATACAGCCTGGTGCTGAAAAAGAAAAGTGAAGGGAGGTATCGCGTGCGCATCGACTGCATGCCCCTCAACGAAATCATACTGAAGCAAAACTTTTTTTTTGATAGCTAGGGTCGAGAAACGAGTTGACCGCTAGCAGGGTTCAGCAGACTAATCACCATTTATGTCCGCTGACGCGTTTTTCCCGATGACAGGCGCAATACTGCGTTCCACACCTGATAGAGTACGGTGATAATTTTAATAGTTCATAACGAGAATGGCTGCAGCGCAAAGCTAACTTGCTGCTGTTGTCTACATTGCTAAGGGGCCCTCCAGCAATGGCGAATGCAAGACAAACGCATTCAGCGCAGAAGGATGCCGACGGATAGACAAGCAAAGAAAAACAGCAGAAAATATAAACAAAATGGATTTCCCTAAGCGATGTTAAACAAAATGAATTCGTGAGCATGTACAGGGACTCAAATGCAGCACTCGCGTACTTTGGCTTCGTCTTTGGGTTGTGGATACACCATCGGGATGCCCCTATTGGCTGCTGAATGGCATATGCAACGAACCAGTATGTGCGGTCACCTTACTTAGGTTTTGGCACTAGCAGGGCCTGTATCCTGAGCAGCAAGAACTCCAAAAACAGACGATCCAGCTACTAGAGATGCAATAGCAGCCGGCGCAGCAGCAGGAGGCGGCGCATCACCAAGAAGCGCAGCAGGACGAGATGACGCTGAAGGAAATGACTGAGTTACAGAAACAAGAGACCCCGCACCAGCACCAAGCCCTGCAGAAAGACGCCCCCCGGTCCACCCGTTCCTTGCCTGGGTGACCAGGCACACCAGGACGCGTGCTGCTTGAAGGGGCAGATGTAGCATGGGCTGTCTTGATTTGGAACATGCATTTCTACTTGGGTGCAGGCTGGTTACTGAAGGCCAAGGAAATGTTTAGCAACTGTCTACGGTTTTTGTGCAGGTAGGGAAGGGGGGATTGACTATGTTTGCTCATGGGGTTGGGTTGCACCATTTGTTGCAGCATGATGCGTTGCAACTCATGAGACGCCGCCTCCTCCACCTCCCTCCCAACCCCACCCCCTAGGGCCTCTCTGTCCAGCCAGTCTAGAGACTTGTGGGGTAGTTTGGGAACTATAATGTGAACTCTTTCACTCAACTGCAGTTCTCGAAGGTCCTCAGCTAAGATCAAGCAACCCCACTATATACTGCAATTCCTGCTGTGAGACACCCCCGCATGCACGCATGACGAAGTCCCATGCAACAACATAGACAACTGTTTAACACTTTTCACGCTCTCAGCATATCCCTCAAAATCAAGCTGAACGCAAGTAGTACATATACGCGCTTGAGACAGATCGCGGTAAGCTGTTTAGGTTCTCATGCAGTCTGAAAAAAACGGTAGGGATTTAAGGGTAGGTATTTCTAGAAGCAAGTACCCACTTCCTTCATCTCCTGACTACTGTTAGTCCTTCGTCAAACCGTAAGTAGGGAAGGCTCGGAATTCCTGGGTTCATGACAAACGAGCATAGTTCACTGCACAGGCACTGGACAATTCCTTAAACCCCTCATCCTACACTCACCTACTTAACTGCAGGCATAAATATTATCAACACCTAATGGAGCACCAAATGCAAGGCTGAGCTTGGTAGTCTGCACTGCAGAGGAAAAGCCTACTATTTCACTGGAACAAGTTTCAAAGAGCCACTATGCACTAGTTAGGAGAACCGGAATCTGTGAAGATAAATATTATCCCTCTTTCGCATGAAGCGCTTCGCCTTGCTCTCTAGGTGGGCCCTGCCAGCCCCAAAAAAGATTTACACAAACGCCGTCCGGTATTGGCCCGCTCCCAATTTGCTCATTTAGTTAGGCTTATCTGCATCTTGACGCATTTTAAGTACAATTTTAGTAGTTCTCCTGCACTTCCAGTCCTACTTTGGTCTTCGGTACTCCAGACGGAGCCGTATAGCCCTGCCTTGGTATAGTCCCGTCGACTGGATACCGTGAAGGGTTTCATGCAAGAGTTATAATTGCAGCCTCCTTAGCTTGGGTTAGCATGAGCGGTTTAGGAACGAAAACGCTTTTTCTATTCGACGCGAGACATTACCAGTAACGGCAACGGCACGCGTCAAGCAATGTGGGACCAAGCGGCACCTCGAGCCGAAGCCAAGCGTGCAGATCGCCTCCGGGGTCGTAAAGTTGTTGTTTTGCTCGAAGATGCGTAAGCCAAGTTGGCGATTCAGCACACCCTGCGATACCGTAGGTCCTGAAATCACAAATCCTCGCATTTTCTGTTTGCTTGGGCGCAAACTGGCTGATGCAGAGTACTGGAGCTTGCTAAGGGACGCCAAGGCGGACTTCAACTCCTTGAGGGCCTCCAACACCGCAAGCTGCTGCAGCAAGAAAACAGAGACAGCACAGTGAGTTACTCTCCAAGAGTCTGGACGTGCCCGCATGATGATTTTAGGATGAGGTGGAAATACAAATGTTTCAGTTTAAACTCCTCCACCTGAGCTACCAAATGAAACTAATACTGACTTATCTTTTATATTTCTTATTTCTTGCCCAACTAGAGTGGAAATTACATTAGATGAAGCTAAGATAGATATAGTAATATTTTTGTCCTATGCTGCAGCATTAGCAACAAGTGAAGCAGCGAAAGTGCAATTAGGACAGGCATTTGCACAATAGTTGTTTTTCTCCCTGCAGATTTGTAAAGAGTACTTGCTCTTTTATAGGGGTCAGCCGAGAGTTGTCCCCTAATGTGGGGACGTGATGGTGTGGTGTTTTGTTTAGGATGTGCGCCCTGATATAGTTCACCACTGCCTGTTGGCCTTGCAAGAGTCGCCTCTAAACAAAGTAGGCTGCAGCCTGTAATGGATGGTCTCGCACTGTAACCCGTAAAGCTGTTACCTGGTATATGTTGCTTCAGCGTTTTACCCGGAGAATGGTTCTTGCAGGAAAGGGCAACCCTAAGCATGCTCGGGCGCTGTGATGAGTCACTGTGGCAGTTGTTCTTGCGTTTCAGGCCGGTCGTTTGTGCGTGTTCATCAGAACTCGCGATAGGCAACTGATTGAAGTTCATCCACAACTCCGAGTCCCGTCGACTTACGAAGAATTCAGAAAGCTCATGGGTGAGGCCCAAGAAGAGCTGCACGCTCCATAGTGGAAGCCACAGAGTCAAGATGGTCCTCTGCATGATTCCGGATACGAACTTACTGCTTACTATCCAGCTGATTCAGGTCGGAGTGTCCAGCTTGTTTCTGCTGTAGTGAGGGAGTACCTGTTGCTTTTACTCATGGTCCGTGTTCGTTCACTTCAGTAAATCTTATGCACACGCGTCGGATTCGCGCAGTGGAGAAGAATGTGACCCTTCTGCAAGTGAGTGGCCAGACCAGCAGACCAGCTCCACCTTCCTTGCTGGCCGTCGGTACGCCTTCTTGCTGTCGTAGGGGTTAAAGAAGTTAAACGACAGTGGTGAAGCCTCGGAGGGTGTGTGGGTGCCACTTGTTGGCGCAGGTAACGAAGAATGATCCGAACCTCTTTCTCCCTATTGGCTCCCGGAAGATCGGTGAGACGCCTGGTGGTCTGGCTACCCCAACGCACGCTCTTGGTGTACTGCGTTAACTGCATAGTGCGGTGCTGCCCAGTGAAAGAACGTATGAATGTTGTACCTAGCACCACGGCATCTGGTAGAAGTTGCATATCACAGATCTCGCCTCCACGGCTTTCCGTCTGCCTGGCCAGTCGGAAGTTGTTTGTATACAGACGGTGGCAAGTGTACGGTCGTCCAATAATAGGCAGAAAAAGCCTTTAGCGGAGGGCGTTTAGCAGCGGGTCGCCAGGAGCTGCCTTTCCTTTTGTAATTGTGCCTCCGCAGCATTTTCTTCTAAAGGTCGCCATGTAGACCTCGAAAACTTCGTGCAGCAATTTCAGCACACGGAGAACCCCGTGCTGTTCCTTGTTGGCGCGGTGGCCCATGCCAACCCTAGTGCGTAACCTAGGCATTTTCCCCACAACTGCTATTTCGTCTCCATTCTCCGCCTAAATCTTAAACACTCTGACTGCTGCCACCGTAGCCAGGGCTTTTATCCATTTTTCTGTGGGTTTTGCGCAGCCGCTAATAATGAACTCGCCGAAGAATGCATTTCCATCTCCCCGTGCGGACTAAGTGCTGCGGTGAGAAAAGCACTGAGGAGCTGCTGCGCAATACCCTGAATCCTACGACAGTCAGAGGCCTTGTATTGCCAGTAGCTGCCGGCATTATCCGCTGCATATATTCGTGTTGTAGGGTGTTGGGAGGGCTCTCCGGATTGCTTTGACAAACGATTTAGCTGTGAATGTGCAAGGGTAGTGTTGTGAATACCGCAGGTTTGCTGCAGCAGCCTCTGTACGGAGTTCGAGAATTTGTGGAATATCTATTAAAGGCCTGATTTGCTAGCAGCTTTTCCAAAGGAATGGCTTCCACCAGTCCACTCAGTAAATTACGCGTACAGCATCCGAGATATTCCTGATTCAGATTGATTATTAACTTGCTTTCGCTGTTTTTTCGTGGGCTTTGCTCCTACTGTCAGGCAGTATCATAGCTGTTGCTAGGAGGTGGCACTAAATCGTAGAAATTGCCTCGGTTGACGAGGGTGTGTCAGACACTAAAGTATTACGGATTTCTTTTTGGCGGTCTGTAAATCCGGCTGCACGAATACGCTATAATTTTGCATCTGTGCAGAGAACCGCTTGCTATGCTACGGCCCTTGCGCCGGCTGCCATGGCAATGCGTGAACTGGCACACGCAAGCTCTGCGGCTTCCTTATGCACTAAATAGTCCCACCCAAAGCCAAGTAGGCAGTGTGGGAAGACCGCGGGCAAGAAATATGGCATAGAATAGGCCGCTGTTCCAAGCAGAAAGTGACAGTACTGACTTCCCACCCACCCCTACTTTCCTCCATTCCCTCCAGAGAAAATGCCGGGGCCCAGCGCTTCCTTAATTTAGAAGAGGAGCGTCCGAAAGGTCTATGCAGCGGCAGACCGGGCACGAGTTCTCGTTGTGTTCCTCCCCAATGTCGCAACCGCACCGCTTGCTAACGTACATGCTGGTTTCGTCCACCGCTGTCATGTCACAAGGGGTAACGGTGCGAATTTTGCGGCCTGCTTGAGCAGCGCCATGGTCTGGTTCTGACACTTTACGAAGGGGGCGGGAGGTTTCCATGGTAGCCTCACTAGCAATGTCTTCGGCTGCAGGCTGCTTCTCCTTCTCACCAATTTGCAGCTCTTCCGGTTGTTCGACAGCTTGTTCTTCAGCAGGTTTCTCTACAATTTCGGGTTCTCTAGCCTGCTCTTGGGCTCGTCGTTGTTCATCAGCAACTCTCCTCTCGTCCTCCTCCTTCTGACGCCGCGCCTCTTCTTCGGCCTGGCGAGCTTGCTCAGCAGCTGCTGCAGCAGCTGCGGCAGCAGCTGCTGCCTCCTGTTCTGCCTTCGCTTTTTCTTCTTCCTCACGCGCTTTGGCTTCAGCTGCCTCCGCCTCGGCTCGGGCCGCCTCCGCCTTGGCTCGCTGCTCTGCTTCCCGAGCTGCGGCCTCTGCGGCAGCCTTTTCCTCTTCTTCCTTCCGCTTCTTCTCCTCCAGCTCCTTAGGATCTGCCCTCTTGGGCTCTTTTGCCTTGTTCTTGCCGCAGGCGGCTCCCATTGTCACAAGGGAAGTTGCGTCGAACTGCAGAGTGGTGCTGGGGCGCAGGGAGGCCCGGTGGCCTAAAACAAGGACCAAGATGTGGTGAAAGATGCAGTAGAAGTTGAAAAAGCCACTGGGAAACGCAAAAAAGTGCAATTAGTAGAGTAAATGAAAGGTGTGCGAGCGAAATGCGAGGCAGTCGATGCAGCAGCCAGCGGCCTGTCGGGGACTGCTGCACAGTGAGCGCAGAATAACCGGCGTTAAGGGGGATCCCAATGACAAGGAAGGAGACAATTCCTTCCGCGTTTGCTATTTCTGTGTTGAAACCAAGAACAATTGCTCGGAAACGGCAGGAAGAACCTCGAGTGCACCAGGGCTCTCCCGATGCGGCAGCTCGCAGTGGTCAGGTTTGGCCGGCAGCTGTTGTCGGCTGCGCTGCACCCTGTAATCACCCGAGTGCACACGCTGAGCAGTCAGGAATAAATTAAGGAGTTTAAGGGCTGGACTAGCCAAATGACTTCAAATTCTGCTTAATGTGTAATGTTTTTTTTAATTTCATCCAAATGTTCTCCTCTATTCGCTGCGTGCTCTGCAGTTGCTCAAACTGAGATGTTGGATGTGCCTCTGGATCGCCTGTTTCCCTATAGGAAGAACGGAACAACCGTAGCTTGCCCGTGATCCTCTCTCATTCATTTAGACTCAGAATACTTTCTTATTGAGCTTGGTACTTTATGGGAGGCGGGAACCTTTCTCGCACTTGAGCTAGCTGCAGCTATAGTCGTACCGGTCTGGGGCGGTATTTGCCGACTAGACATTGTAAAGCATTCAAATTCTTAGAAAATAGTTGTATGGACACTCTTGCTAGCAAAACAATGTGAAGGAACGCTCGTGTTGGTACCAAAAGGATGGCGGTGCATACTTGGCTCCTACGGAGGTGTTGAGTACACGCCCTGCTTTCAGTGACCTTCGACGAGCAGAGGAACAAACCCTAAATGAAACCAATTGACGAAACTATATCTCTTTTGAAAGGGACCAAATCATGATCTGCAGGCCCCGCGTAGGATCCCCTTGGGGCGTGTCTGACCACGAGCAGTTGAGGTGTAAACGCATTACACTAGGGGAATACACTAGTGCATTCATTGGAAGTCTACTCGCTTGTTTGCTAAGATTAACTAATAAATCCTTTTACAAGCTGATGCAGCGTTGCAGCAAGCCGAAGGGAGAAGCCGTAGATTTTTCTCCATTAATATCCTATAGTTATTCAGCAATCGCTTTACTAGGAAAAGCAATGGATTTGCCATGGAATTCTTCCTCCTCCTGCAGATCGAAAAAGCACCGGCCCCGACATTTTTCACCTCCTCTGTCCATCCTCACTTCAGTCACTGCCCTATCTTCTGTAGCCCTGGTCATTTGATGTTGTTGTCTCTCTATTATAGTTGGTGAAGTGTTCCAGGCGGCCTGTAGCTTCTCCCAAGGTTCTGCTGGCTCGCTTGACCTGCTCAGGCGGAGAGCGTAGCACGTTTCCGGTCTCCCCCCATGCTCTCGACGAAGCTTCGGTGGCTGGCCTGTGCGGGTACCCCATGAACAGGATGGATAATAGAAAAGCTCCCTGACCGCAACTGGCATCGAGACATGGAAATTTTCTGCCTTCTTCCGTTGTTTTCTACCAGAGCTCCACCCTCGTGGTCTCCGTCTGCTTGTCTATACCCACCTAGGATGATATTTCCTGCGGGAACCTTACTAATCGGAGCGGCAAGGCACTTTCGAAAGGGCGCTTCTGCGGTATTGAGAGCGCCATAAGAGTGCTGCACAACCACATCAGCCTCTTCTTCCGTTTTGCTTGTCCGTGCCAAGGCTGTGGCGGCGGTGGACTCTTCTGAAACTTTGGCGCTCCCCCTGGAGGCCATTCTGTTTGGTATCAGACGGGAATTTTCATCGCCGTTGGTGTAGCTGCTATTACCGCTGCTGTGTGTAGTGACGTGGGGGAAATGATGTTCAACAGAAGATCTGCTGTGGCCGCTCCCGCCGACAGAACTATTTACTTGGGGCGGTTGAATCGCTGGGAAGGTCGCAGACGGAGTTAATCCTATCTCGTGGAACCGTCTTCGGTGCCGCTGTGCCTCCTCGAGAACTGTTCATGGGCCATTCCTCCTCCACATCCTTCCTTGCTTGGCTAACAATATACCTGTAAGCTTCCGAACCGTCTGAATCGTGCATACCAAATAACCCAGCTTGGCCCGGGGTTCCATCCTGAAGGCCACTCCCTAATCTCTCCACGAGTTGACTGACTTGTACCCCAGCCTGCACTGAGTTCTATGACGGGAACGGCTTTCGGGATGTTTTGTGCGCTGGGATACTGTTCTCTTCCCTACCTGGGCTTCACGAAAGCGCTCTAACGGAAGAGCAGCCTAGGTGTTTCCGCACAATAGCGATTTTTGGGTTGCCTGCACTATTGTTAGGCTTTCTCTAGGCTGACTTTCATCAAAGCTGTCCTTCATTGTCTGTACGAGTTGAGGCGGCTGCAGTAGATTAATGCCGACAGCGCGCTGGACAGGTTTTGGAGAGCGTAGGATAGTACCATGCTCCTTTGTCTTGTGAATGGTCAGCAGTAAAGGGGAAAAAGCAGCAAAAAAGTTTGGCCAGGCAATCAGTTTTCCTAACTCCCCGAATAGATCGACGTGTAGCTTGCTGGTTTCAGCATGGTGCCAGACGCTCTCTGCGCTGAATCAAAACGAATTTGACTCTTTCTTTCCATGCTTGTGCTAGCTAAGCCAAAGCAGTAATCCGCAAATCCGACTGCAATGGGGCAAAAAGGAGCCAAGGTTGTTTATAGCCCGGCATACATATGGGGGTGTATGCACATGTTCCGCGGTAAAGCGTCAAAACGCAACGAGTCCTCTTTCTCGCTCAGTCAAACTCAACAAAGGCGTGGACGGGCACTAGGCCCCTGAAGAGCAGAAAGGGTCGATTTTTTCCTTACTACAATTGCATTATCACCTACTGAATGCGTATTCCTTCTCGAGCATGAAAATATTTTTTCGTCACAACTGTAGTCATATGGCCTATTGAAATTAAAAAATGTTATTTATTTCAAAATTTCCGATTGAAATTTGCTTACATTGTTACTGGCAAATCTTTCCGCCTAAATTTTAAGCCCGTCTCTAACGACATTTCCACTACTGACGAATTCGTGTAAGCTGCTCTCATCGTCAGCAGTTTGCCGTATCGGCAAGTGATGCAGTTGCGTGCGCCTTCAAGCTATGCGAGGTGTGAAGGTGCCGCCATAGCCGACCAATGTGACTACAAAAGGGGTTCCTCTTTGCATGGGTCACAGCAGATTTGGGGAATCGAGTGGCATCACGCAAATACCTACTTTTGCTCCACTCGGCTCCTCGGCAAAGTGAACCGACTACAGAGTATTCTCGATTGAAGGCGACAGCGTTGACGCATGAGCTGGAGCTCCACGTACTTTTCTAAGCTTTTTACTGCATCGTTTTGTGTATCACCTGCTTCTCACCCAACCGCTGGCCGCTGAGCCCAGAACGCCGCGCTTGGCCTGCATGCCCGGTAGTGTTTGACAATGCTGGGCAGCGGCCAACTCAAATTTAACAGTCATCAACAAGTGTACGGCTATACGATGAGCAGCTGGGTCAGAATGTGCTTTTGGGTGCGGCCGAGAAAACTGGGCGGGGGTCACTCGGCACCCGCTAACGGAGAGGCGCTGACAGTTAATATCGAAAGTAGCTTCTTCCAGCGTCCTTTAGCAAAATGTCGATATACTTAATTTCTTCTCGTTGGCCATAGTTCCTTCATGCTACGCCAGTGTTCCAAAACGACTGGCCCTTGACCTGCTGTGGCACTAGCCCGTGAAGTGCCTCAAACGGGCATTTTTCACATGATCTACAGCCTTATGCCTGTTTAGAATAGTGTAAGAGACTTTTATGAAAGAATCCCCTGTGGCATCCATACTCGGGATTTGTATGGCAACTTCTCAAAGTGTAGCTCTGCCTGCTGCATCCCACTTTCGGAACACTGCATTTTGGTAGTGTCACTGGGTGAGGCGTTTCCTCAAAGGAAGCAGCCACCTAAAAAGGTAGCTTAATTTGGAATATCGTGCAATATTGCTTACCCTTAACTATGCGCGTTTGCCTAGAGCTGTGGCAACTATCTGCCCTCTCCCCATGGTAGGCTGAGCGAACCCATGGACTAGAGGCGAATCTAGGGTGCAGCACTCGAAGGGAAACCTCGCTACCTACTATATATTGCCTCACTGCTTGAGTGTGAGACTGAAGGTCCCTGCTTGACTTTGGGCCGCTCGTGGTGAACAGCTACGGCAGAATATAAATCGTTCGCCTTGACCTAGTGAAGAAGCATTGCTACTAGTAAAGAAAGGTAGGTCTGCGTGTACCCTGTAGGCACTCGGCTGGGTTGTACCTCTGCATGAAAATAAATGTGACTGCAGGATGGCGCGAAGCTGAGGTAATTCCCAATCTTGTTTCTTCGATGCACGTGTTTACATACTGTGCATACGTATGGGAGCGAACACCAGATGTATACAGTCATTTGGTGGTGACCTGCACCTTCATCGGAGTTGCTTTGTTCCTTTTAATACTGGGGTGTACTTCCTGGGAAAGGCATGCTTTTGAATTGCCCTCACTGCGTCGGTTTCGACTCCCATTGTTCAGCGTATCTCACCCCACGCCAGATGCTAAAACTCACCTCCACTAACTACAGCAACTGTCGGGGCCGATGGAGGCAAAACCAAAAAAAGCCCCTTCGTGAAAGAAACCGGAATGCGGCGCCAATGGCAACTCAGTGAAAGTCGTCACCATTCCATGCAGCTATTGGCAGCACGCATGCATGTGCATAGAACAACTCCCCGACAGTTCGCGTAGTTGAAAAAAAAAGAAAAGAACAAAGTGCACTCAAGCAGTCTACAGCGTGCTTCTGCATCAAATAAGTTATGCCTGTACAACGATCCATAAACAAGCGACAAAATACAAATATGGATGGGGATGATGGGTGATGAGCAGACGCTCCGTTTCTTGTGCTCTAGCTTGTTCAGTGGCCCGTCAAGCTCCGTAAAGTGGCGCAATGACCGCCGGCGACTGTTCAGTTGGGGTCCTTACTGACCAGAACAGGGTCTAATAAATGCTGCAGAACCAACAGGGGGGCCGAGAGGACAAAAAATATCTAGGTTATCGGGGTATTCTGTGGAGATTTCTGAGGTAGATGTTCATGCTTAAGTGTTTGTATTCTCTCTGGATACAATAAAATATTTAAGGCTGACAGCATCACCTTGTGCTTTTTCCAGCCTCTACCAGGCATGCGCTCAAAAAGTGACAAACAAATACCCATCAGAGGTTCTTCGATTCAACTGGCCTTGAAGATGCAATCAAAGTCGATTGAAATTGATTACTCATGAGCGTCTTGATGGTTAGAGTAAGGGCAGTAATTAGTACTCGCTCAATAGCCTAGCTCCAGAAAGATTCAGGTGAGCGCATCATCCCGCCGGAGTTTCTAAAGAAAAAAATCACCCGTGCACCAACTTTACTGAGTGAATTCATACTTTGTCACGCCCTTCCGCTGGGCGCAACCGCTCCACCAACTACAGCTAAACTCAAAAGGAACTTGTAACGAAATATGCAACTTTGCAAGACATTTAGATGGAGTAAACAGTACAGGCAAAGAGTTTTTCTGTTTGGATGTTGATTAGGAATCCGTTTAGTTCTCCCGCAAAAAAAAGAAGCACCTCTTTCGTAGGTGTTCATGGTGACGGTGAAAACAGTCGTATAAACTAGGGAGCAAGACTTTCCCTTCAAGACTCGAAGCAGAAAGGAAGGCAGTTTTTGCCGCCGTGAGAAGTCTACAGATCAGTATGTTGAGAATATGAAAAGCGAAGAAAATTGGAGGGCGCAATTCCCACATGACACCCTCTGTTTTTCTTTGGCAGCGCAGAACTAAATGGAAATCTGAGAACACTTATGAAAGAAAGACACCGAATGCTCCTTGCTCTTTGGTAGTGATCCCTTCATGCAATGGCCCTCCTCAAGGACCAGCAGTGCGCAACGTCTCACTGGGAGGAGGAGGCACCGGCAGAAGCGAGATACCCTTTCAAACAGTTGAGGGGAAAGCTTAGCTCCGATGACGGCAATGCGTTAGCTGTTTCCCAGATCCAGATGATGCCCCTGCACCACTTCTGACCAAGTTACGGATGGCTTGAAGTCGAAGTTAAGAGTATGCATATCTGAACGAACAGGTAGATGGTCTACTGTGCTTCAACGAAGTTTCCAGGACACCAACTGATTGATTAGGCGGGAGAAGAAACCAGCAGCATCACTAGGTAAGCATACAAGGAGTGATATGCCCCTGGGAGATGCTGGCTCTGGCTAACCCCAGCAGTAACGGATGAGCTGAGAGATTTGCCCTCATCTTTGCGTAGCCGTTAAGTCTGAAGCGTCTAGTAAAAGCAAAGTGAAGAATGAAAGGCATGAATTCTCTGCTTTCCCTCACGACGGGGTATCTTGTCTCGCAACTGGATAAATGCGCAATCGCAGCCCACTTGAAATTCTCAATTCAGCCCCAAAATAGCCATGTTAATTCACAAAAAACATACTGGATATAAATGTTCGCAACTGGTGGGAATTATTTACGGGAATGCATGGCAGCAACGGCGAATGCCACAAGAAATCGATGTACTGCCCCGCGTGCAGCATTCGACGGCAGCCAGCATACGTTGAGTTTTGTCCGAAATCACTTGGTCCGCTAGGTTGGTTGCTGCTGAAAATCTTCAGAAAATCAAACATTAAGAACGTTTCGTATAAAAAGCTTAAGTGAGAGGGCGTGCCAGTTCGTTGAAGGCAGAGGTGGCGGATGCTATGTTGGTCTGACCGGTGGGCTGTGACGCGTCGAGCCTGGTACGCTTGGCGCCAGCATCATCCCCTTCATTATTTCGCTTTAATGGTATATACTTGCCTCTGTGCTGTCAATTCCGATTACTTCTTTTCCATTCCTCCGCACATGAGACTGTCGGCCCTCCCATCCTATGCAGGTGCTGGTATCGGGCTGCGGGCAGGAGAGGACTGGCCAGCATCTTATTATCTACCCCGTTTTCATCATTCATTTCTACCCTAGAAGACCACTATTAATTCCAGGTTCTCTTATGGAAACTGCGTAGGCCTGACAGGCGCGTTTATTGGCTCCAAGCGGGATGGTGATGATGCCCACCGATGAAAGCCCGAGCTCGCAGGGACAACCAAACGGAGGGAAACATGTTACGGGAAAGATTCCTCATGCGTTAAACGTTTTTGAAACAGTTGAGAAAGCTGGCGACAACGGGGAAATTGTCGAGTGGCCCAGAGTAGTCGAGGGGCGCCTGCTTTATCAAGGGGAAGTGAAGGTAGGAAATCACATTCTGCCTGTGTGCGAAGAAGCCTCCTTCATACCTTCTGTTCCAGAAAACCCCGAAAGTGCTGCCGAAGCCTTCGCAGGAAACTACGATGGCAACTTCCCAGAGACAACTGGGCGCGATGTGTCCTCTTTCGTAGAGATAAAGGCTCCAGTCAAATACCGAGATGGCAGGAAAGAAGAAGTCAAAGCCCATCTCGCCGCCAGAGGTCACCTCGTTATTGGGGCACTTTCCCAATCAGATGAGTCAGCGTCTCCGGATGGTCGGGATCTGTTCGCGCGTAAGTGCAATGCTTAAGGAGTTGGAGGCGAGAACTCCCCCAGCAGCTAGCCTGATATTCTCTTGTGCCAGCCATACTGGCACGACTCTGCCGTTATACTCTGTTGTTTCCTTGCGGGCGGTGGAGGGAGTTATGGAATGGAGCTCTGTGTGTTGCGCTGCTCAGCGTACGAACATAAGCTAGCAAAGTTTGTAATTATTATCAGTTCGCTAAGCGGAAACTGCGCCTGGTATGTAGTAGAGGAAATACGGCGTCTACTTTACCTCCGGGACGGCAGGCTTTCAAGGAGCGCTGATTTGGAGTCGCGGAAGGAAGCCTGCAGCTCTTTGGCTCGGCTCGCCTGTCTCAGGAAAAGTCTTGCTGAAATGGAGGATCACGGCAGGCGCTTCACCTGCCACTCTTCTGCAGACGCCTTGCATGAGCTCGAGGCCGCCTTAGCAGGGGCCCTTGCCTACCGCTCAGCCGATGGCAAGCATCCTGCAGTGTATATTCCTGTAGCCAGCTTCATTCCCGCAAGTCTTTATCTGCGTGTTACCCCCGCTGAGATTCAGCGAACCCTCCTTAGCGTCTTTGACCGCGTCTGGGGCAAGTTGGGTGCCGCCTCCCGTCGTCACACTGAAAAAATATCACGCGGTAAGCAGCATGTTGGCTACAGATAGGGCCTCTAGCATTGATTTTCACACTCTATATATACATAGTTTAAATGCGGCCAACAGTCGAAATCTACCTGGAGTCTAGAGCATTATAAAATAGCTAATAGCGTTGGGAGGGGGGGTGGCGGGACGGCGGGGAAATAGAACATGATTATTTAATTTTAAATTAAATTTGCGATTTTCGAAAAGGGTGAACGTGAAAAAATGCTTATGCAACTGGGGAATTTCCTCAGTCTGTCACCACATCTCTGCGGACAACAGCAGGTAGGCGGGCAGTGACTTGTTAAGCGCTTTCTGAGGTATCCGCCACACGTAGACGGCGTGCTGTGACTTGCAGTGGCAGTGGTCTTGGATTTCAGCGGCATGTCTCAGTTAGACCTTGCTGCGTATTCAACGCATCGTCTTTTGGGAGATATTGGGGAAGTCTTGCGCGCATACTGCCCTTGGCTTGTGTACAAGATCGTCCTTTTCAAGCTGTGGTTTGCTAGGGAATTCCTTTGGGAACTCTTCAGGTGAGTATATGCACTGGATAAACTCCAATTTTCGACGCCACTGCCTATCTTTCCAGTCGTACACCTGTTGCACCCAGATCGGTATGGAAGAATATTCAGAGTTGCTAGAGTTTTGCATCTGCTCGGGCTTGCTTGGGCGGGCAGTAGTAGCTTTCCTTCTCTTACTGTCTAGTTTGTATGTTTTGGGAGCTCAGACCAGCGCTTCAAGCCGACTGCCGCGTTGTGACAGCAGAAGATGAGGAGGCGCTACTTCAGGAGATCCAAGCAGATGGGTGAGCTGTTCCTCACCCAGCTGGCATCCGTTGTACACAGACAACCAAAGTGTACGGCATATCCAACCCTTGTAACATTTTCACTCAATTTTACGTATGTCTCGTCCATACAGTGCATACGTTGAGGCACTGGGTTTTCTTTAAGACTTGCTTTCTGAAGCGTTAGATTTTTTCGAAGGTATGGCAGATAATAAATTGTTGCATGCACTGAAGATGTTGTTTGTTCAGAATGTTTTGCGTGCTGTAACGCCTCTGCATGATTTCAAAATGGTCGGCGCCTTGGAATGTATGCGTGCTTTGCTTAGTTGCTTTTTTGTTTGCTTCTACAATCTTGCGTGCTTGCGCAGGACTTTCATCCTGCATACCCTTGGAGGCTTCAACGAGTGTAGCGTGCTGCGATGTCGGCGGCCTGTGTACCGTTTGAGACAGCCTCCCCAGCCGTTAGGCGTGAATGAGTGGTTCAACAGGGAGGGAGAGGCAACGGATTTCTGGGAAGAAATGGAAAAACTGTACGAGGAGGCCCCGTGGGCCCCTCCGGAGGGAGACCCTGTGGATGACATCCAAACCAGGGGCCATGACAACATCAGTGCAGCATTGCCAAGGCGAATACAAGATGAAAGCAGGTAGCTTATGGAGGCAGCGTCTCCTTACAGACATTCGTTCGCCAACGGCGCCTCTGCCTAGGTGCAATTAGGCTGCGCGTCAGCTGGCCTGGGAAGATAGCGTTGTTCACATATTTCGTATGAGACTCCCCCACATTGCATGCATGCATCTGCAGAGAACAGGCTTTGCAAAGCAAGGAGGAGGAGCTAGAGGAGCTAATCAACAGACAAGAATGTACAGTACCTCATTTCAAGAAGGCACTGAAGCAGGTGTTAAACGCGAGGGATGTTGATGTAAGTCAAGCTCAAAGCATTTCGTCGTTTCCTGGGTGTCATGATATATTCCTCTGTGCAACGTGGCAATACACAAGCTGCAGTGCCTATCGCTGTTTTTCAAGCTTGTCCTCCTTTTCTTCCGCGCTGTCTCCTCAGGGAGAGTTCGCAAAAGCTTTCACCGCACCCAAAATGGAATTAACTCGTCCTGTCTTTTCCATGGAAAACGTCACAAAATCGGATGTGCAGATATGCATCTGGAAAACGCCAAAGGACGAGATGGAGGCAGCCAAAGGAACTGCCCAGATGCTCATGAAGATATTCGAAAAGCGCAATATGTGGACCCATCCTTTCCTGCCTTCCAAGTACATGCATGCATTTGAGAGGACGACGTATCCGCTCGATTGTGTCTACGTAAGCACAAGCCTCAAAAATGACATTTGCCACCACTTCCTGCACAGAATCAGACACTATTGCTAATGTTTCTGCTGTCGCTGTCTCCGCAGCATTCCAGTCCGGTCTCCCCGATGAAGCCTCAGGAGACTCTCCCTGTAGTAAGGCCCACTGCTCCCAAGGACGGACTAATGAGAACTGCTCCGGTTAAAGAGAACCTTCCAGCTTCTTGCAACAGAGTTGCACTGGACGCCATTAACTTTCTGTGATGGTTGCAGAGCGGTATCTTCCGGTGCACTTACTTTGGTGTACTGTTTGTAGAGGTGCACCCAAGCTGTTCACAAGCACAAGTGAAACTGGCGTACATTCTAGTGACAGTAGCAGCCTCCTCGTGAGGACCTTCCTCTGCTCACAAGCTTCAGTTCTCTCTCCTACTTGTTTTAATGCCACCAGTTCAAGACAGCTAAGTGTGACTTTAGCCTGACCACTTGTGACAGTTTGGAGCAATGGCGCATTTAGGCAGTGTGCATCTCTGTAATGCACGCCCCTGCAAAAGGGCCGTGCATTACATATCTTCCATATCATTTCCTTTGAGACAGCAACAAAAAGTGTGAAACAACGCTGCTAAACATTGCACGTATTTGTCTTTGTTAGCCAGTCTATCGGGCGAAGGTACCTATCAAAAGTAGGATGAGCAACTGCAGCCGGCCTTCGAGGTAACGAGTAGAGCCAACCTAGTGATAGGAAGTTGCTGCAGCGAAGCTTCTTCAACAACAGAGGAAGGCACATGCAGTCCTGCTCTGCAGTACAGGCAGCAGGTCTTCCTACCAGTCGTAGGCCGTAAATATGAAGTGTTGCGTTTTTATTTGGCTTAGCAACAGACTCTGGGAACAGCAAAGGCAGTTTCTCTGGAGTAATGCGTAGTGGAGGCGTTATTGAACTTTCCAAAAGCTACGAAGCCTTCTTTCTCTACTGGTACAACTTTTACACTTTTGTCAGGAGGCTGAATTTACAGTTTGAATCTTCTATGGGTTTGCCAGCTGCGTGCGAGGTGACAGCACAAAATCCCTAGTGTTGCCATGTTAGGCAAGTCCTCGCCGTAGCCACGATAGGAGGGCCCCACAGCATAAGATAAGAGAAATAACAAAACAAGATACGCTGTAGCTCCGGATGAGGCAATTGGAGCACTGGAGGGTTCACGTAAGCCAAACCCATGCTCCTGAATGTTACTAGCCACGAGATACGCACTGTGCGTAACGAATCAAAGTAGCACCATTTTGATTTGGCAAGCCACAGCTAACTCTTGTATCAACTGTTTGGGAAGACATCCCACCGGCTTTGAAGCACTCAATCCATCCTCGCTCCTTGCCACTTCTCGTCGCCTCCCTGGCGTTTTTTTCTTGGGGTCCATCAACCAACTGCTGAGCGCGGAGGCAGCTTCCTCTCTTACTGAAGCCGTTCTCTTCCATAATGGTGCTCAAGTGAGGGACGATTATCTCTTTGTTCGCGAGGCAGGCCTGAAACCCGCTGGGGGACGGTTCCGAACATCACTGGGTCTCGCCTATGCATTAGCAATCGCTTCTGCTCATGTGTCTGTATTCCGTCGCTTCTCAGAATTGGAATTAGCTCCAACAGATTGTGGACTCTCAGAATTGGAATTGGCTCCAACAGATTGTGGACGAGATTAGGAAAATGGGGCTACCGTAGAAAAAAATTTTCACTGTGGGCGTGCAGTTGGGAAAACGGAATTTTGAAAGTTTGCCATTCGGGTTTGCTTGTGCATTAACGAGACACGACAGCAGCAATGCGACAATGTAAGCCCATGAGCTTTAAGTGCTCCATGCTTCTCTTCTTAAATCCGTTTTTAGCTTTATGATCTGAGGTTAGTGGCCATTTCTCGTTTGTTTCGTGGACGATGCGCTTTTCAAGACGCCCGATGTATTTTTACAGCCTTGGCTATCTCTAAACTACGCAATATACAAGAGCAATTTGAGAAGATGTTAAAGCAAAGCAACTATACTTGTAGAGCAAGCCATTCTGGTCCACCTACCTACCCTTGAGCGGTGGTAGTTACTGTGGTACGTGGTACCAAGATGAATTGAGGCAATTTTTGCCTTCCCTTCGCTACTAAAGTATCGGACGAAGCCTCATTACTCCTATTTGCCTCTGACGGCGTTAAGATGGAAATTTCCCTGCATTTTGCTTAGAATTCAGTTTCGCTGTGCCAGTTGTCAATTCCTTGTCGATGTTGGGCGAAACGAACTTTCTCCGCAAAATGCATGAAATGAACCCTCACCCCTGTCTAACTTCTGGAACTATGAGGCGCAGTTGTACCTGTTGAAGGCGCTTGCTGCAATTAGATAATGGAATTGCTATCAGAATGAAGCTGCAAAGCTCACGGCCGTTAAGTCATATGCGAGCTTCCAACTTGGATATGGTCGGCGCCAGCACTGTCCCCGTTCCCGTTCAGCAGCCCTTGAAAAACCTTCTTCGGTTGCCTTATTTTTGAAGTTTTCAATCTTTTCGCACAATCGGCCAAGAAACGCTTGCAGTGAACAACGCCATGAAGGTTTCGTGCTTGGGAGCTTCTCCGGTCTAGCGTAGTTCTCCCCAAGCCAAAAGGAACTCCCAAGCCCACTTCACCCTGGAAAAGTACGACTTTGCTAAATATTCACTTTCTTGCCTTGCCGTGGGCACGGTGTTTGCTGTCGGGATGCGCAAATGTGTTGTGCTTGCTCTGACAGTGCAGCTATTCTTGTCTCGAGGACTTGTGAAGGTATTACGTGACATACTTTAGCATTTTATATTCACATGCTCAGATTTTATCCCTATTGCTCAGATGCCGTTGAGGTGATGCTACAGTTGCTCGAAACTGATCTCGCTGTGGCTGGACCAGTGGTGTTATCCAGCGCTGGTCCAGCTAACCAGCGGCTCTGAATAAGAGGATTATGTCTACATTGTCTGCTTGAATTCAACATGAATTTGTATTTTGCATCGCACTTACGAATATCTGGAGGACTCAGAAGTTGGCAAACAGCTGAGCGGAGACAAACCGGTTAAGTCTTCCCACTGCTCTATGCTCCCCTAGTGCTTGAGGCCGCGTCAACGGGGCTATGAGTCTCAGATAACCACAAACCCATATTTCTTTTTTTATCGAAGAAATACACTCAACATAAATCTTGTGTTCAATATTTTTGGAAGTTCACTCGAAAACCAGCCGTGCACCTTTGTGGACATCTTCGTTTGCGGTTTCCCGACCCGCGCCCATCGCCTGTGATCTGGGCGAGATTATCGGCGGCAGTCTTCAGCGAGAAAGAAATTAGTACTCCCGGCGGACAATAGCTTGAAACAGAGCTTTGAAAAGTCCAGAACTACTAATCGGTGGTCCTTTAGCCTGTTTCGCAGCGCGCAGCCACGGAGGCTGCAAGGAGGCACAGGAAAGCTGAAACAGCACAGAGGTTCTCGGCGCGCTCATTAGAACCCTTTTCACAGGCATCGTCATGGCTAGGCGGTTCGCGTTGTCAGGTTATCAGGTACCTCCCCACGAACATCTTCAGGATAGCCTGGCAGGAGAATCAGACAGTCAGCCAGGCTTAAAGCGTCCAGCGAGACACCAAGGCCAGGAACAGCCTGCTGGTAGAACAGCAGAGGCCTGCTGCTGCTTCGAGATGATCTCACTGCAGACAGGATCTTACAAAAAAAGGCGTTCTGCTAGCTCTCGTCTCCGCAATTCTCTGGCGGGTGCTGCAACGGCAAAGAGAGAAGTGCGTTTGCCAGATCCAAACCCATTGGCTCTAGCTCGCTATTTCACTATGAAAGCAAATGGGAGGGTGAAGGGGAACATTGTTTTATTTCTAGCGATCATATGCTTTGTGCGGCTTGCCGCCTGCGCTCGACGCTTCGGAGGCAAACAACTTGAGTGGGAAGATGCCCCTGAAGCGCACCTCGCCTTAAGCGAAGAGGTGCGGGCTAAAGCGTTCAGCCTAATGAAGCATCAGTTTGCTCAGTTGGAGCACCAGCGGCTACTGGAAGCTGAGGCGGAACCCTCATTATCCTACCCCCAAAACTTGACTGCAAAATCCCTAGTCATGCTACAACTCGACGGGTCAGCAGCAACAGCTGCAAAAGCTTCATATAAAGGTTTACTGAGCAGCCCGGATAACCTGGGAGCTGTTCTCGTGGGAAAAGCAGACGGGGAGGGAGATATGGGGATGCCAATCAAAGGGGAACTAGATAAGCGTGGGGTTCCCATGACTGCTGAATCGGCGCCTTACTCGTTTTTGAATTGGGGGCAAATAGGGGGGATGATGCAGAACCCAGCGCTAGCACACACGGGTATGCCAGTTTACATGCCTCGCCAGGTTATGGGCACCACTGTAGGGTTGGATTTTGATTCTCCTGCCACTTTTCATGGGCCCTTGTTGGTGCTGCTTATGGTCTGCATCCTTATCTTCTTTGCCGTGCTCCTTCTGTGCTGCTGGATGGTCAAAAGCAAGCAGAAGCATGACAAGTTTATGGCCGAAAAACTGCCGCGCTAAACCTCCCAACACTCGCTGAGCACTCCCAATGCGACACGTAAGAGAGAGGAAACCTAGAAGACGACGAACAGCACACAAAGGAGGGCAAACATAGAGGCTAACGAGAAGACAGGCTAGAACTCCGCTGCCACTTTCCGTTGATATCGCCAAAGCGTGTCCATCCGAAGTAGGCAGCATGAAGGGCGACCAAAGAACCACCGTCCGACGCCCACGAAAGCTCGGAGGAGGCTTTGGAAGAGGGGAAGGCGCCAACCACGCGGCCCCAACAGTTCTGAGGACAGTTCTGAGGCCATTAACAATGTTTGGGATTTAATATAGGATAGCCTTGTTCTACAGTTAAGTTTCTAGACTTCTGCCTACTTAATGTCGTCTCTACTTGGAGCAATAGAAGCGCCCCCCCTCCTCTTGCCGAGCAAATAAACTTTTACTTTTTGCAGCCCAGAACCCCCCTAACTCTTGTTCGTTGCGGAGCAGCGGTAGGCCACTGGGCAACTAGCTTTTCCTGGCGTTTCGAAGCCGGCATACACGTGGCACGCATTGCGCACGCCCACCCATGCACAGTGCACAAAGCCTACAGTACAGCAGCGTCAATGGGCAACATCATCAATGCCCTTGCAGTAACGATCGCGCAGAGCAATGAGTGCCAATCCAACGCCTCTACTGGTAAAGTCAGTGCCGCTGAAGCTCCTCCCGGCTCGCTGAGAAGGTGCCGTTCTCCCTCTGCCGCCTAGTTGAAACCGGCTTTGAAAGGGTGACTACAAGGAAGGTGCAGTGTTCAGAAGTACATGTACCCTACTTTTTTCGCGTACATATACAATACCTCTCACGCCAACTGGGTCAGAGTCAATTCCAGCAAGCGCGTGCAGGTCATACGTGTGACAAGCGCTGAAAGTGATATATACAACCAGAACAGTACGACGTAATCAAAGCTCCCGCTGGGTCTTCACAGCACTCCATGCCATGCACGCCCCGCATGCAGCGCTCCAAAGTCAACAGACATTCTGCCTACAGAAGAGACCTTGACCTAGAGCAAGGAGCTAAACCCATCCGCACAACAGTTTCCAGCTGTCTGTATACGCTTGAGCAGTGTCTCTTCGGTACTGCAGCTGTCTTGAGCAGTGTCTCTTCGGTCCTGCAGCTGTCCCTCTCTCACCTGTAAGTTTCCCCCAACGTGTCCAAAACCTAAATTCTAGTTGGGCAGGCAGCGTCCTTGCAGCTTGGAGGGCTTCGGAAGCTTCAGGCGCTGAAAAACTCTGCCCAGGCATTCCGCACAAACCCCAGAGCTGCGTTACCAACATTCCTCTGGGAGTTGCTGCTCGCGTCCCCTGGTTCTCGGGGGGCGCCTCTAGGAAGCACTACCTGGGCCCTGCAATTGGGACAGGTGGCGCTGCAGCGGAGCCATGCCCTTGCACATTCCCAGTGAAAGGCATGACCACAGGTTAGGGTAACAGACTCCGTGCCATCTTGCAGCTGCAATGTACATACGGTACAGCAGGGTGCCTCCAGCTCCCCCCCGACTGCTGCAGCTTTTGCTGAACGCGACGGTGTTACAGATCGACTCTGTACTCTCCCCGGTGTGGCCACCGCTGATGCCTCTTCTGTGTCCTTTCCCGTTTCCTCCTGCGCGTCCCCCTGAGGGCCTCGCGTGCACAAGTGACCATAGAGCCGTCGGTACTCAGAAAGACAAAAGGGCCCGACCAGCTGCCGCTTGACCGCCGCCTCTAGACCCTCATCGATCCCCCGAGAACCTCCCCTCAAACCTCCAGAAGGCATCACCCGCAGCAGTAACTGCGGATCCAAGGACTGTACACGCAGCACCCAACACCGAGCAGGAGATACGCTGTAGCAAATAACCTGTTGCAAACATGTCGCACCAATCATGCTGCAGCAAACATGCTGCAGCAAGCATGCCAACACCTGCCAAAGTCCAGTGATTCCTTTACTGTCGCTGGTACGGAGTCCTCATGTCAAACTATCACCACAGCACATAACCCAGACGAAAGCCCTATCGAGAACTCTAACCCAAAACCCCCTAGCCCTAAACCGAACCACCAAATCACAAGCCAAGATGCATTCTCTAGCCAAAAAAGAACCGCAAACTCGAACTGCTTTAGAACTATGATAAGCCAACTAGGCTAGGCTCTACTACCTGTATGGGCTGGTCTCCACGTCTAAACTTTGGCTGGCTGGACTTCACATGCAAGGAACCCAACGCACCTGCGCTGCTGCCACAATGGCGAAGGGCTGAACCCGTGCAGGAAGGCGGCGGACACGGGAGAGGACATCTGGAGGCAAAATATCGATGAGGGAAGGGTTCAATGACCCTGAACCGCAGACCCCAGCAGCCCACGTCAAAAGATCAAGGCCGCCTTAGCTTAGAAACAACCAGCCATATATGCATACATATGCGCATGTACGTTGCACTGCATTTCTCTACTTCGTAGTAAAATGAAAACGCCAATGCGTAACTGTGCATCACTCTTGTGTACTGAAATATATGTAGCTTTCTAAATGAGATATGTGAATGAGCAGCTGTCCGTCTGCATACCCTCAAAGTGGACGACTGTTTCTGGTCCGACTCGGGCGACTGGGACGGTGGAGGGTTCCGTGGCGATGACTTTAAATTCAACTCCCCTGTAGCAGTCCCGACAAGCAAAGGTGGCAGTACAGTTTATTGGGCTCACACGACGGGAGATAAAGCCACCTGCTGCCAAGTGCCTGAAGTGCCGCGCTGTTACTCGCCAGACCTGAAGGTGAATATGTCCCCCTTTCTAATCAGGCGCCACGGCTGCTCCTTCAGAAATGGCTGCAGGTAATCTTCAAAAAGACGGAAAGAATATGTCGTTGGTAATGTATCGGCAAAAGGCAGTATGTGAACTCGTCTGTACTCGCCCCACGGATCCACAGATATATAAATAGCCTGGAGCACGCAAACCGCATGAAAAGAATTGCCCCCGTAATATGGGACAAGACAGGAGGAGCGAAAGAATCATAACAATGAAATTCATGTGCGCATTAGGTTCAGAAGATAACTCAAGAGTAAGACAACATGTGTCTGCAGCCTCACCGTGTCTTTCCAGACGAAGCCAGGCCCGTTGCCCGGATCTGTAGCCCAAACAACAAAAGTCATGTCTTTAATGACCAGTTTTTTTCCAGGAAACACAACCACTGCGGTGTCTCGACAGCTGCCACCGTCCGCTGCTGTGGCATGGGAGCAAGGGAGAGACGCTTCCCCATTCCTCGCTCGAAAGTAAGGGGCCACGAAGTCATAAAACAGTACTTTTTCACTCAAGTTGGACTCTGCTTTTGCCTGGGCTCCTGCCTTTGGGCGCTCAGACCCACGTCCCCGTATACGTTGGTCATCGAAGGAAGGTGAAAAGTTGAAATTCAGCTGCAAAGTCCGCTGCTGCCTGAATAACGGCTGTTCCGGCTCCAGAACCTGCTGCTCGTCCTCCTGCCTTCGTTGCTGTTGATGGCGAGTGAGGGAATCCGCGGAACATTCCTCAGGCCCAGCGGCATCACCAAGACGGAACGGGACACCTCCACCCATGTCATGTTCATCGCCCGACTCGTCCTCGCCCGACCCCGAACCCACGTCAGAGTCGTCAAGCACAGCAGCAATGACTTCTTCAGCCCGATTGTACTCCCTCGGCGGCCTTTGCCGTCTGCGCCGCCTCTCGCCAGTACCGTCGAAAACACTCCAGTCAAAAGGAGAGCCTAACTGCAGACGACGGTGCTCTGCCTCCGCAGCTGCAACTGGTGCTCCTGCAGAGTTCTCCGCGCCGCCTCCGCTACTGCTATTGTCGCTGCCGCCTTCGGAGTTACCTGCCGCTTCAAATGCCAAGCGTTGGGGCCCCTGATTTTGCTGGTCTCTGCGGCTGCCGCTATTGCTGTTGTTGCTAGTACTGAATTCTCCCACAACCCCCCTCTGCAGCGCCTCCGAGTAAGAAGCAACGCCTGCCCGGCGTGCATATGCGCTGTTTGGGTGGATGAGCGCTAACAGCTGCACTCGGCGCAAAGGCTGGAGAGGACTGCCAGAGGTGAAGACGACGGTGGAGGAAGTTACGACGCCTGAATGCGGCAGGCAAGCCACGACAATATACGTATATTCGTCGTCAGATGTTTCTAAGGTGCTGCTCGGCTCGTCACGTTGATACTGTTGTTGCTGTTCATGTTCGTGTTCTTGTCCCTGTTGTTGTCGCTCGTGCTGTTGTTGCCTCCCCTGCGGTTGCGGCTTCTGCCGCTGCTCCTGAGCCATCGTCTTATTTTTTGAGGCCATGGACTCCTTGATTGGCCGCTTGACCTTTAGGTACAGATACTGGCGAACCGTTTTTCCCTCCTTCATGAGCCCGGTGAGGGCGGCGAAAACCCAGGCCTTTGGAGCCTCTCGAGAAACAGGAAGGAGGTGGATCTTCTCTACGGCCGCCCTCTCTGCAGCTGTGTTGTCATCACCGGCACGGTGGGACTCCTGCAGGTGAACCGAGGAGCAAGATTCACTGCACGCCTGACAGCTTGCCGTTGCACTCTCCGCTACTATAGGCCCTCTAGGGTCCCTAGAGCGGCGACTGCTGGATGCGCCGTGCAGCTCCATCGCTTCAATGGTTGCCTGCTGATCCGGCACTGCTGCAGAACACAACATCACCGCCTGCTCCGTACTTGCGACCTCAATTAAAGATTCCCGCTAAGAGGGCATACAGGAGGAGTGGGGAAGTGGTGGTTTAAACAAGACAAAAGACAACCAGAAGGTAAGTCCAACGACGGACACACGGCCAGGCAAGGGACGCAGACGATGCGCATCACAGTTATGGCAGCCACCCCTCAGCCACCCCCTTGTGAGGAGGTCAGGGGGATGCGAGAAATTAAGAAAAAGGTGATTTGGAGGAACAGAAATGACGGAAGTTCTGCAGATATCGCAAGCACTCTGACACCAGCCAGAGCAGTCTGCGACAGGCGTCTCAAACAAGTGTGACAAACTGGGCAAGTGCTTCACTAAAAGCCCATCTATGACTAAATACATAAACTCTTTGCAAATGATACAAGAAACCTGTACGAGTAGAGAAGAGAGCAATGAGCACATCGGGTCACCAAGCAAAGCTTTCTCGCCGAAACTCACAAGCACACAAGCCAAGCGCCAACCACCCAAACCTAACGGAGAAGAGGGCCTCTTTCTATGCGTTCCATAATATCCTAGTGGTTACACTTATGATGAAAATTAACGTTGAGTAGCTCTTGTTTTCCTCCTTACGTCACACGAGTGGCTACAGCCGGCTATCGAGTACGCGGGTGCTACCGCGCAGTACACAATGCGTACGATGCTCATCTGTCTGTATACAAATGTGGATCATCCTTTCCCCTTGCAGGAGTTCGCAAGAGGAGATGGGGCATCAGCGCAACTCACAAGTGGTCAGTGAGCTGCAGGGCCTCGATGACGCTGCATCTCGCCGTTCGCGTAAAAGCATGCTAATGGTGTAGTTGAAGTAGACGTGTTTCTACTTGCATGCAGGCGGGCTACTGAGGGCAGCGTGAGTGTTGAAAAATTGTTGGTGCAAGCACCAAGATGAAACTTAGGTATGTGGGCGCAACTCTGCTGGAGCAAGCTCTGCCGAGAATTTTCCGTCTGAAGTTAGTACGCGCATTTCTACTTGCGTGCAGGCTGGCTGCTGAGGGTCAAATTAGTTTTTGGCAGTTTTCTACAATAGTAGAGCTGACAGCAGCGGAAGGCTTGGCTACGCTTGCATGCAGGTTTGCCTGGCACCAGGTGTTGTGGCAAGGTGTGCTGCAATTCATGGCAGGCTGCTTCTTCTCTGCACCATCCCAAGGCAGCAGCACCTGTGCTGCTGCCCCCAGGAGATTTGGTGACTGAAGGGGAGACCAGATGCGGTTAGGCTATGCGGCCTCTGAAGTGTTTCAGCATCGAATTGCGTTGACGGTTGAACTTTGCCTTTTTCTAGCAGCTCGTCCGTTAGCCACTTAATTTTTTGTTCAAGTTGCGGCGATACCCTGTATGGCTGAGCAACGCTTGACGTTGGGCTAAAAGTTAGACGCAGTGCGCTGGTCATCCACGAGATGCGCAGCCCTCTGGAAGCTCCTTACTACACCCTGTGCCTGATAAATCTTCCTTCGTCTGTGCCTACCTCTGCTATCCCTCGTGCTTTTACCACGTCAAATCCTCAAAAATCGCATTGTTCGTACGACAATCACCAAATAGTGCATCTTTCTGTTGTTTCCTGCACCTTCTCTGCACTGCGTAGGACACTGCTCCCACTCCTTTTACAGTATAGGGTGCAAATATCGCTGTGCGCTCTAAGAGCGGCGCTCTTTTATCATCTTCCGGAAAAAGCACCTCAACAGTGTCATCTGCGGGCCGCATGTGAGCCCATCGCTCGGTAACCCATGCCACACCTAGGATAGTGTCGTGGTGAATTGGCTCAACATGGAAATCCCGTATCTTGGAAATATGACCCGTTTCTGAATTAAACTAATACTCTACACCCATTATTTTGCCGATTCTCGTTTCCTGTCTGCCGTTTACTAGTCATAGCCGCGGACAGTCCGCCAACGCAAAGACTGTACATTGCAGATCCTGGCCGTAGCTTGATATCAGACTTACCTTGCAGCCTGTGCAAAGTAGCACTGCCAAGTACTGACCACTAATGAGAACTTGTAGAAACACTGAGTTAGCTCGAGATGGATCTGTAGGTGCTACTGTCACCTGTTTCGGCCCAATCACTGCCTTGCATTTTTCGTGCAAGAGCGTTTCTCCGACCGCATTGTCGGTTCCGCTAGCGGGGCTGCTCGAAGTCTTGGTTTTCTCCAGCCCCTTCACCTTTCGTGAGTGCCCTATGTCGAATGATATGACTCTGTTTTTTCGCAGAAAAAACAGATAAGCATCTCGGTAGGGCCATAGGCTCTGTATCTGCGTCGTTTTGAAAACCACCCCGGCGAGGTCAACCATTCCTTTGTTCCCTTATCGCACCCGAGCCGTTTACCTCTCTGCAGGGGACAGCTCTACTATGTACCATTGATAGAAGTACCAAGTCCACAGTTGGACTTCTGTTCAACAAGGATTGATACTTCTCGAAACAGCACTCTATCGCTAGCTTCCCCTGTTTAACTCCCCATTTCTGCCAGCGCCTGTTCCCTTCCTTACCTGGGAGTAAACCTACGCCAAAGCGCATGCAGGAAGTATTCCACAGTCCGAACATGCTTCGGAAAAGTGGTCCCAATGCTTGGAAAGATAACTCTTACCAAAATCCCAGAGATGCAAGGAACTCATGAGTAAACCTATGTCATAGCGCATGCGGGAAGTACTCCACATCCCGAACGTGCTTCTGAAAAGTGATCCCCATGCTGAGGTAGATAGCTTGTACCACAATTCCAGAGGTCCAAGGAATTCATCCGCTGCCCCCTCAGCGCGGCGTCCATCATCTCTGGACGGCCTGCGAAGGTGGAAGCATGCTTCATAAATTCGTTTCGCTGCAATGCATTTCTCGGTGGGATACAGACACTGAGACAGTTTAGCTCGACGAGGTACCCATTTGTTGGTCGCTTCCCGTCCACAAGGCAGATCCTGCTCACAATAAATTATGCAAGAGAAGGGGGTAAAGCTTTGACAAACACCTTGGGACAATCTAAGAATTTTTTTCCTTTGTCCGTCTTGTAGCGCCTTTTGTAATAATCAATGCTGTGCACGGAGGCCGCGCTGCTGTGGCGGTGTTGTTCGCTCACCGCACCTGTCTTGATTGACCAAGCGATGCTACCGAACGCAACGAGTCAGAGAGCTTATCAGAGGACAGTCGTTCGCTACACTAGAGCCAACAGGCTTAAGATACGAGCCACTAAAAGCAGCTGCCCTCTCCTCGACCCCACTCGTCCTGCGCAGAGCGACGAAGGGCACAGGGCTGACGCGGAGAGCGGCCAGCCGGTCACGGGCTGCACCGCAACTCGCTGCAACTAATGTTGCGAGGCATCGCTACGCGCCACCACAACCGAGCCCCCTTTCCCGCATGCACTAACTAAGGACAGAGTTGTTGAAAACTTTCTCAGGCCTCAGTGGATCGAGGGTGCACCATCCTGCCTGGGGGCCCTCTTGACCTGCCCTGTCGAGTCAAAAGGCTAAGCTATGTGTTCCAAAAAGGAGCTTGCTTCCCCCAAACGTCCTGGGTACAACGGCCCAAGGGCCTACGACTGGGGGAGAAGAGCAGGCGGCCTAAATTAGTTGGAACTCACCTCGATGCGAGTAATGCTGCAAGCCAGCACTGCGTAGTAGAAAAACCCCATTTTGGCCTTCTGGCATGGCTCTGTAGAAAGTGTTATTGCATATCTCCTTGCGCTCGGGTTGCCCTAAGCCTTAATGCCTACGCCCTACTTAGGCCAAGCATCCGTTACCGACTTCGGATAGAATGGGGGTGGACTGCAAGGCATCGCTTGCCGTAAGGTATGATCTTGTAGTCAGTTGGAATGGTGCCCATTTCTTTGAAGACATTAGCTAACAATCTGTAAAAGCAATATAGTTTTCATCGCTGGGACTTGCCTACTGGGCTATTGATGTCTGCGCTGGTGGTTTACATTAATGCTGCTAGTGGCGAGCCGCTTAGAAGCAAGATCGCCCCGCTCCCACCCATCTTCACGCCCTGGATGTCCGAATCCTCGAGTTTCCCGTACCGAACATCGCCTTCAGGGACTTTTTAAACATCAGACTTATTGCTTTTTCTTTTTTGGTCGCTGGGCTGTAGAGAGTCGCCTGCTTTCTGAAACTGGCTGGCGCATGGGCGAGTTTCGACGTTGGGCACCAGGAGTCGAGAATTGGTTCTTTCGCTGGCTTTATCGACCTTCACCGCCTTTAAGCTAGTAATACGTCTTGTTCACACAGTCAAGAGCCATGGAGTGGTTTGGGAGCCAGTGGCCACGAAGACGAGCGGTTAGGATGCATTCCAGCAGCTTTAGCTGGTTCGTTATAATGTCCGTACTGGCAAAGTTTGTCGACGCTTCGTGGGCCCCTCAGACGCCTTCAGCTAGCATTGAGGAGGTCCCGTCTGCTGTCCTCTGGCCTGCAGGGGAATCCCACCAGAGGCGAATTCAAAAGATCCTCTCAGGCATTGAAGGCGGTGATATTCCTTCTAGCGCATCAGAGTTTGAAGATTTTTTTGTGGATCTACTTCGAGCGGCAGGTATTTACATTCTGGCCATGACACGCCAGGGTACTGCGTTGGGAACTGCAGGATAATTTCTGCAACGGCGCAGCAGTTCCTCGTCGTGTTCTTCGTTTCATGTTCCTAGCTTCCGCACGAGCTTCTAACTCCGATGCTTAATTGAGAAGTGAAGCCGTGCGGCGCCATATCAGTTTTACACCGGCGTCTGTACTGCAGCTAGCTGTTTTGCCAGCATTTTTTCCGCAGGGAACTACCGTGGTGGTGGACAATTGCGAATACAGCGACTGACAACTTTTTTGGCGCACGACAGGGCGTTTTCCACGACTACATTACCATTCTTGGCGAGTGTTGCGATGCGTATACAGGTTCTCTTCCCACAGGTAAGGTTTCTGTTTCCAGTGTGGGGAGCTGGTTATGAATTGTGTTGGCATTCCGCTGCGGATTGGCGTCTCACTTATTATTGTTCCTTGCGTGCAAATGTGGCAATAGGGACTGAAGCACATGACGAGGTTGAGGCAGTCGACTCATTTGCGACGAATTCAAGTACTTTGCTTGATGGCTGCGAGTTTCTTCGGAATAATTCCTCAAAACCAGCGGAAGCTGTTGCGCGCCTGGGGTAGGTTGCGTCTCAATGCGCTGGATATGCATCACCGGGGGTTCCTTGAGCGGGAGCCGAAGCTCAAGGCTGCTCTGATATACTTCAATAGCATGAGGAAAACCATGGGCACCTGCTGGCAGCAGATGCTCAAGGACAGTGACTTCACACAGGCTAGGTGCACAGCTACCTGTTTGTGTCAAGAGATCACATTCGATGGCAAGACACGAAATGTTTCCCCCGCTGACGAAATTATCAGCTTTTACTTGCACACTCCGGCGGCCACCACTTTTGAGGGGCCGGAAGGAGAAAGTGTGTCTCGAGACGAAGTCGACGTCAATACAATCATTACTCAGCCGCTTCCACTCCCAGACGCAACGGTCGATATTTATGGAGATATCACGAAGAGCGATGGAGACCTGCAGGTGAACTGCACTTGCATGGGCTGTATTGGATCAGAGCAGCTGAAGCTTGTTTGTTAGGGAAGGACATCAGCTGACTGCCTCCAGCACCATGCTGCAGCACGCAGTCAGCTTGGTCTTCTGTGTGAATTTCGCCGTACATATTTATTCCTAAGTCTGATTATTGCATCAGGCAGTTGCGTTTGCTCACGATAGGCGCTTCCGTTTATTTGTTTTCTCAGGTCGATTTTGCAGACATGTATGTTGGGGGTCTAAGCATGTGGGAAGGCCACGTTGCCCAGGAAGAACTGATATTTGCGCTGAGGCCCGAGTTACACGTGATTATGCTGTTCATGAGCGCCATGAAGGATGATGAGGCAGTTGTCGTGAAGGGCGCTGAGAGTTTCGTTCTGTATTCAGGTGACAATCTACATACAGAACACTAGCGCGCATTTTGTTTATGTCCAAGCTTACTAGATTACCAGCAGCTGGGGATTCGTGGTTCCGCAGTGCCGGCACATCAAATCCAGTGGCATCGTTTCTTCTCTGGAGCCCTTTTTGGTCGTGTGTTTAGTCCATGTATAAAGCGCTTGCATTCGATGCGGCGTGGGCAGGTTACGAAGGTACCTTTCAGGTGTTTCCTCCTGTGGTCCCCGTTGGCTCTCACTGGAGTATCCATGGCTACACTCCCTTGGATTCGATGGGACGACGCGAGACAACTGTAGTCGCTATTGATGCCATCATTGTTAAGAACGAAAGGGAGCAATACTCCACCCCCAGCATGAAGCGAGAGATTCTCAAGGCAGCTCTTGGCTTTCAGGGCGACCCGTTTGAGGATGCTATTCATGCAACAAGGGCTGGGGTAGCAACTGGGAAATGGTGAGCAAGTACATTGCTTTTTGTCAGTATCATTGTATATGTGACAGGGATTTGGAGATTCGGATTCTTTTGAATGTGGTAGTAGAATTGTGCACTGCTTGTGCAGGGGATGCGTTATATTTGGCGGTGACAACGAACTGAAAACTCTTATGCAGTGGATTTCTGCCGCAGCTGCCGGGCGAGAGCTGCATTACAAGGCATTCGGGGACACGAGGTTATCACACATGCAGGTTACGCTGCATGCGATTCGTGAGAAGTTCCCCACCACTAGGGACCTCTTCGAAGCGATCGTACAGAGCGTCCAGCAGAGGGAGGAGCGGCCTAACGGTAATTGGAGCCTCTGGCAGTCGTTGCTGAATATAAAAGCGAGGAAATCAGGGTGAAGCATGGTTGACGAGCATTGAACGCGGGAGGTCGAACATGTTTTCAGCCAGTTAGACAGCCCGCTGAACGTTTTGCCGCAAGTGTGGGCAGGTTGTTGTAGCACAATACTTTTGGCCAGTTCAGCCATGGGCTCTAACAATGAATACGACCAACCCCGCGTGCCAACAGTGCTAGGCAGCGGGATATGTGCAATTCCAAATCCGGGTGGGAGGGCACATCCAACAGGGGCTTGGGAATCCTTACGTGACAGGTCGTAGCAACTCCATCAGATGGCTAGGAAGATGATTGGTGAGCAGTTAATGGCGAGCACATGGAGTCTGCAACGTGCTCCATCATGGAAGGGATTTCTGCACCCGAATATATTTTTTGGGTACAAGCACGTCTTGACTCACGCAACGCGGCCACACTTGATTTAAGAGGCAGCGCAGTGCATGCATATCGAAGGTGCCGTTCCGGAGCTCCAGGATGGGGTTTGTCAAGTTTAGTTTGGCGTTGAGACTTGAAATAATTTACCAGGCATCGATGCATTCGATAGCTTGACTTCGCAGAGGGCCTACTTGTTCTAACAGCATTGGGCAGGAACTCCCCGGCACCGCTTCCCAATGCCATGGCGATTCGAAATGCTTCTTCCGAGAACCATTGTGACTTTGAGCGCACCATCTTCATATTTTTGTATACCTGAAGACCAAAGAGTACGTTGGCTTCTCATTTACTTGCCCTTTGGAACGATGGGTTGCGGTCTTCCCTCACGGGCACGTGGCCATTGTAGGCAGTCTATTGGAGAGGGTGTGGAGCGCATATCACACGAATACAGGCGAATTCTTCCTATTCAGCAGTGCACCGTTTGTGCGGTGCAAAGTACACCGAGAGAAGGCTAGGCATCCACCAGGAACAATGGAAAAAATAGATATTCTGCTCGTCTCGAGGTGCTAACTCTAGTTGAGGAGTCACGAACCTTGATGAGTTTCTCTGTCCCAGCCCAGTTAGACCCAAAATTTTTACTTTGGGTTTAAGTGCAGAAGTGATCTACCGTCGTAGACCTGTGTCAGTCGAGCCCTGATGAGGGGCAGATGTCTGATGCGTACGCACTTGCATTGCGTCGTAGTGATATTGTACACCGAATTTCGGCGCAGTAGGACCGATGGCCATGCGCTAGAAGCTTCAAATGACTCGAACACCCAGTAGTGGCTGATGAATCTGACGTATGCAAGAGGCGAAAGTGGTTGAATTCTTGAGAAATGTTTATGGGAGAACATCTGGAGACTTTTATTTCGCAAAGGACCTCCGCTACTAATTATTGCTGGGCACCAGGCGCCCAGATGTGATGATCGTGATCGCTGCTCTCACCTGCCCCGATAAACAATCCGGTGCTACGAAGTGTATCGAGGGTCCTGGTTCTGAGCAGAGGACAGCCATGAGCTGCAGTAGCGTCACAGAGTTGAGATACAAGTTCTCAGAAGCTGGCTGACCGGCCCTTCATTTTTCAGGCGTCCTGAGCAAAGAATGCGTTCTTTGCGCAGAGGCCTGGGGCTAGTGGGGAAAGAACCCGGTCTGTCGTGAGTTCCAACGCATCTCGCTGCGACTCCTGCTCCACGGAACTCCGCATGCAAGTATGAGCTAACCATCTCTGCTGCATGCACAAACACTGTGGATGTGAGATACATTGTTGACCACCTGTAAACCCTGTAAATTTCCTCTTCTATTTTTGACTTTTAACAATAGTCGGTCATAATTTTCTTTAGAGCGCCCGCTTGTCGGTTGTAAGCTTAATGGTAGAATATTGTGCATTTAACAGGTTCTGGGTTCAATTACCAGGAACCCCTCGTACCAATTTATGCATAATTGCGTATATATATATATATATATATATATATATA